TTTTTTTGTTTCTTTTCTCTATCGCCGAGAACTTAAAAAAATAGAAAGAAACTCTTGTAACTAGGAAACAGCAGGTGCATCGCACCAATTTGTTTGCAATCACTTCCTACGTTTTTCTCTTTTTTTCTTTCTTTCATAGCATCGACCGCGTTTGCACCGTCGAAGTGAGAGCGTCTTTTGTTCAAATGTAGTGTGGACAGAGAAGAGAGAGAGCAACATCTCTCGTCTATTAATCACATTTTATCGTATTTATATATAATATAATGTACAATATGCAGCTACATTATAATTATCGGTATGTCCAACGCATTCGAAACTGACAACACTGTGGGGGAGTACTTTAACTCTTTCTTTCTCCTTTCTCACAATTTTTTTTTTTTTTTTTTTTTTTTAAATTTGTTTTCTTCATCGAAGGTGTTGTTTAAATTATTCATTAATCAATGTGTATATCGTATGTTTCAGAGTTAGGTACTTTAATATAATTACTTCCAAGTTTTTTTTTTCCACATATTCTCGCGTGGCATCTCTGTGTAAAAAGTGTAACTATAATGCTAATATAATAATAATAATAATTATAATAATAAGTTGCGCAAGGCAATAGTCCGGTGTGGGCCGTCCGATCGCGTGTTGTTTGCGGCCGCCTTCACACTCCCCTTCCCCCCTTATTTTTCTAAAAAAACTTGCTGACACGGAGACTTTTCTCGGTAATAACTCTTCTATATCCTCCACTCAAGATCTGAGATCTTGCGGTCTGCATTGTTTGTTTTTTTTTGTTTTTTATTTTTTTATTTTTTTTTATAATGGTACTCGGTCGCAGGGGGGATGGGTGTGCAACTGGTTTTTTTGTATGATGTTAATATAGCAACTGAATGTTGACAGAATAATTTTCCAATTAGCGGTTGGCGTTTTTCAGCTGATTGGAAAGCCAATCGAGACCTTCGTAAAGTCCGTCCCCACTTGTGGCGCACGTTGCTTGAATGTACCAATTGCGATTACGTAAGGAATGCAACCCCAACTTGTCAGTGATCTCTGCTGCATTCATTGCGTTTGGCAGATCCTGAAATAATTTTACTTGTTGCAATATCATTTTCCACTTTGGTTTTTGTTTACTCCAAGTTGATAAAAAAAAAAAGTCAACTTACTTGTTTATTAGCAAATATTAAAAGTACTGCATCTCTCAGTTCGTCTTCTGCTAACATTCTCATCAACTCTTCACGTGCCTCACCAATACGTTCCCTATCATTACTATCAACGACGAATATCAACCCCTGTAAAAAAATTTGGTACCAAAAGATAATGGAATAAAATCTGTAAGACAGAAATAAATCATTAGTCAATTAATAATCAATATTAAAATACACGTACTTGTGTGTTCTGAAAATAATGTCGCCATAGAGGTCTTATTTTGTCTTGGCCACCCACATCCCACACAGTAAAACTTATATTCTTATACTCAACCGTTTCTACATTGAAACCTGAAATAATATATTAACATGATGTAATATCATATTTTTATATAAATATGTAATTATCTCGTTAATTATAAACTATAAAAATATGTTATTGCTAATGTGTGAATAATTATTTATTAAATATAACATTTAACCATATTTTTTTAACTTGTAGATATTAAACAGTAACAGATTTGTGCTTACCTATAGTGGGAATTGTAGTAACAATTTCCCCTAATTTTAATTTGTACAATATTGTGGTTTTACCAGCTGCATCTAGCCCTACCATCAAAATCCTCATTTCTTTTTTGCCAAAGAGGCCTTTGAATAACGTTGCGAACATATTCCCCATGATTGACACTAGTTACACCAGAACCTAAACCCAGAATTATCTCAATTACACAATATTTCTATAAAGTATATTAAGATATAACTGCACTGATACTTATAATTGTGTTTATTTTTCTTTAAAATCCCGTATAATATTACACAATAACACACACACACACACACATAACTTATCAGTTCTTATTTCAATTTATACATTTCAGTTACAACAAAACACTAAACCTCAAAATATGAAAAAATAATATAAAAAATACAAATCACAGAAACAAGAGCACTTAAAAAAAAAAAAAAAAAAAAACTAACTGCTCATATTTCATTGGAGCTCAAACGATATTAGGTACTACTGCCATAAAACTGTACAAGTAGCGTGAGAAAAACCACAAATTGCCTGAATTACAAATGCTATTTGATAGTCACAATGACAAAAACGTAATATGGTGCGCATCAACATCTTTGTACTCTTCTCACACGTTGTCTTTTACACGCAAAATCAAGGGAGAGACGAAAATTAATATGCAAAAAAAAAAAAAAAAAAAAACATTGCGTGAAACAGTGGATTCGCACGTGGACAAGTGGAAACGATCCTGTTTCGTGCCGATCGACACGCGTTCTTCGAAATACATACGTGATGCAGGAAAAAAAATTCTGTTCCGGGACAACGTACTCTCGGATACATACACACACATACACACGTACGTAACGTCGTGTGTGGCGTCACACAAAAGCCCCCGCGACTAACCTGATCGTCGTAAAAACGCGTAACTTGCGCGATCGAGGATACGATGACGGGCACCGGCGGGGAAATCGCGCCTCGTCTCTTTACAAAGACCGAGGTGGAAAGAGGAAAAAGATAAAAAAGAAAAAAAAACGAAAAGGGTCATATACACACGCTCATGCTGCCCTGCTCTATCGATTCTCATTTTAATACATCGCTACGAGTACTGGCATACCCTCCGGGAGATCACTACAGACTCTGCTTCGTCGACGATCTACGCAGTTTTTAACGGGGGTGTTCGTACTATTTAAGAGGCCGGTGGTGCCGTGATACTGCCTAGAAGGGCGGCGGTATAATTGTGCGGTTTTTGCGAAGACCACTCTGCGTACACCCGGTTGTCTGTCACCTTCGACCTACTCCCCAGCGAATCCCGTCTCGGAGGTTCGTCCGCTCAAAGGTCCATTACCCGGTGGCCTGCACTTATGATCGAGTTCCCCGGTAACGCCACGTCGCACATACACGCCACTTGCGTTACTTACGTTTCAGTAAAAAAGATTATTTTCACGGGAAACGACAAAACATAAAAGCAACACTCTCGAAAAGTACCGTATGTCAAAATGGCGGACGTGGAAAGGAGTCATGCCTAATGCCACGTATAGGGCCACCGGACCGTTGCGATTGGTTCGGCTGCGGGTCACGTGACAGCCGCTGGTCGTAAGTGGAAATTGGTCGCGCGACATCCTGCCAGGCGGCGCTCCCGAACGTCCTGATCGGAAATTTCGAAATAGCTGCCGATGTGTTCGCCGCGTCGATACTTCGATCGATAACAAAGAACAGACACAGATGATATATACTATAAAAATAATTTGTAGTTTAATTTTTGTTTTAGATTCCATGTTTTTTTTTTTTTTTTTTCAATTTCGCTGTGTCAATTATGAGTGTTGAGCGATAAAGTGTGGTGTAAATTAGGTTAGTAATCACGTAGAACCATTGTGACACGCGTACAGAGTTGGGTTATCCGAACATTTTTTAGAATATTTTACATTTTATAGTTTTTTTTACTGCAAAATACGTCAAAAACGTATAAGACGTATATTTATCCTTAGTCTAATTATTACATTAGTTGACAAATTTTCCAATCCTGTTGATTGGCTACAGAATAGAAAAGTGCTGGAAATTCGACAATTTCTCTACTTTAGAGTTCTCTATTCTGTACACTTGTACTGACGATTGTCGTAACGAGTGTACAGAGGAGTGCACCATATCGTGCCGCGTTCAGGAAAAATATTTCTCGGAAATTTCTCATCTGGGTGCCCTTACTACTGCGCGCCGTACTTCTATCTCGGGCTATTGACAAATCAACCAATCAAAGTCTTCTAAGGACAAAAAATGGAAATGAGAATAGAAGGCTGGATTGGTTGATTTTTTTATCTTTCATTTTTTTTGTCTATACTCGGTTCAATGAGAGAATAGGACACCCATGGACAAAAATGCGTCCGTTCTGCGCATCTCTTCTACCAGAAAGCCCCCCACTCCACAGTGCTGTACCGCTTGTACAATCTTCACACTTATATAAACGTTTTGATTTATATTTTGATTACATTGAATTATTTGATTACACATTTACTATATTTAATTACATTAAAAAACTTGATAGTACATTAAACTGAAAAATTATTTTATTCACTGAAATCTAAAATTAGGCCTGAACGTGCTGTATCTATGTTTACGGTACTGAGTAGTGGCGGGGCAATATCCCCACTTTGACTGTTTTTCTTTCCCTATGCGCGAGTAGTGTCGTATTCTCTCATTGAACCGAGTATACTCTTACTGCCTTACTACCTTCATTGTAGACTGATTCTTAAGCATCAAGCTGCTTTTACATGAAACGTTTACTTGCGTAAGGGTAACTTGCGTTAAGCTTATGTCACACTACGGATTAGGATTGAGATTGGATTGCAATTTGGCCAATCAGAGCGAAGATCAGTAAACTTAGGATTGATTTTCTTTCTTCTGATTGGTCAAATTTCAATACAATCTCAATCCCAATCCGTAGTGTGACACAGGCTTTAGCTACTCAAATTGTCTCAGCTACCATACGCAAATACGCTGAGATGATTTTGAATTTACATCACCGGTAAGAGTGTGAATCTAACCGACAAAAATGTAAATTTAATCGACCTAGATACGAGCCTGACCAGTTTCTATGTGAACCTAACCAGTCAGAATGTAAACCTAACCTAACCTAACCAGTCAGGGTGTGATTCTAACGCCTGTTTTCACCATCTCCGATTAACTTAATCGGCTGATTATTTCATTGGAATTGCCAGTCGCATGAATCGTTTAGCAGACTAGACCAATCACGACTGATACTTAATCGCCGATTTAGTTAATTGGAGATGGTGAAAACGGGCGTAACCGACCAGTATGTGAAGCTGGCTGCGGTCTATTTCATGCTTAAGCGCATATTTATCTATAGTATACGTGACATATACTACAGATAAATGCGCGATTAAGCATGAAACGGACCGCAGCCTATGGCTGCGTTCGAAGAGCTATCAGCACTATTACGTCATTCTATCTTTGTTTTACATCTAATGAGCAATAAAGATAGAATGATGCAACAGCGCTGATAGCGCGCTCCCCGAACGCAGTCTATGTGAACCTAACCCTAACCGACCGAGACATGAACCTAACCTAACCTAACTGATCAAGATGTGAATTTTACTGGTCACGATGTAAAGCTAATTGATCAAAATATGAAATTTAACCTGATTGGTCAAGATGTTGTAGTAAAGACTTAGGTGTCCTGTAAACGGACATCTAAGCACATCTAAGTTCGGTTTTGTAAAAACTAAAACGGTTTTACCAGTACGTGTAAACGTAGTCAATTTTTGACACTTGGATTCGTACACACATTGTAAGAGAATAGAACCGCACGCTCTCTCTCTCTCTCTCTCTCTCTCTCTCTTTGTGTTCATAGCGCGGAATAGAACCATGTTTACGTTTGGACATAGCGTACGCCAGAGATGCCAGTTTGCGGACGCTAGCAACATGCTGCAGCAAGTAGAGGGGACACGCACACAAGCAAGCAGCCACTCGCCGAGGCGCTGAGCGCACACGTACACGGCTGTTCGCCTGTGTGCGTTTTGTCTGTGTATCCCCTCTACTTGCTGAGCATGCTGCTAGCGTCCGCAAACTGGCATCTCTGGCGTACGCACCGACAAGTCGCTCGTGGATATGGCTATGTAGTTGCCAATGTGCACCACCTATAGCGCTGACTTACAGGGCGGAAAAGCTATTCCAATTTTTTATATGACCCTGGCCGCTCTCAGTCTTCTTTTTGCTATAACTGGCGTGTGTGGGTTTCCCTTCATGCTCACTGAGCCACTATGAAATCAAATTGAATTAAAGATTTTGCCAGGGGCACGGTGCCATAATTGCAAAGAAGAAGAAGAAGAAGAATTAAAGATTTTGTCCTTCTGAACGTTTCTGATTATTACAACTTGACAACAACGTGATCTTGATTTCTGTGTTTTGAAGCCGGATCTACGATAACCGCATTTGACGTTATGGGTCTCTTCTACAGAGCTACTTCTGTACCAAACTAATAACCGCAATTCTTCAATGAGTGAGATAAATAGTATAATGTAACTTCAATGAGAATGTGTTTTTTTACTACGTAAGGGCCTGAGCACAATAGAGAAAATACCTCTTAGGAATAGGAATTAAAAACAGAGATTAAATGTACTGCACAATGCAAAAAAATAAAATATATAAATGTATATAAATATAGGCTGTATATCATGCAGCCATGACATACTTCCTGTATTTATATGTTATAGTCAGTTTTTTTGTCATTGTATAGTACATTTAACTTCTATTTCTAACTCTTATTCCTAATATATTATTTTCTCTATTGTGCTCAGACCCTAGAGATAACAAAATACACATATAGGAAGAGAATATAAAACAGGTTAGTTTAGGGAAAATCCCTGTTTAAAAATCAAAAGCATTATACAAATTGCTTATTGTAATTTTATTAGTAACAAAATAACGTGTGTATATCAATATATGAAAAATATTATACAGTGTACACAAATTGTTTATTATAATTTTATTAATAACATTTTATCAATGTATATATATCAAATGAAAGAATATACAAACCATACAAAACTGCTATACATTTAGTAAAAAATATAAAATATTTTTTATACTTACAATAGATTACAAGAAAAAATAAATAATTTTTCGAATATAATAAAGTAATAAAATGAACCTCTTAAACAAGATTTAGTCAAATAATTATTAGATAATTATAGATAGATAATTATGTGGTGAATATCTTTTACATCTTGATTTCATTTCGCTTTACATCCTGAAATCTTTGTGTAGTCAGATATAAAGAAGTATCATTAGCATTGTAAAATCTATGATATAAGTACTCACTTTGATGATTTTTCATCAATGCATAAAAACGAAAAAAATCGAGTCCTGCACTTTGTATGGCATATAATGGAGCAAGTTTTACATTTTAGCACTATTTTTGCAAACCTGATTCTGAAACATGAAGAACAGTAATGTATCCGTCACAATTATATATACATATGGTAGTAATGCTATATATATATATATTGCCCTCTTTATATCTAAAATATCCTATCTAGCATATCAGAAGAATCGAAACAACTGAAGTTTTATTCTTTTGTTTGTGCTATCAGCAGTTAGGACAATTAAGTTAGACACTTCTAGACATCTATAAAGCCTTTAGGATTTACTAGCTTCATTTAGAATTTTAAAAGATGGAACATGTGTAGAATTTCCAATATATCTTGAAAAGTGCAAAAATGCGAGATAGGACATTTTTAACCAAGGATGGCAGTATATACATGTCATATAACTTATTTTTCCAATTAATATTTACCTTTTATTACATCCAATACATGTTATTGGTGTAATAACTATCTTTGACACAATGTTGTGATTTGCATTCAACAACAGTTTCGGTTCAATATTCTTTTTATCAGATTTAACTATTGCAGGTATAGTTTTACTGGATGAATTAAATTCTGCTACTTTTTCTAATGTGCTGCATTGTTTGTTTGCAACATGTTCGTTATTGACCTTGTGTTCTTTCCGCAATCTCTGCCATTGAGCTTTTCTAAATGTGTCTAGGTCGGATTCTTCAGATTTAGATAAGAGATTCAGATCGCTTAATATCGAACCGGTTGTATTTGTAGTCATACTACTACATTTGCTGCTGTAAATCGTTAAGTTACACAATGTAAGTAAAATGTATTATTAAATTATTTCTTCGCAGCAAAGAAATTGTACCTACTGTTTGTCTTTGATACTCAGACTATCAAATTTGCTCTCGGCGTCGAGAAATTCGAGTTTTTTCCTGACTTCCTCGTCTAAGTTTATTTGTTTATCATTGAACAGTAATCTTCGAACTGTGTTAACTTGCATTTCCTTTATCGAACAAATAGGCTTGAGTCAATATATCATACACTCAGAATTTTTGAAATTTATTTATTTATCTACTTATTTATCTATTTATTTATTTTCTTGTGTAAAAAATTATCAATAACAATTAACGTACCAATAAGTTTTTCTCGCGTTCGATTGCTCGAAGGTTACGTGTTCCATCATCCAAGGCTTTTCGAGCGCTGCTTAATTTCTGATAAAGTCTCGCGGTCTCCTGATGAGCGTTTTTTAAATCCACATAGAGCTGCTCGTATTCTTCCAAAGATATCCATTTTGTTTCCGGTATGTCAGTCAAAGCTGCAAATTATCAATTAAACAGATTAATTAATTAATTAATTAATAAACATACTAAATTGTGAGATCGGCGAGAATCGTAGAAAAAATAGTAATTTATTTATCTGACCTTTATTTATCTTGTTGCTACTCATGTTGTTTTACAAATTTAAAGCACTTGCTTTTTAGTTTCTCAATGCAAAAGTTCTCGAAGTATCCTCGCACGTTTGTAAAGAATCTGCTCAGTCTGGAGTGAGGATTTAGAAGAAATCTGTTTTGACGAAATGTGTTTTCGATGTAACATCCGTTGTAATCGCGTTGTCCTTCGAGTCTATTCAAATCTATACAGTTTTGCCAAACAAAGTGAAGTCGGAAACTCTTAGATAATTTCATCTGTGTTTATATGTAGATAAAACATGATAATACACAATTCAGATATACGTGTATCCGTATATATTATTCTAGATAAAATGAACAATTCAAGAAATTATAATCTAAATCTTTTCTTTTGAAACATACTTTATGTTAAATATGTGCTTGACACAATTGAAGAGCAATCGCGCAACGTGGTTTTTTTTATTTACAGACCGAACAAGTAAGTTTAATAAAAAGAAGAACAAGGAAAAAATGCCGCCGCAATTATTTCACAGTTTTGGGAAAACGCCTTTTAAAAACAAATCTGAGATATATAGCGAATTAATGGCAGACTTGGAAAGAGTGATCATTGACGACAAATATTTGGAGAAATCTGAAATTCAGGTATCTCAATAAAGTTTTTATGTCTAAGCGCGTTTTTTGCTTCTTTTCTCTTTCTTTTATAAAAAAAAAAAAAAAAAAAAAACACTTAAATGTTTTTCTTATTCTCAAACAATTGTAGGAAAAGATCGACGTTCTCTGCAAATGGTTGTGTACGACACCCAAAACAAGTATTTACAGATTAGACAATTTCGCAGATCTGGAGAAACTACTGAAAGCGTTAAAGCAGGTAAAGTGTTAAAGAGACAAATGTGAAACCAGATAACAGATATATAGGTAAACTTTATTAATAAAGTTTAAATAATTAATTTTTCGACATTTTTATCAACAAAAGATATCAAACTAACAAATAATTTTTCGATCAATTTGCCACGTGCTGGATTTAACATTTTTTAACGTGTAAATTTATTACACAATAATTCGAATTGAATTTAGTTCGAAAATTCACATTAAATGCTTGTTTTGTATCATATACATGAATTACTTATTTTACTTTTTTATGAGATTTAAAAAATCCATTGCAAACAAGACTTTGGCCAGGAGTCGAACTTAGATTTCCCGTATTCGCGTAGTTTTTTAATTTTATAAAAAGATGATTAAATTTTATGAAGAGGGAAAGTGATAATTTATATGTATGTGATGCGAAATAAGCATTCAATATCAATTTTTGGAATAAATTCAGTTTGAATTATTATGTGCAATAATTTACACGTTTAAAAATATATTTCGCGCGTGTACATCAACCACAACATGGCTCGTATCAACCGAAAAACTCTTTGCTAGCTTGATACTAGATGAAGTTAAAATATGTGCAATATGTAAATTTGTTTACAAAAGATACTATTTTTTACACAAAAATTTTATATATGCAATACAAATCATATTAGGATAATAAGCCAGATCCGTCTGTTCACTGCTTGCCGGATCTTCCGAATGAGATAGTCGCTGTTGACTGTTGGAATTCGTCGGTGCCGCTCGACTTGAAACGATATCCGGACGAAATTATTGTTGACGCTGCATGCGGAGCAGCTGTGCTAAGAGGATCTCATATTTACGCTCCCGGTATTATTGGCATGCCAAATGGTATAATTGTCGTACGTGCAGTTCTTTTTATAAATTATCCATGAAGAAGAATCTTAGGTGATGTAATTAATTTCCTTACAGGTTTAACCGTTGATACCAAAGTCAGCGTATTTGCCGATGTTGTCGGTCAATGTAAAAAGGGTTTAATTAAACCTTATCCAGAAAACAATAAAATATATTTAGGCAACGGTGTTCTTCGGCAAACGAGGAAACAATTATTTGGTAAAACCGCGAAACATCCGTGGTAAGGACAAAAAGATAAAGAAATACTTGTGTGGGCACACACAGGTTTTTATTTCGACATATTATGTTTTCATAAAAAGAAAATTCTCTTCGGTAAACATTTACATAAGTCAATCCCTTCAAAAGTCAATGACCTTAACATATGTTGTCAACAACATATCTCCGAATAACAATCAAAAGGTTTTAGCCATCGCTGTTTGTTAAAAAATTATTCATAAAAATATTTGTCTATGATCTTTGTTAATTAAGATCTCGGTAACTATTGCGAATCTAGCAAAATGGTATAGGATTTTTTGACGCAGTTTTACTCTTTCTATTTGTTCACAAGAGATGTTATATCAATTCTGGGACACCCTGTATATATATTATAATTTAAAAAAAAAAAAAAAAACAAAGTATATACTTAGAACGAAAAAATTCCCGTTTAGTGGTATTGCAGTAAATATGATCGACGTGATCTCGCGAATTCCACAGTTGAATATAGATAATGAATCTCTAAGACCGCAAGCACTACTTCAAAATTTGCCGTCTATCATATGTAATCTGGTTTTAAGTCCCCAACCAGGTGAGACAATCCTAGATATGTGCGCTGCACCTGGTAACAAGACGACACATATTTCAGTTCTCATGAAAGAACAGGTAAACTTTCAAAAGAAAAATTATTATAAACTATGTAACGCAGGCTTTATGTTTTTATATATTTTGGCACTCTTTGATACAATAGAAACAAGAAAATAGAGATAAAAAGTGTTCTCGCAATATTTAGGGTACAATAATAGCTCTGGATAAAAATCCAGGTAAAGTAGCGCGATTCAAGGAAAACTGCAAAGGCAAAAATATTAAAATATTTTGTTACGATGCCACGAAGGCTGTCGTACACGAACGTGAGCGCAGTTCCGCTTGTATCGACGATCAGCCTCCATTTGAGGAAAATCACTTCGACCGTGTTCTCTTGGACACTCCGTGCAGTGCGTTAGGTCAGAGACCGCAACTTTATAACACGATCACGTCGGCACAACTTCGTTCCTACGTTTCTCTGCAACGAAATCTCTTTTTTGCCGTAAGTTGACGAATTAATTTTGTCCGCATCATCAATACAAATATATATCTGCAACACATCTGCACGTATTTATTACATATTTAGAATGTCTCATGATAAGTGTCGTTTGATATATCTCTTGAACGGTAGGACAAAAATGTAAGGACACTTTTATCATGTTTTTTTTTTTATGTAGAATGTCACTGTGAAAAAAAAGTTTTTATTTTCAATGGTTCAAGGTTATAACAAGACCATTTCGTGTCTTTTATATGGAAGACTATTTTTTTGTTTTATTATTATATAAAAACAGAAAAAAACAAGTTCAGAATGTGTCTTTGAAGCGACCAAAAAATCATGCATTCTATATAAAAAACATAAAGTAATCTTGTTAAAGATAAAACATCTTGTTGAAGATAAAAAAATTCTTTTTTCACAGTAACATTCTACATAAAAAAAAAACATGATAAAAGTCTTTACATTTTTGTCCTATCCTACTTACCGTTCAAAAGTTATATCGACCGGCACTTATCGTAGGACACAATATTTATATATTGTATATTTTATTAAGACAGTACGTATCTTTATATAGGCTGTCCGTCTTTTGAAACCGGGTGGAACGTTAGTATACAGTACGTGTACTGTGACAATAGCGGAGAATGAAGGAATCATTGCCTGGGCACTGAACCGATTTCCAGAGTTAACGTTGAAATCTGTGAAAGATCAGATCAAAACGGATAGATATGGCACTCATGGTTATATTATAGATGGGTTTGTGAGCGAGAACGCAAACAAAGTGCGCAGATTCGGCCCTGAAAGTGATTCGGTCGGCTTTTTTATTGCGTGTCTCAGAAAACAATATTCCTAAACAGCGAAACGCGTTGTGCCACATGTGAACAATTATTTTAATATTGGTTTGTATATATAATAATATTATTTGTGTTTACAGAATTAAAAAAATGTATTTATATGAATATGAAAGAGACACCTTAACTTTGTTTGTGCTTGATTCACATCTCCAATGATTTCCGTCGATATTACGGACCAATTGTCGCAAATCATGTACAATGTTTCCGCCTATATTTGAAAATCAAACATTATTTAACAGAAAAAAATAGAAAAGACAATTTTTGTTTTATAATTTATACGCATTCCGAGAGTATTGGGGAAGAAGTGAATGTACAGATGACCCACTAAAATTAAAATTAACACATTTTCCTCTTACTGTGTATGTAGATTAATTATATAGAGTAAAAAAGCTTTCCTTCCTCACAAGAGTTTGTTGATTTCCATAGGATTTCTGTAATCCATTGCTCATCCTTTGCTTGCAGAATTATTTTGCGAATATTGAGAACATGGGATATTGGTCATTGTGTAAGAATAACGCGAGAGTATAAAACATTTAATTACACTTACATTTTTAATTTTCTCAATAGGCACTTGTGAATTTACTTGCCTCTCAATATTGGCCTATCTCTCGACATCCGCGTAATGTAACGAACACAGACCGTCCTTGCTGTACCTTTATTGTTAGCGTTTCTTCTGGCTCGTCCAAGACATCAGAACGAAAACAGATAGTTAGTTACGAGTTATTTTACGTGCATTCCAGGGAAAATGTCACCTGTTTGTCCCTTAGATTCGATCAACGGTAAATCGCGAATAACTCGTCTCGTTGTCAGTTGAAATCTGGCTAAGGATGTGCTCATGTTTTGTCAGCACGACAATTTTCTATTATTTGAAATAAAAGAATATATTATTGCACTTAGAAATTGTTTTTTCTGCAGCATGTACAATATTCGGTATAATTTATTTAACTCATAGTTGCTAAATTCTACAATATTAGAAATTGCAATTAAGACTCTCTTTTGAAACTCCGGTTTTGAGATTTGTCTCTCAGACTGATCAATGAGAAAGATAAATCACCTCCTCTGGGGGAATAATAAAGAAAATAATATGTAAGCTCGCGTTGCTACATATTTTTAATTAATTACAAAGACACATATCTGGATAACATATTTTAGAATATTATGCATATATTTAATATATATAATACATACATACATATGTGTGTGTGTATGTGTGTGTATTATCAAAATAAAAAAATAAAGTAAAATAAGAGAAGTAATCTGAGCTTATATATACTTGGCACGATATCTTCTCATGACTTTGTCATAATCGTGAATGTTGTTGTTTCTGTTATCGAATTTTTTTCAAGATTGTTTCTAAAAAAGAGACTGACTGTTTGTAAAGAATCATCATAAAAGAATTTAAATTTTATTTCAAATTAATAGCAATGTTGGGCAAAACTTATGTGATAAACTTGTGACTAAATACAACCTTACATTAAAAATATTTGTACATGTTTCTAAAAATGTATGTCAAAAGACAAAGGTAAAACATCTTTGATATCTAATATGTCACATTTTTCGCCTGGTGCGTCATTGTGAGAAAAATACACAATATAAGATTAATTAGAATAAAATCAGCGTGATTGGTCGTGCGAAAATTGCAAAATGTTACAAATGTATTTTATATGTAAATAATTTATTCGAGAAATATTATATAGATCTCATATTACTCACAAGTAAATTATGAACAGCTGTATTTCTATTGCATCTTATGGCTATATTTAAACAGGGAACAAGAGTTCATACACATATGTGTATATACACGCACATATATGTGTATATATATATATAATGTAATAATGATAGGAAAAATAATGTAATAACAATGAAACTGATACTCTGTTCAACAACATTGTATTTTAAGCTTTATAGATTTTTAGAAATTATAAGTGTTTAATTGAAGTGCGCTTATTTATCCTACAGATAAGAGCATACATAGTCCAACTAACATCAATAACGAATTTAGTTAGACGCACCTTAATATGCTGTATAATGCACATCAAAGGCACATATGTATAAATGATGTAAAAAGGCAATACATATGTACATGCGCCAAAAAAATTACATCGTTGCGTTTTTTTTTTGTCGTACGATAAAGATTTTGAATGTAGCGATAAAGTGATTCGATTTTGAATAGAGAATTTTACATAGATGCTTAAATCTTTGTCGTACAAGAAAACATGCAGTGATGTGAGATTAGTAGTTGTAAATACAAGTAATTTTTGGCGCAGTATATATGTTATAGTTTAATAACACTGTATGATTTTATCATATATCTATGATGTCCATTATTTTCACTCTTATTAATCAGTGTTACAACGAGTCTTCAATCTGCATTACACAGTATTCTATTTAACCGGCTCCGTTATAAAAACAGGTAATTCGTCATACAAAAAAAAACATTCATACAACGAATACGTAATAAACTATCAGTCAAAATAATTCATACAAGAATAATTTTTGTTTTTATTTCAATCATAAACGTGTGCACAAGTTGAAGTTTAAGATAAAAACTTCTTTTCGTGTAATATTTTGATATTTTTTATCGCTTTATTTACGAAGTAAATCTAATTCAGTAATATGTATGTGTGTACGTGTGTGTGTGATATAAGTGCGTCCAACATGATGACTAACACCATCACCTTGGACATTTGTATGTGTGAATAAGATTGTATTTTTTTCTTTTACCAAAGCTTATTGTTTGGAAAATATAAAATCCCATATCATACTTCACTATCCTACAAATGTTTACTGCGAACATACTACATGTCACTGCATTGAAAGTACTATTTCTTATCTTTGTACGAGGGAAAGTCAAAAAAAACAATATTTCCTCAATCTTTATGTATTTCTTAAAATAAAGTAAAGTGTTACATTTAAGTTATTATATTTAAATAGTTTTGTTTATTTATGTTTTGTATATTATTGTTTTTTCAACTGATATAAATGTATAGTTGTGTTCAGTATATTCGCTTTTGAACATATATCGCACATACCAATAACTATTTCAAGAAATTAAGTTTCACTTGCGTAAGTAAATAAGATATCTTCAATTAACATAATTCACGTCTGCACTTCTTTCTTTATGTCATCATCAAAACAAAAATATAGCTTTGCTTAGTTTACAAATCTTATAAATCTTATATCCATGAAAATGAAATAGGGAACTTCTTTATGACTTCCTCTCGTATCTGTGTGCATTATTTAATGATGCACATAAAAGATAAACAATAAACAAATGGAAATATCAGACATAACACTGAGACATACATTTCTAAAACTCGTACTCTAAAATTCTTTTTGATGGATGTGATTTTTTTTTTGTTTATACAATATGTAGCTGTTTCTCCGTCTGACGATGCTCTAACCGCTGAATATAATGAAGACGTGCAACTGTACGAGAAATCAACGTTCTTATATATATACAATTTATGATTACGTTTTAATCGTACAGTTTGCGCGTAGCATATAGTTCGATGCATTATGGTATTTTTTTTCTCGGTATACGCCACAATTGTGTTTTCACTTGTCAAGTTCCAGTGCAGCATATTGCTCCTCATCCACCTCTGTCATCATTAAATTTCCGTCTGGTAAGAGCAGCACTACTCTTCTAGTTCCCCCTGAAAAAAGGACTGGCTATACATTATATCGACACACTGTTGAATCTAATTAATTTTATTTGAAATACAGATATTACCTGGAGTAGGTTCATCAGCTTGTACTACTTGGGCTACTACTTGCGCCTGTGTTTCATTATCTTCCTGAGTAGTAGTAGTCACGTCAGCCGCATTCGCGTTATCCATTATAGACATCACCATTGAATTTTCGTTTGGTTCCGCCCCATCTTCCTTAACATAAAATTGAGGTGTGAGATTCACCTGATCGGGGATCAGTTGTGCCACAGCCTCAGCAACTGCGTGATCCAAAGTCAAAACGGAACCCTCGTCTCCTTGTTGCTCCGTGGTAACGTATACACATTGCTGTTCGCCGTCAGCACCACGAGCCACCAAAAGCGTCTGTCCATCCTCGGCCTGGCCTGCTACCTGATAGACAACACCGTGTTCAGCTATAGTAACTAGATTGGAAGCATCGGCCGTCGTCACTTTGCTCTCTTCAGTTATCTTTTCGTCGGATTTGACATCGGCCGATGTCGCAGTTATGTTAGTGACAGTAGATGTTGTAATCGTCGACAGTGCCGTAGTAATTGACGTTTCGGTTTTACTTTCCGGAGCAGTGGAAGTAGGAGTTTCTGTCAAAGTCGTTGCTGCGGATGTAGAAACCGGAGCGTTCACCGCAGTATCATCCAGACAAGGTAAATCCGGTGCGGACACTGTCACGGTCGACAGACTGATTTGTGCTGTTGGTGTTTCGCTAGTTTGAACGATGGTCCCAGTTGTTCCACCGGGGCTCATCTCGACTCTCATAATACCGCCGCTTTCTGTGAGCGAGTCGAGTGAAGGTAGAGTTAATTCGGCACTGGTGGTAACTGTGGTGTCCGCTGTTGCAGATTCAGACGACGTAGTAGTTGTCTTTGCTGTGGTTGACGTCGTTGATGATGTTGTCGTTTCGGGTTCTGGTTCCGGTTGATCGATCGGTTCGCCATCTGGTCCTATTATACGTCCTGTGAGGGGGCACAATGTGAACGGACGCGGCGGACTATCAGGTTCCGGAGCTGTGATAGCGTCTGGTTCGGGAACAGGTGGCAAATCTGGTTCATCTTCGCTACTACTTTCCTCTGAATGAACTTCGTGGAACTCCATGTGCAAACCATCACCTTCTGCCAATTTACTCTCCTTGGTTTTAGCTCCCACTTGAGCAATTCCTTCAGTACTTTTCACCTTGCTTCGTGTCACACCAGCACGAGCACCTGTTAAAAGTCCACGACCGCTTGCTTTAATAATGCCCGCTGCCTCTTGAGCTTTTTTCTTTGCTATTAACAGCTTTTGCTGCGGAGTTAACAGCGATTGTGTCTTGGCCAATGGTGTTTTCGGAGAAGATTTTGTTTGTTGTTGTGATTGTATCGGACTGGTTCCAGGTTTGACTACCTGTTTGGCGTGCACAGTTTGCACGACTGTTTGCGGGGATGCTATAATTCCTGTGACTTTTGGCTTTTGCGTGACCGTGCTTGTGGAATTCGGTGAAGCGGCCGGTGTGCTTACGACTGTTGTCGTGCGCTTCTGCACAATCGGGCGCGTCGTCACTGGTGTTTGAACTTGTTTTGGCGCTGGTGCTTTAACTGGTGTGCGAATGGTGCTAGTATTGAGAACGCTACTAGTACTCACTGTGCGCAGTGTCGGTCTAGGCAGTAAAGGGCGACAATCGACCGGACGTTGGGGCGTGGCAACAGCAGGTCTTATACCTGTAGTTATTCTCGGCTGCAAAGTTATTGGTGCTTGTACTGCGGTCACAACGTGTATCTGGGGCACTTGCGTCGCGGGATCAGGTTTTGGCTGAATCTTTATAGGCTCTATTTTCTGTGTACCTCCTGTTTTTGGTGTCACAGGCTTACACGGGATCATCTTCATCTGCGATACTGTCGAGCTTCCATCTACCTTCGAAACCACTTTCACCGTGGGTGTCAAAGAATTCGATTGTGACGTCGAAATTATTTGTTTTCTCACTATATTATCACGATTTTGAACTCCGATTAAAACAGGAGTTGTTCCCGGAGTTGGAGATCCTTTGACCGCTAGTTTACCGCTGGGCGATGAATCCAATTTAATGATACCATCCTTACGGGACATAAGATATACGCCGGAAGTTAAATTTGGCATCTGTTTGGGATCAACTTTAACTACTCCCTTGGCGTTAGCTACTAAAACAGGTGCCTGACTACTCTTTCCTTCGGGAGACTGTAATCCCAACGAAGTAGCCAGATCGGTGGAAGAGACCGAGGCTCTATTAGAACCATTGGATTGCGCATGAGCACGGCTGAACGCACGTTGAATCATGTCGCTGCGTCCAATCAGCCTATCATCTTCAGATTCTCCGGTCCAGTCATCGTCACTGCCGGTATCAGCTTTAGTTCTCTTTGCAGTTATTACATCATCCGAATCACTGTCCGAATCGTCAATTCTTCTTTTACCAGTTACTAAAGTTACACACGTATTAATTAAATCAACACATGCAGCATTGTTTATTTAACTGTATCAACTGTCAAATTGATTAATACATACATTCGTTTTCTTCGTCTTTCATCGATCCAACCCATTGTTTAACTTGATTCATTGCTTTCGATTTACTAGAACGCATTGGTCGTCTATATATTGCAATACAACCAACACACATTTATCACATTTAGGACGAAATCATAAAAGTAATTTATAGAAATAAATATTGAAGCGTAGAAAAATGATTTATAGAAAATCAAGTTATCAATAAAATTAAATATAGAAATAGAAGTAAAAACTTATGTTACATAGAGTTATTTCATTAATATGTATCAATGTATGAAAACAAAACAATCGCTCACCCCACTTGAGGAGCTGTGCTTGGTCCAGGTTTACTAGCTTCAATTTTTATCACTTTTTGGGCTGATACGTTTGCACGCGCTTGCACGATTTTCGCATTTGCTTGCTGAGCTTTCAACTCCTTTTGCTTAGCGAGACTACGTTCAAACTCGTCCACCATATCTTTACAAGCTGATACAGTTTCCGCAGTCTCCCATGTATTGCTATCGCTATAAGAAATGTCATACTTTTTAAGTTAAGAGAATCTTACAAAAAGAAATACACACACAATTGAAAACACTAACTGTGAGTGATCTTCCCATTTTATCAAATATTCCGGACATTTCTTCTTTGGATTGAAGCGTTTAGCTAAAATTTTCTCGATAATATACTCATCATTGCTCAATTCAGAATTTTCTTCAGTACCTGCTTTGCTAAGTTTAATCTGTAGGCAAAATTAAATCAAACATTCAGTAAAATATTTTAAGTTTATGTAAATATTAAACAATGTGATTATGGAAAACCTTCGGCTTTATTGATGGTTTTATTTTCGGTTTTTCCTTCTTCTCTACTTCAACTTCCATAGGTTCACTTTTCTGTGGTGGTTTTGTTTCCGACTTTACAGTATCTTTTTCAGCTTCGGTTGTTTCCTCCTCTGGTTGTCCGTTCTTCACAATTTTGCGGAATACTACTGTTTTACCTGTACGAATAAAATATAAACAAATATGATTTTTTGTACTTTTATATTAAGTTTAATTTGTTATAGCTCTAAATGTTATAAAGAACCAAAGAAACCAAATAATTGAGAAAAAAACATAGAAAGTTACAAAAAAAACTCTGATTTATTGTAATTAACAGTACCATCAGGTGTTGTGGTAGTAGTAGTTGTTGATTCATTTGATTGAACTTGTATTGGTGTTTCTTGCATCTTGGTAGTGCTTATTTTTGTAAAGGTTTGTATTGTTTTTCCAGCAACGATCCAGGAATCTCTTATGTGCGTATCCAGTTTACACCATTTCTGATACATCTTCCACGCGTTAGTGGAATTCTTATCTAAGCCTTCCTGCTGGATATGTGAATCCTTCCATAACAAAAATGCCCAAATCTGTGCTTTTTGTCCATTCTATAAAAACAATTTTTTCATTAGTTTTACATGATTAATAAATTTGTGTAATTATATTTTACTTTATAATTGTCTAAAAAACAATATTTAAATATACAATTAGATACAAACATCGTTATTTTCACGATAATGGGACACTTTGGGACAGGCCCCTTCCTTTGTGTGATGTTCCTGAAGTTCCTCCACAAAATGAAATACTGAATGACATTGTCCACAAACTAATACATCTAATCGTCCTATTTCTTCTTGTGCCGCTGATGGATAAGAAAAGGAATTGCATGAAAGATAAGTGACAAACAAATGACCAATGTAATATACCGAATTCATTTGTATTAGTTTTTGTGTGCTATTTTTGCACTTTGAATAAGATAGATGTTCATATATCTCAGAAAACAAAATTAAAATACAAAGAATGTAACACAAGCAAATTCACTATTACAGTTTTTATAATTCATTTTTGTAAAAAAAAAACATTTATTTTACTTGAATTACTTGAAATTTTTAATTAAAATCATTTGAGTGTTCATAATTAATTACAAAGATATTTTAGAATAGATGAAACTACATTACCCTTAATAATATTTGGCGTAGTAGTGACGGCCGAAGGGCCATCGCCTCCTTCNATTCTGTTTTNTNTTNTTNTTTTCTACAAAAAAAAAAAAAAAAAAAAAAAAAAAAAAAAANNAAANAANATTAATTGACAAAGTTACAAAGAGTGGACAACAAATCTCTCACTTGGCCCGGCTATATCGACTACCATTATAGGAGGTACGGAGGGAGAAAGAGATTTAGTGGTTTATCAAACTAGAGAGACGCTGTCTCCAAACCGCAAGTCTCAAGGAGAAAAAAAGAGAAAGCACAAAAAGCGTTCTTCGCCGACTGCGCATTTTGGCGCATGTTCCGAATTTCGCGGTCTTTTACGCGCCGGAAACAAGAAAAACCGCGGCCGGTAGTCGCGCGATCGAACAAGGAGTATATAAAATTTTTTTAAAGACGAGAGTTGTGTGCCGCTGAAACGACCGATGTTTGTGCACGCGCGCACTCGCTTCCATGCGCGACGTTACATCGTCTGGCGGCCGCCTATTATCTTACGTGTCTACATAGCCTATAGTATTTGTTTTGTTTTGTTTTGTTTACTTAGAAAGAAGAAAGCACCTTAACGCGGAAATACGTTTTCCGTGCGAAGGAAGAAACAGGTAACGCCGGGGGGTGGATGCGCGAAGATACGCCGAGAGTTGATTTGTAAACGCGGCCAGTTACGTACGGCGTAAACTACGAACGAAAGTGGCGACGAAGAGAACGCACGCACTTGTTCCCGCCACGATCCCCGCAGCGGAATTATCCCGCACTATTTGACGAGCTAGGAAAACTATTTGTCGAAGGTTTACGTGGGGGAGGGGAAGAGGAAGAGGGGCACAGGCTGTGGAGATGACTCGATGAGGAACGACGATGCCGCTTCGACCAGCGACGTCGCCACCGTTCCCCCCCACGTATTGTTATCGAATCGCCAACGTCGCCGACGATGTTTCGGCACGGCCGTTCCCCGTCTCTGTCTATTGCACGCCGATGCAAGCCGATGATCATCAAAGATGGCTCTCGTTGCCGATATGCGTATACAACAGGCCCCGCACCACTTCCTGTGTCACCACATGAAAGGCTTTCCGAACACACCGCGGCGCGCGCGGATTAACGCGATAAACCGATAGCGTTGTCGTAACTCGCGAATTAACGACCACAGACACTTACGTTGCGTCGAGACCGGTTGCGAGAAAACGGCCGGAGTCTTTCCTCAGTTTGGGAAATTGTCCTTCGTCGTGCGAGACACGATGAAAACAGCGTCCGCGTCAGCCGACAGTGGCGCCATGGCGGCCGCCCGTTTCGCCGCCGCTACCTTCTTTTCCGCCGCCTATTCTGCCCGTCGTGCCCCGGGGTCTGTCCGACCAATCGCGCCTCGTCATTTTAAGCGGGAACTCTTCTCGCGACCTTGAACACACTTTAAATTCATCGCGATCTCGCGTGAGAAGAAAAACCAAGTTGCAAGTTTTCTTCAGAAAGTGAAAGTTGGTGTAAAAATTCGTGCTGTTGACGCGATCCATTGTTCCCGAGATATCCTCCTTTTCCTATATCAAGTTTCGCAGTGCGTCGACGTTTTTCAAACAAAACTTTGCAAAAATTAGACCAATTGTAGATGCGAAGAGAATTGTCGAATAAAAACAAAAGAGAGTAATAGGAGTTCGCGCGCGATTGCAACAAACCTGTAAAAAAGCCGTGGTATTGCGTTTTGTGTTTTTAATGTTAAGTAAGGATTTCTTTCTCTTTTTTTTTCCCGCATATATTTAAAGTTCAAATGAAATTCAACAAACTTGAATCGTTTGGTCTTTCAACACATGCATTGTCCTACTTATTTGAGATTTGAATTTTTTTAGGGGTTATGTTGATTATAAACACATTAACCTTTTTGAGACGAGTTATAATGAATACTAATTAAATAATTTTTATACATTTTTATACATTTGTCTTGTTGTAACAATGTTGCGTAACATCTGTTTGCTGTAGATTGATTGTCTGTAATTGTCAATATAATGGCGGAAGAAGAAACTGAAGAAAAGGAGTATCGTTGGGAAACTGGTTACGAAAAAACATGGTAAGTTTGTTGTTAAATATTAAATAACATTTGTGTGCTTGGTGCAAACAGCATTTTTAAATAAATAAATTTTTTTTGAACAACAAGTATACTAACGTTTGTTTTTGTATTAAAGGGAAGCGATCAAAGAGGATGATCATGGATTATTAGAAGCATCTGTCGCAGATATAATACACAATGCTAAGAGAAAACGTCAGTTAGAACGGAAACAAGGTGCCAGATTGGGAATGATGAGACATCTTTATATCATCTTGGATGCTTCTGAATCAATGTCACTTCAAGATTTGAAACCAACTCGTTTCCTATGTTCTCTAAAGGTACAAAAAAGCATCAATCAAGTATAATTACACTACTTGTTTATATATTTATATATATACAATATATAGATATATATACATATATATATATATGCAAGTTAATTGTATACATACAAATTAATGTTATTAAACATACTTGCTTTAAGCTTCTAGAAGACTTTATCGAAGAATTTTTCTATCAAAATCCTATAAGTCAATTAGGAGTGATTATAACAAGAAATAAAAGAGCTGAGAAAATTAGTGATTTGGCTGGTAACTCGAAAAAACATATCAAGGTAATAGGTTTCTAGTGTGTTATCTTTATTCTGAATACAATTTTGTTTCACATCAGAGATTTACTGAATTATTTACAAGGAATTACGAGCCTTACAATTGACTGCAATGACTGGCGAACCCTCGTTGCAAAATTCTTTGGAATTGGCCACAAAGTCGCTGAAGTTATTACCTTCTCACGCCAGTAAGGAAATCTTGGTAATCATAGGTGCTCTTACCACATGTGACCCAGGAGACATCAACGAAACAATACAAGTATGTTTCAACTTTTGTCATTCAATATATTTGCTTCAAAGATCTCTTTGATACAGAAGTGATTTCAGAATCTAAAACTGGACAGTATCAGATGTAGCGTAATAGGACTAGCGGCTGAATTGTTTATCTGCAAACGAATGGCGAGTGTCACCGGTGGCGAACACGGTGTTGCGCTTGACGACAAGCATTACAAGGAGCAGTTAAATGCGCACATAGATCCTCCACCTGCGGCGACGCGTTTAGATGCTGCACTTGTTAAAATGGGCTTTCCTCATCATGCTTTGCAGTCCAACGTATCGGACACTTCTATAACCGTGTGCATGTGGTAAGTGTGCACAGACTACAGCATAAGTTACATACATATCGTGATACTCTTTCTTTTCCTCGCATGTGCACATTTTTGAATTTTTTATTGCAGCCACGCAGAGAATTCCGACGACTCGGTAAAACTTACGAGTACAGGTTACCTCTGTCCTCAGTGTCTCAGCAAACATTGCGAACTTCCCGTGGAGTGTAGAGCTTGCGGTCTTACTTTGGTGTCAGCTCCTCATTTGGCGCGATCGTATCATTATCTGTTTCCCGTTGAGCCTTTTAAGGAAGTTGCGTTTGAGGACAATCACACTTTCTGTTTCGGTTGCCAAAAAGGATTTACTCAAAAGGACAAAAAGGTAAACTGCTGTCATATCTAATGTTTTTACACAATTTTTTTAACTTATCTCTACGTACCTATATAAACTATTACTATCAAAAATCAAACGTTTAACACGACAGCTAAATAAATGTTTATCAAAATTGTTATCTGTAACCGAGAAGTGTGTTATTAGTCAAACAATGTGTCACAATTCTAACTCACTTCGAGAAGAAAACAACGACTTGAACACTTAGATGAATGGCGTAAGAATAACATATTCTATTTATTTTAGGTTTATATATGTGAAAAATGTAATCAAACATTTTGCCTGGATTGCGAGATATTTATTCATGAAATTTTGCACACGTGTCCCGGTTGTGCAACAAATCCTGAAACTTACAGAAACTCTGCCGATCAATCTTAATGCGATTTCGGTGCAAATTTTACATACATAAAAAACAATTTTATCTTAGTCTAGCATTTATTGGTTTTACTCTGTCAAAGAGTAACAAAAACTAATAATACTTTTTGACAGAGTAACGAAACTATTAAGTGCTACGTAAAATTGTTAACAAACTCTTAGAATTTGTAATGTGAAAAATGTGTTGTGTCACACTTGTAGAAATTTTTGTATAAATACGTATTTTATATGAATATTGTTAGAAATAAAACACGTAATATTGTGTAAGTTTATCAAAATCAATTATCAAGTTTTTATATATTTGCGAAAGGTTTATGATTGCGTTATAGCGCCGGTTGATTAGATAAATCTTTGTGCAATAAGAACGTAAGAAGAATTGCAGACACTTCGATTTTTAAATTTAAAAAGAAGACATTTTTTATTTTACCAAAACCTAGACGAAGAGTAAACTTGAAGAAACATCTCCGCTTAAAGGATTCTAGTAAGGACGCTGACGATCGGCACGTGATCGGCGCTTAGTCGGTGACACGCGTAACACGGTGGCTTTCCTAACGCAGCGCAAATATCTCTTACCTTAATAACATGGTGGGGGAAGCATTGAAGCTTATTACCGCCTAGACAGGTGGAAAGTGAACATCGTGAGATTACGCAGAATACGTTTATTAATTTGCGATCTGTCTGCCGACGCGAATGGTTGTTTAATGCATTCGCAATTTAACTCGCATTATCTGTCCTATGTTGATCGAGTTTAGCGGACAAACGACAAAAACTTATTCGATTCGTGTTAATATTTATGCCTTTGCACATATCTCAAGTCAGGTGAGTTTATTTACATCAAATTGTATAATTATTCTTTTATTATGTATACATTTCAACATTCGTCTCGTGTCACAATACGAGTTTCTTTTATCTCGTTTTACTCGCTGTGCTATTTCAAAAAGCTTTACCGTGACCGAGATCACATGCCGCGTGAATATCTTACAAATGTTTCGTAAGTGGTGCGGAATAATCACAATCTGATTTCTGAAGTGGTATAAATTTTGAAAATTATAAAATCAAATCCATTTATTTGGAGCTGTGCATAAAATGTAAAATTTTTCTAGCACGCGAAATACCGTATATGTGTACACATACTTTGTGTGTGTGTGTGTGTAGAACTTGAAAATAGATTCACGATCAATGACAAAAAAATACTTAAAATTTGCAATAATTTGCAATAATTTTTTTTCCTGATCAGTAATTTTATGATACACAATGTTGTATCTCTCTTTCTGGGAACAACATTCTTTTTTCTTGTATTCTCGATAATTTTCACAATAAGCAATATAGATTAAAGCAGGCGTTATCAATGACAGTCACAATTATATATTTGCATGTATGTATCTGTGTAGATATGTACGATTAAAATAAGATACTTGTCTCTCTCTTTCAATCCACTGCGATTATAATTTTAATAAATAAATAAATAAATATAGCTTTATATATTTTAATAAATTAATACAGATAATTGTTTTGTTTACTTAAATCGGAGAGTACAAGTGTTTATTACACATATAACCGCCGTTATCTTGTTATCATTCTTTACTGAAAGAAATCTTTTATATCTTTTGTACTATGTATTACAACTGGCAATTATAAATTGAAGAATACTTAAGACAGAAAAAGTAGCACTGCAGTAGACACAATGTCTCGTCAGGATTGTTTCTTATCTCTCTCTCTCTCTCTCTCTCTCTCTCTGTTTATTTATTTTAGTATATCTTTGAAAGCTTCTCGTTTTTTTTTTTTTTTTTTGTTTGACGTGTATTTAATAATACACGAATTTATTCTTACACAAGATGGTTGTAAATATCTTATGCGTTTCTGTTTGAAATTATACTGTCGTATTTGTTAATTTGTGCTTAATTATCTACTAATTAATTATTTACTGTAATGCTTATCTTATTAAGGTTTCTCAGAAACTGATAAAGTTATTCTTTGAAAAAATACTTATATAACAATTATATAAAATCATAATTAGCAGATATTTATAGGTAAAGATTTTATCATTTTTTATTTACTTAATCGAATAGATTGTTCTTAACCTTGCAATAAATAAAAATTCTATATAGAGTAAAAGTTGATCAAATATCCAAGCGGATTTTAAATGGCAAAATGTGCTGTTACAAATATTCTTTTTTTTTTTTGTCGGACACGCCACGAGTAGTTAGTTATTCATTGTATTGGCGAACGTTAAATAACTTCAAGGCCCGTTCAGCGTTCCCGATAAAGAAGTTACAAAAAAACGATCGAGCTATAAAAACTAGGCGTAATGACTTCCGGAGAACGTTTGTCTGAATTTTTACAATCGTGCAAATCATTAGTAATTTTACATGTAACGTAATTGTCAATGATTATTTGAGAAACAACATGTAATTGAGAAAATTTGTAAACTTTGAAGATAATTCGAAATTTATTGCGCGCACGGTTCTTGTTGCGTTTCAACGCTAACGATATGAAGTATCGTAAAACGAATCAACAATGTTGTTCAGGAATTAAATTGTAAGTAAAACGCGTTTGATTAGCCGAGACTATCCCGCAGATTGCTATGGATTACTTTTGCTGCGGAGGTTTTTTTAATGACACGTCGTATATTTCATTAAATAACTGTTCACACTATCGAGAACTTTCCTCTTAGATAAAGACAACGTATCATTTAGTAAAATCGCAAGTTTAGTAAAACATCGTTCGATTTCTTTCTATCTTAATGTTAACGGTTTACCTTGAACAGTATATCGCTTTTTTTTCCACGAAAAAAAATTCATTGGAATTCCTGTCCGAGAGAGATATCTGAGCTTTCGCGCCGTGATCACACAATCTGAAATCTAACTTTAATCTAAATAATACATTTACTTTTACCGTAATTTAATCGGCTTGCGTGATTAGAGTAATATGAGCGGATGATTTTTTTTAAGGCGATATCGAGCAACAGGAGACAGAGAGCTAACAAATACTTGTCTCGATTGAAACATTGCATTTGAAACGATTGCAAATGCGCAATGAAAGTAAGAACGGAACGTTGTTTGACTTGATAAAAAAAATTATCCTTGTCGGAATTATTATATGTCTTTATTAAAAGGCTTATATTTCTTTCCTCAACATAATACTCGCGTCAAAATCACACATGCGCTCTATTTTTGCTTATATGTATTTTTACGCACGCGTTGTGTTAAATGAAAGAAAAATATGCAGCTATTTGAGAAATAATATTTAACTTCAATGCACATTTGTAACTTGGATATAACGGAATGCGAAGAGATAAGATACGAATGCAATCTGTCGACTTGTAATTAAAATGTGTTACATCACTGTAATTCTATTTCAAGTAGTTTTAGTTTTCTGTTTTATGTGTTATTTATGTTATTATTTCGCGTTATTTAATTCAAACGTGTGAGTATTGTACACGTACGTTCTTCTTTTTGTAAGATCGAGAAAGACAGTGTTGCAGGCTTGTTTCTACAGGAAGATGTCAACACATTTTCATGTATCACAATACCGGTGATATATTTACGCGATGTCCATTGTTTGACTACTACTTAATGAGTGTGTTTTTTAACGCGTCGTTGAGGAAACACTTCTTCCTAACGTATTACCTCTTGATGGGTTTTAATTTTTCTATTAGGATAAATGATCGTGAAATCTGATAATGACTAAATTAACCAGGTTGAGCGTTTTTTTATAGCGCTTATAAGAAGATTTCAGCTTGATGAAGAGAATCCTTAATGTTTGTTGAAAGTAAGGAATGATAAGTTAGATCATAACACAACTGCTGTGTTTTCAAATCAGTTTCTAACCACAACGATATATATACCGTTGTTATTAATTAATAACCATATAACAACGGCGTAGTTTGATTTTTTTTCTAGATAGAATAGTCTAAGAAATAAATTCCGCGCCTACTTACATACATACATGCGTGAAGCTCTTGCATGCAAAAATGAAGTGGAGTGAATATGTACGAGGAGAATAAGTGAACGGAGAGAGAAAGTGACATCAAGGTCGAAAGTGCCTATGGCAGTAAAATAGAATGTTTAACGCAGAATTTGTGCAACTCTGCAAAATTGAATTCTTCTGCAAATTTCGTTAAAAAAAAATTCACTTGATTATATTTTACATCAAGCTAAAATGCCGAAAAATTAAAATTAAACACATCTCACAAGTTTAACAAATGTATAATACCGTACTGTAAAAATGTAAAGACCGTACGGTAGAGAGCACTTGCATATATACATATTACTTATATTTATCAAACATGTATAATTATCTTAATTCCTTTCGTTTCTTCTGTTATCTGGATGGTTTCTTCGATAGCTGATTGCTGCGCGGTTGCACAACGTTCCGCAAGAAATCAGTTTTGCAAGAATATGATCGTGCAATAATTTATCGATGAAAGGAGATACTTCTAATAAAACGTCTTATGTGTATCTGTGAGATTTTGCACAAGATACAAACTATCTGATAAACGTATTCTCTTTCTTTACATTTTATTTATTAGCACAGTTGCATTCGTAATAGATTCAAGCTTTGTATGTGCGCTCGATAAAAAAAACGCAAAACTCGTTTTTTTTTTTTTTGTTTTTAATTACGTTTTAGTATCGTTTGTTATTACGTTTTGTTTACTATGCAATAATAAACAGCATGAAATAATGTTGTTACACAGGTGAAGAGAGAATCAGGTCGATATGACGAGTCGACTGTGGAATATGACGAGTCGACTGTGGAAAGCCTTGTCGCGAAGACGTGTGGAGGAGAACGATGCAGGAGAAAAGAACAAAAAACTGGCACGAGTTCTCGGTTTGTTTGATTTAACTGCACTCGGTGTGGGCGCGACCCTCGGTTTAGGCGTTTATGTCCTTGCCGGAAGCGTAGCGAAAGAGACCGCCGGACCGGCCGTTTGTATCTCATTTCTCATAGCCGCCGTTGCGTCCGCACTTGCAGGTAAGAGATATCGCGCAATTTATTTAAGATATTTATTATCTTAAAAACGTCATATTGAATTGCGCAAAAATTCAAACAAACACTTGTAAAAAATATAAGATAAAAAATGTAACTAAATAATAATATACATACACTATATATATATATATATATGTGTATATATCAATGTACTTGTTCGTTGCAGGCATGTGTTATGCGGAATTCGCATCGAGAGTCCCGAAAGCCGGCTCGGCATATGTTTATAGTTACGTAACAGTAGGCGAGTTCATCGCCTTTGTGATTGGATGGAATTTAATTTTGGAATACGTAATAGGTGAGAGTGTGCGAGAAACTAAAAAAGAAAAAAAGTGAAAAGAACGAACGCTCTCTGATTTACGATATGTCACGGATAACTGCAGCACTCGCAATTTAATTTTTTCACATCAGGTACGGCAAGCGTCGCCCGAGGTCTCAGCAATTATATCGACGCGCTGATAGGATACTCTATTCGCGACACCATGCGCTCTCTTATGCCCATTAACGTTACCTTTCTGTCGGAATATCCGGATTTCTTCGCCTTCGGCATGGTCATGCTGCTGGTGGCGTTACTATGTGTGGGGGTAAAGGAATCGTCGATGTTAAACAATGTGTTCACCGTTATAAACATATTAACTATAACAATCGTGATTGTCGCGGGATCATTGAAAGGTAAATTGTTTTTTCTCAAGTCTATTAGCATCGTAGTTTTTTCCGATCGTAATTTTCGATTTGTTGGTCTTCGCAGCGGATCCGGCAAACTGGTCGATCGCACCGGCGGACATTCCGAGCTCCGTAACTGACGGCGGAACGGGTGGATTCATGCCGTTTGGTATCGGCGGAGTGATGATCGGAGCGGCAAAATGTTTCTACGGATTTGTAGGATTTGACGGAGTCGCTACCACCGGCGAGGAAGCGAAGAATCCTCAGCGTCATATCCCGCTGGCAATCGTGTTTTCTTTAATCATTGTATTCGTGGCGTACTTCAGTATTTCTACGGTTTTGACGATGATGCTGCCTTATTACGCTCAGGTGTCGTTTTCACGATTTTAAAAGTAACGCGAGAACAATTAGAAAACTTTTTGATCTTTTGTTTTTTTTTTTTTTGTAAGAATGTGAATGCAAGATAAAAATATTTGCGTAGGACGCGGACGCTCCGTTTCCGCACGTGTTCGACGAGATCGGCTGGCCGGCCATCAAATGGATCGTCAATATAGGCGCGATATTTGCGCTGTGCACCAGTCTCCTAGGCGCGATGTTTCCCTTACCGCGTGTGCTATATGCCATGGGGAGCGACGGATTGGTGTTCAAATTTCTTTCTAAGGTGAACCCCAAGACGATGACACCTGTGTACGGCACAGTGCTCTCCGGCCTCCTAATCGGTATATAAAAACTTACGAGATGCGCACAACAATTCGAAACAACAAATAACGAGATACGAATATGTAGGACATCCTTGAAACGTATTTATTTCAATTAATACAACTGATAGAAATCGCCCTTTGTTCTCTAGGTCTTATGACGCTCATCTTTAATCTGCAACAGTTGATCGACATGATGTCTATTGGCACTTTACTTGCGTATACAATAGTGGCGATAAGCGTTTCAATATTGAGGTAACATATCGGCTTGCACTTGTAAATGTTTTCCGAATGAATCATCGAAGGAATTATCAAATACACACAAATAGGTCTTTATAGATATCAGAACGAAGATGCCACCGCTACAATACCGATAAATTATCAATTCACGCCTGTAAACATGTTTAAGGAGTTGTTTAATTTGCATAATCAAAAGGAACCGACGGAGCTCTCTAGTAGAATCGCGAATATCAGTATTGGTTTATTATGTGAGTTTTTATAATAAATATTGCTTTATTAACATTTGTGTTATATACATTTTGCTCAGTACAAGTGTTTGTGTTAGTGCATGCGTCACACTAGATGCTCTGTACATTATTTACATTACATTACATTATCCACACTATATATGTTTTCATCCTTTCTTCTCCTTTTCCATATTATGCTCCACATTCTTGCCAGCGCACGCGCTCCAGTTATTTGCTGTATCCAGCTTTCGCGTTTTTCTCCCGTGAATTCACACTTCTCAAAGACATGTTGAAGNGTCTCTTCCTCTTTTCTGCATAGTCTACACATCCTATTCTCTTCTATTTCCCAGTATTTGTTTGCTCTCGTTTCGGTTCCTAGTCTGAATCTTGCCTTCATTTCCATAGCTCCTTTCTTATTGTTCTCTTTCTTTAGATATTCCGGCTTTTCCATTGCTTCTGGTACCAAATATCTAAATTCTTTTGCAAAACTGGATTTTTCTATTTTCTCTTCCCATTTTTGTCTTTCTATGCATTTACTTATTTCTTCTAAATCAATCCAAATTCCGCTTCCGTTTTCTATTTTACGATTATAGAATTCCGTCGACCATCCCTTTTCCTCAAAATATTTTTTTCTTGNATTTTTCCATCTTTCACTTTTTTTACCTATATTATTTATCCTTATTTCAGAGCTGAATTTGTTTTTTACTCTTATACACTCTTTCATCAGTTCATTTCCTCTACTTTTCATTATTTTTTCTTCATACTTTACAGCTCTTATTCCTGACTTGGTTGCTATTTTGTTTCTTTTTGTTTCTAAAAACAGCATGTGGTTAGGGGTTGTCTGGTCCAGTTTTAGTGTCCATTTTATATACTTTCCTTGTATACTTTCNATTTCTTTATATTCCTTCCAGCCCCATATCTCTACTCCATACATCATAATGCTCTCTACCAAGACTTCAAACAGGTACATTCTTTTTTTCCAGTTGTCCTTGAAATTTCTTTCTCCTATACTCCATACCTTTCCTAAAACAGCTATTGCTTTTTTTCTTATGTTNTTTATGTGTGCTTCGTCTCCATTATTCTTTTGCAAAGTGTATCCGAGGTAGCTGAATTCTTTCACCTCCTCGATTTCCTTTCCTTCCCATGTAAACTTTATGTTCTTCTTCCTTCCTCCTGCTTTTCTTCCGTGTGAGTTTTTATATAAATAGTATATAATAGTATATATATATATGTATATATATATAATAGTATATACGCGAGCTGTGTATTAACAATATAAACATTATATTTTTATACAATATAGATTTTTTCATAACAAGTAATCTTTATGAGAATGTTAAAAAACTAGAAAATTTAATTATTACAGGTGTCATTATATGCATCATTATCTTTCTGATTACTAACATGGGCGCGCAAGTAATTGCAGGAAACGTGTTAGTGTGTGTGATATTACTTGTACTAGTTATTGTACTTTTATTGAACTTAGCAGCGATTGGTAGGCAACCGTCACAAAAGACTGAATTATCTTTCAAGGTAAGAATATGTGAGCGTATAACGTATTTTCATTGTATCGTTACATATAGTAACATCCAAGAATTTATTAATTTTATACAATTGTTATGAATTCTATAGGTACCTCTTGTTCCACTTATTCCATGTCTCAGTATTTTTATAAATGTATATTTAATGTTCCAATTAGACGTCTTTACTTGGATTAGATTTGGCGTTTGGTTATTAATTGGTGAGTCTTAGAAGAACTATTTCAAGATTTCAAAGTTTTGCCAAAATGTCTGAATTGGAAGTACCTATTTTTTGTGTTCATTCAGGTTTCTGCATTTATGGTTTCTATGGAATTACGCACAGTGAACAAGGAAAACGAAATAAAGTACAACGCAAAAAATTAGAAAAAGTAGAATCGTACGGGAAGTTTAGAATAGTATCGGCATTTTAAACAATTTTGTTTTAAACACAAATTGTAGAAAAAATTGAGATTTTACAAAAACTTTTACAGTTTACTTTTACAAATCATTGGTGGATACCCACACGGAACAAAATCTCCATTAGACGTCTATTAGACGTCGACATCTAATAGATGTCTAATGGATGTCTGGATGGATGGATGGATGTCTGTGCGGATACGGTCTAATTTGTGTTACACAATTTATTCAAAACATCATTTAATCTTCATTTTTCATTAAATATAGAATGTTTTGCATTTGTAGCGCGATTTGAATTCTATTGATTGATGTAAAACACTGTTTTTAAATATTTATTATCTAACATGAAATGTATTTTTTAAATTTTTAGTGGGTAATTTTTATTAACATTACGTATTGTAATTAATTTAGAATTAATCTTTAAATAAGGATTTTATTTGCATTAAATATTTATGTTTTTTTTAATCTTTAAATAATGTGTTTTGTCTCTATCAGAAACACAAATATAATATTGTATATTCTTTTTTTAATAAGGTTTTGTTTGATAGAGTTACGTTTGTGTGTATATGTGTATACAAAACTTATTAAAAAAAGAAAATACGTATATAATATAAATAAATATATAGTATTTATATATAGTGNTAAGAATATACATATTATAATAATAATATCGATAATAAGTATAGTGCGTTATAATAAAAGCACATTTTATTGTGATAATTATTTATAAAATAGAAGTAACATGTGTACATATGCGCTTTACATTAATGAAAGCAAAAAACAAATCACTGAACAATATTTGGTACAGAATACTTTTCATTTTACAGGGAGATTAAGTACTACCTTTAAATATAACGTTTCTTTACAATAAAATTGTTTTTATTTAAATGTGTGCGAGAGAAACTCTAAATATTAGTAAAATCAATAACATGTCGCACACATGTCAAAAGACTTCACCAATATTCGAGCAATGTGTGATTTATGTGTATATAACGGATTTAATATTTATAACGTTGTAGATTATAAAAAAAATAAAGTAAAAAAGTAAAAGCAACTCTTTAAATATTATAGAAATTTATCATGATCATTGGAATGTGTATATCACAAAATAGTACTTTTAATTTTATACGTATAGCTTTTGCGCGCTATTTTTCTAGTCACAGGTTTGTTGTGATCATCATGTGATTGTTATTTTTCACATTCCAGAATAGCCTTATCAAACTCGTTTTTCTTACTTGCTTATCACACAAAAAGTAAAATTAAAAAAGTTGCATTTTAAACATTAAACCTATTTTGAAGTTTGTTTAGAGAAGCACAGATCTATTATATATAAAATTTTATATATATTATTTTTCAATGTCTACAATAGCAGAATGCGAGTTTGGTGCGACTATTCTAAAACTATTAGATACAACAAACAAATACGTTATATATTATTATTTTATCACGTAAGCATTTGATAATGCAAATAAGAACTTAAAATAGTATAATATATTCTCTAAATTAGATATTATACATGTATGTATATATAATTTATAATACTTTGTAAATCACTTAACATTATCAACGTATATAATATATATGATACTCAGGAAAGTATTCTTAATATCGATAATGTTAAGTAATTTAGTGCGTAATTGTTGACCACAAAGAGACTGGCAATATAGTACGACATGGATTGTAGATTGATGTGTCTGTGTTCGTACACGCATGTGTAAGTATATACAGTACAACACAATGCAGTATCTTACAAAGCAATCACAAGAGAATTATTACTTACTTTATATTACTATATAGGCGATTTTAAAATGATTGCAGTACAGATTATTTGGTTTTATTTACAAGTCCTCCAAGAGTTATACTTTGCCAGTTTGCCTGTTAGAAAAAAAATATATTAAATAAAACTTAAATATTTTCTAATAATATATTAAGTGTTATATTACGAGAAAGTGTAACGTACCCCTATGCCAGTTACCCATCCAGTTCCAGCTGGGTTTTCATGTGTAATACCGATTCTTCGGCAGATAATGCCGGCTCCTGAAGTCGCCCAGATCTGTCCCTGTTCTCTCGAAACAGATATATGTCGAAATCCTTGTTTGGCATTTGCCACTGACATGTCTACAAATATGAATATGGATGTAATTTTAAGAAATATTAACAATATACTCGATAGCAATTTGCAGAGAAGAGCATTTAATACCTATATGAATAGGATCGTTTGGCATAGCGGGCAAGGTTTGCCAGTAAGTTCCCTCAGGAAAAACATTCGATTGTACTTCTCGACGCACCGACAATTTACCCATTGTATCTAAGGCCCACACAACGTTAAATCCTACTGAAATTTGTTTCAGCTGAGCACCCGAAGGTGGTTCAACATTCTGCCATTGTATTCCTATGTTCAACATAAAAAATAATGCAAAATTTAAACGGTCATGAGAGCCTTACGTTGGATGTTTGTTGCGGAATATATATACATCTATATGTTTCTTTTTGTGTAAATTTTTACACGTGAGTTTGAATTGAAATTTCAATTCCTAAATTCATATAGGATACTATTTTGCATCACGTATATGAAAAATCCCCGTTTACCCCTCTATATAATTTTTAAAAAATGTTGCGAAAAAATTAGATATTATTCTCTAAATCGTGTAAATTAATATACGTCAAAATTCGAATTAAATTTAATTCAAAAATTCATACAGGATGCCTGTTTTGCATCATAAATATGTAAAATACTCAGATTATCCCTTCCCCCCATAGAAATCAAAAACTCTATTGTGAAAAAGACACCTCGGCCAGGAGTCGAACCCGGATTTCCCGCATTCCGTGCAGGCGCCTTCCCAATTCGGCTACCGAGGCACTAGATGAATCTCTCCCAATGTTCATATATGGCTAGAAATACGGAATAACGCATACTGCGTAAATTACAACATCGAATATCGAACATTAAATATTTTGAAAATGTTTAATTATTGGGTAATTTCTAATAATAAATATGTAATAACTGATATATTCTATTCACAATGATATTTTATAAACTTTGTACCAGTTGGTTTGGCTGCGCTGATCCCTAATCTCCAACAGGAAGAACCGTTCTTTCCAACAGCCCAGACTTCTCCACATGGACCGCATGATATATCAATTAAAGGCTGATCGCTTGGTATGTGCTCCCACGATACTCCCTATTTAATAAAATATGTGAAATATATATTACTCGTACATATATATCAAATATCTACTTTGGTATAAGAATATTTAAGTAATCGTACCAACGGACAAGATTCTGAAACACCTCGCCTGAATAAAGCCTCGCCATTTGCAGCAATTGCCCAGACATAAATAGGAGCATCTGTGCCAGGTTTCCCAGTCGCCTAATTGAGTGAAAAATACTGGATAAGTGTAAAAATTTGATGGATTTTGTGATATGGATCACAAGTTTAATTTTATGAAATTCATCTACTTTACCAAGTAATCTTTACTGAATTGTTTTTTATTATCTTTTGCTGTTGCACTCGATAGAATGAAAATCGGTTTTAATAAAACCAAATAAATCGTTTTTAATAAAATGAATCATTTTTTATAAAATTACTAGAGATATCCAGTTTTCTATCACAAATCCATCAAATTTTTACACTCACTCACAAATATGTAAGATATATTCTTTTCAAATAATTATTAAAGTTGAGAAAGAAAGAAAGAGAGAAATATTAAATGACGTACGTATAAAGACACAGCGATGAGTTTGGTATTTCCCAATTCTTGCCAAGGTCCGCTAGTTGTCAATTGACATCTTCTGAACCATCGTCTTCTTCGAACGTAATCGGTGAATTGTTTTTTGCCGTGATACTGTGACGGAAAATCAGTAGCGTATTGCCATCCGTCTCGGTCCACGCCACCGGGTGTGTGAAAATCAACAATCCAATCTGACACCTTCAGGGAGTGTTTTAATATGTCAGTGAGTTTCATAAAAAGATTTATAAAAAAGACATGTTTCATTAAAGAATACGAGAGAGAATTTTAAAACTTGTTGTTGTTACTTACCCAATGCCAATGCATCGACAATAACTTCGTATGTTCTCGTGTACATTTGTGCCGTCCCGACGCATCGCTCCACATGTAACGATCCGTTGGAAGTCCATGCGCAGTATATCCGGTTACTGGATTCCAACGTTGGTTTTCATACACATAATAATTGTGAGTATCTACCATTGTATTTATTCCAGTGTTACTAGTTCCCAGACCTGTTTAATCAATCGTAATTTCTATCTTCTTTGCAAAAAATATATAGCAAATCTTATGTTATAAAAATAGAATACCTTTGAGAAATGCACCTCCCCAACCGCCTGTATAAACCCAAGCGGTATTGTCATAGCCAATGCCCCAAGTGATACCTGTGGAACATGTTTCGACTTTCCTCAAGTGTCCACCAATCTGTCTCCAAAACATCGTGCTAGGTTCGATAATTACCTGCGAAAAATTCAAACAACAAAATACACCTCATTACACCTTTACACAAAACTAATCGTACTTATGCTTGATAAACGATCAAATACTTAAAAAATAATCACATAAAAAATACTTACAGACGTGGATGTATATTTAATACTGCACAAGGTCAGCAATCCCTTGATGCGTAAATGCGTGATGCTTTGCGGAGGTATCCGATGACTATAAAAAGTATATTCATTATTATTAATGTAAATTCTATAACCGCGTTCCTCGCAAACGATATACAGCGTCAAGTCACAGCCTGCCTTTAACGGACTACCGCCATTTCGTTCTTCATCGCCCCACTGACCGTTCTGATATGTGTTTCGTACGATAATACCTTCCTTGAGTCTCGGATTTAAATGCAAAGCCACGTCGTGGCTATCGGTTACAGACTTTTGCTTTACGAATATTGTAGTGTAGCAAACCAAATTAAAGGACAGCCTAAAACAAAACTATACTTTTAACATTTTATTTACACATGTACAAGTAAACTATGTTAAATCTTAACACACTTTGTATACAAAAAAAATATTACATACACTCTACAAATTTGCCTAACTTACCTATCAGCGTCATCGTGAACGTATACGGTAATTTTTAAAGTGCTACCATATCCAAAACCATTTTGCAATATACTTTCAAATGGTAATTCCTTACCGGCGACATCCATCTCTTGTACATATCCATTTTCAGATAATTGACACTCCTACGCATATATAATGAAACTCGAATAGGAAAGAAAAATTCCTTCCTGTTTATTTTTAATAGTATAATAGTTAAGTGTCTTTTTACCTCCGCGATTGCAGGATCGAACACATAAACGTCACCTAGTGCGGTTGTAGTCCAAATTGAATTTGGACCAGGCTTACCGTACACATTGTTCATCTGGCAAGATACTGAAAGAAAATCATTCTCACATGTTGATTTTCGTTTTGTTACTTTGTTCGTTCAAATTCCTACCTAAAGTTAAATGTGCCAACCAGTCTTCCATTTCCGTATCGCTCGCGAATTGTAACCGAATTACCTTTGAGCGACTTAATTTGGGAGTGTGAACCGCTATCCTCGGATTACCCGGCTCGCTGCAGCAAGCAACACACGTAATCTCCGAGACAGGAAATTGTATCTGCAAGTAAATATTTTCATTGTTTACGAACATTAGGCTTACTAATTGATAAATGTTTTTTTTTTTTTTTTTACGATTTCGCGATCAACGCACTATACTTGTCACTCCGTCCGAATTTAAAATGATTAAAGTCCCAGAGTCTAACGATCCAGTGTCGCTACTTATCCATTCCAATTCGATCTTACAATCTTCGTATAAGCTGCCGTTTTTTATCTTACATTTAGCGTCGCCTGTTTTCACCCAAGACGATCTAAATCAGATTTTCATGTTGAATAAAAGATTGTTTTATATAAAAACAAAAATATTTTATTGATCTCAACTTCATATAATTTACTTACTTTTCGACTGCTTTTTCATAAACTATCAAAGGATCAAGTGTTATGTTCTTTAATCTTGCTTTTAGTTCATCCAAAATATAGATTCTCCACGATTCTCCCGTTTCTCCGTGTGTCGTGCCATTGCCATCTGCGATCCTATATACAATTTAATCAAAATCACTCTTAAATCTGCTGCAATTACAATGTTTTATATTCTAATATTAAATATCCTTTCAAAGATTTCTATAAATAAAAATAATAATAAATATAATATCATTCTGTAAATACTATTATTATAAATATTATAATACCATTTCGGTGGGTTTGTTGGATCGACGAAGCACGCTCCAGCTTCCACTTTATACCATAATACTTCGCATTCAGTCCAATACACTATCCCCGCGCTTTCGTCTTCGCCATACACTCCGGAATCGCCAGTTAAATCCGGATCAAATACGCTTCCGTCTGTTTCCGGATGCGCTTCAACGCCTACCATAGAACCAACAGAATGAATTGGGCTCCAAGCGGCGGGATTAATCTGTCAGAAGAAATAATTTATTACAAATCTTCGATATATTATATCAATTTGTGTGAGAAAATTTAATATTTTATATAAACTTTTTAATTAATTCTAAAAATGTTCACGTACCTTTACAGTACTACTCATGCCTTTTCCCGAGACGACTATTGATTCTCCACTTTTTGTTAGAGACTCGTTAGATATAGTTATGTTAGCAACACTCGCTTCATTCAGATCACTCGTATCTACAGACCGTGCAAGTCTGTAACATAAAAGTTATATTTTAAATTTCGTTAAATCTTATAATCATCGTTGTGATATTTTACAAGCGCCGTGTTTGTTATTTTCACCTCTGTTTCTCTTCGTTTAAATATATATCTTGAAAAGATGTTTGTTGAGTATTTTTTGCGGACATGTTGTCGCCAGTACGTTGCCATAATTTCAAAGAAGTAGGTGTTGGCGCCGAACGCGATTGTTCTTCCCATTCTCTGATTAACGTTGTACCGTCACTAGTACTGTGAGGACGAGATTCTATAAAAAAAAAAAAAAAAAAAAAACAGTTTAATAGTACAAGTAGTGGATAAGTAGACGTGTAATATATGATATAAAAATTAATTATTTCTACCAAAGAACTCCAGCTCTGATGACGCTGCTGCTGCGGCGTGCCGCAGGTACTGTGTCTGTTGCTGGATGACAAACTAGCGCTACTGCTCGCACGGCTCAATTGAAGCGGCGCGTTTATCAATTTCCATCGTTTTCCCGTTAATTCAGAACGCGTAATACCGGCACGATAATACAAACACCGATCCTCGTAACCGATAGCCCAAACCTTTGAAGTATTTAAAATATGAGGTGGCAATAAAACTTACAAATTATCCGATAATACGCAATGTTTTATTGCATATAAAAGTTTTTATATGATTACCTGGTCATTTGGTGCAACAGACACTAATGTCATTTTGCTTAACATTTCCACCCATCCAGTTCCGGTAGCCAGTTGTTCGCAAACACCGCTTATCTCGCCTTGAACGCCCTTTCGAAACCACACTCCACCGTCATGCGTTATGGCCCATACGGCATCAGTTCCTACGCTGACTTGTATCAATTTCAAATCTTTTTGCGGCGGATCTACTTCCGTCCAATCGTCACCTTCAATATATATAACTATCAGTAGATTTGTTTATAACAGTTTTTCTAATGTATCATATTTGTTTACCCATTGGATTATCTCTCGTTACTCCAGTACGAACCAATGCTTTGCCTGTCATAAGAACAGCCCAAACAAGACCGGTTACTCCAACACTGATCTGAGATACTTCGTGACCACTTGCCAACTTAATAGAACTCCACCTTTGTCCTTCGGGACAAGTTGTACTTGTTCCAACGCGAAACATTACCTAAAAATAATTTATAGTAGGTTTGAAATACTCAAAACATTTTAATCACTGTCCACGCAAACATTTATATGTTAAAAATTATACCCTTCCGTGAGCGGTTACCGCCCAGACTACTAAACTTCCAGAGCTACCTCCAGGCATCTGATTTCCACCCACAGCTACATCGATGAATGGTTCCTGAAAAGTCTCGATATATTTATATCACACACAAATAATGTTTTCAGTTAAATTATAAAATTGATCATATTTTTGCATGTATAGAGATATTGGTGTGTTTCTACCTTCGTCGGATCTTTATGAAGAGGCGCAATAGCACACCATGAGTTCATAGCACTGTATCTTCGATAACGAACCCATTTGCGCCTTCTTACACAGGATTTCCACTGTTTTTTTGTGGTGTAAGTAGCTGGAAAATCAATTGCATACGTCCATCCCTATCAAAATATCAGATTCTCTATGATCATAAGTCTTTTTGGTTGTGTAGGAAGAGCAACTGATAACAAATCTATATATAAACAAAATCTTATGAAAAACAAAACATTTATAGAGAGCAAAGGAATACGAATATTAATATTATTAAAAATAGTAACTTTGTATGTTAAATTAAATAAAGTGTAAAAAATACACCAAATTTAAACAAACTTATATTTCAGCATGCACATTAAAACATAAAACAAGTTGTGTACAAATTTTTAATTTTTTTAAAAACAATATACGTGGGTGGTTTGATAAGTTTGGTAAATTTTTTTTATGAGATAGTGCCACAATCCATTTAATTACATGACGCGCTTTGAAAGTTCCACTCTTCAAATCCTTTCAGATCAAATTTCAGCTAGAAGTGACGCGTTGTTCACGTTTGGAAGTCGTTTAAAGCGAACAATTTAGTAGTTGTCATAAAAATGACAAAAACTGGCAGATTTTTAAATCTGAGAACAGAAAGAAGTCGCACAAAATCAAATCTGGAGAATAGAATGAACGAGGAATCAATTCGAAGCCTAATTCATGTAATTTTCCCATTTTTTCCATTTTTATGACAACTGCTAAATCGCTTGTTTCAAATGACTACCAAATGTAAACACACTTCTGGCTGGAATTTGATCTGAAAATGTTTGAAGAGAAGAACTTTCTAGGCGTCATATAATTAAATAAATTAGCACCATTTCGTAGAAATTTACCTTAGCGAACCACCCACGTATATATATTGTTACATATACATATGTGTGTGTGTAGACACGCAGGTGAGTACATATATTTACTAGAAGAGAAATTAATTAAAGATAAATGTTTATAGACATTAATTGTAGAATATCACATAGAATAAAAAAAATATATATATACATATGTCTTTTATATAAATACATTGCATCTTATTTATATAAATACATTAGATTTTGATATTTACATCATGGTCTAACGGTTGACCATCTAGTGTTGTTTCTATTTGCCAGTCATCTTCCCATTGCCATGCCATTGATGGCAATTTTACTTTATCTCTGCTACGATCTACTGTACCATCTTGATTTGAAAAGTTATATCTGTCAGTTGGAAGCAATCTTCCAGAAAATCCTTCCAAAGGTAACCACCGCTGTAATTATTAGTATCAATATAATGTTCCTTTATTTGTTCATTATATTTATTTATAACAATTTATTGTTACATAATTGCAAAACACAAGTTTTATTATATACCTCATTTTCATAAGTTTCTTCTTTAATTCTGATTGGTACATCTAAACCATGAACATGAACATACACTTGTCGATCACCACCAATGGCCCACATAAAATGTGGTACAGCTGATAATTGTTTAAATTCTAATCCTAAATACATAAATTCACGCCACATATTGCCAGTTGTGGACAGTCCGAATACACGTCCTTCATTGTTAATAGCATATAAATACGAACTTGGCATTGTGTAAATCTATATTAACTATATCTTTATAAATTTATCTGTAATTAAGAATTTTATCAATCTTGCATGTTTTATAAATTTCCATTTATAACAATATTTTTTATCTTGCAACACTTATAATTATAAAAAGTTAAATAAATATTTCTAAGAACACGTACCACACAATCTTGTCTTGTCTTGTCTATAATAATAATACTTCACAAATTGTCTGATGTAACATTAGCTTAGACTCATATATAGTATTATTTGATAAGATATCAATCATTGTTTTTTTTCTGTATTGCACAAAATTATCCTTATTTATATTACAATGACATTAAACATGTCATCAAATATATTATAGTTGTACGTATCTTTCTCAAATTCTGTTGTATAGCTTACATGTCTCATTAATGTTAAAATTAAATTTATTGTTTATGTAAACAAAAGCCCAATGTTAGAATGTAATATAGTGCTTCAATAAAACAAGAAACTATAAAATTAGTGCAACAGAAATACTTTTTAAATTGTCATTATTCCAACAGATGAGATAAACGCTGATAAAACGTCACTGAACATATGAATACATATGTACATTAGAACTGACTCAACTCCGTACTGTACTGAATAATTGAATTCATATACTTTATCCAAAATCAGCAGAACCAACTTCAGAACTACTTTTAGCGAAAATTTGAATCATTTATGTTTAATCTATATATATTTGTTCATTAGACTCATTGATGTAGAACAAAAACTTGTCACATTTCACAATCGGTTATTAAATCCACCTCTTATAGAACTCAGAAGTTGTCAGGTTACGTTCGAAAACACTCTAAAACACCCCGTGTATATACACACTAATGTATAAAGTTATCGAAAGCTACGTTGGCTACGTTCGGAAACACCACTCGTTCATGTGCAGATTAAAGGGCCTTCTACAATAAGATATTAGTAATAAATTAGAAGTCAAAAGTAAGAAATTGACTAATCACAATCGATTATTCTTCTGTGATTTGACTGTGATTGGTCAATTTCTTGCTTCTGACTTTTGATTTATTACTAATATCTCATTGTAGAAAGCCCTTAAGCCATAGTGAAAATGACAAAAGTGAGCGAATTTACTAAAATATCTATGATCTTATTGGTCAATAACTAGTAAATTTGCTCACTTTTGTAATTTTTACTTCTGCATGGATACGCAATCGACTCCCAGCTGAGCGCTGAGAATTGGATGATGAAAATGTGACCGGATGTCCCTAAATCCACGTCCCTAGCCCGGAAATTTCTTTGGTTTTGGTCACTGAACTATAATATGGAACGCGCCTTGCCATTGTGCGAGCTGTCCTCGATAGAGAGCATCACAACTAGGATTTCTGTCTTTGTCTCGTCGTCACTAATTGGTTGAAATTTATATAATATAAATTTAATATATATAAATTTGGTATATACATATATAGAAAACGTGTAACAATAATAAATAAAAGTCAGGAAGTGAGCCGAAGAACTCGGACATTTCTTACGCTGCTTACGCGTTATGAACGCAGTGATGGGAATTCGAACCCGCGCACGCTACCGTTTTGTAGAATCATAATTTTTATTGCATAATTATATTTTAAATAATTTTTATTGTATAATCATATTTTGAATAATATCCTGATGTGAATCTTCTTCATTAAAGTCAGTTTTCTATTAGCTATTTAAGTAATGAATCGTTCTGCATAAATATACCGATGATGTTTATATAAATTAATTGTCCAGTTGACAAAGAGCAGCTACACCTCTAATAATCCAATGTGATTCATCCACGTTTGTTGGCATTAGAATGTACAGTATGAAATTAGAAGAATGCCCGGTAGTTGCCAACACTCCTCGTCTAGCGCTCGTCTTATACACCGGACAATAATAAACATTCTTTATTTCAAATTGGGTCTTTATGTCGGGTTTCAGCCATATGATGGGTAACACATCAAAAATGACCTTGGGCTTAGATTCATCCAGCATTCTCATATTTCTGTTCCACCGAGCTCCTTCGAGGAAGAGACCCTAAGAATATATATATATATATATATTTAGGAATTGGAATTAATTCGTAGCGTTTTTTTAATGAAGAAAAATTATTTATTTTAAATAAAAATAAAAAAATACATTAATTAAAGTATTGCCCATCGCTTTCTACTACTTTTGACCATCTTTTGGACAGGGAACGAATACCGTGTTGGAAGAACGCTTCGTCTTTAGATGCAATCTACGAATCGACCCATTTTTGACAATCTTCTAAGAAATGAACTTCTGCTCAGACAGACTATGAGCCATCGAACGAAACAAATGGTAATCAGAAAGAGCAACATCTGGAGAATACGGCGGGTGGGGTAGGACTTCCCATTTAAGTGTTTCCAGGTATGTTTGTACCGGTTTTGCGACGTGCGGACGAGCATTGTCGTGCAGCAAAATGACTTTGTCGTGTCTTTTGGAGTATTCCGGCCGTTTTTAAACTTTTAAGACGTTTTCCTACCGTTGATAAGTCAACTCCCAATGATGTAGACAATTCTTGAAGTGTTTGACATGAGTCTTCATTGAGCAATGCCTCCAAATCATTATCTTCAAATTTTTTTTCGGCTGGCCAGGTCGCTCCTTGTTATCCAAGTCGAAATCACCAGTTTTAAAACGTGCAAACCACTTCCGACACGTTTGCTCAGCTAGAGCATGTTTACCATACACTTCCACTAAAATACGATGAGCTTCAGCAACACTTTTGTATTAAAGTAATGAAGTAAAACTCCCCGCAAAAACACTTTATTCGGCACAAATTTTGACATATTCAATAAATTATAAAGTGTTGTTATTTACGATTTAAAAAAAGGTTATGTAAAGCAAATAACGTCCAATGACAGCTGTTTCACGATGAATACATTACTGCAGGTAACAACAAAATACTGTACTACCTACGCCATCTCTTGTAAAACGCTACGAATTAATTCCAACACCTAATATATATATATATAAATTGTAATATCATAAAAAAATTTATATAGTAAGATAAAAATTCTTTGCATACACTTATATAAACTCCGTGCAAAGGTGCGACGTCAACGTTCTCTTTCATTTCAAAACCGGTCATTTCGAATTCAAAGTCCAGCTGATCGATAGGTATCTTGTGCTTGCGAGCGTGATTTTGCAATACTGCCGTCAGAAACGACTGTGTAAAGAAAAAACCGGATATCCAGAACACATATGGTATGTCGCGATCGACCCAATTTTGCAGGAACTGTATTCTTTCTAACAAATTGCTCACATAACTGCCAAGTGGTTTCAGCGAAGGATACGACTTTCTGTTCCAGGCGAGCGGAACTTTACCAATGCTTATACTAACGTAAATTTCTTCCAATTCTGCTGACATCAGCACTTGTCCTCTGATCGCTTTCCGCACATTAATCAACGTTTCCATGATGATTTCGACGAGCTCATTGAATCTGACGAGTTCCTGACGCAACACTGTGTTCATGCTATTCATATACAGTATCGGATATTTGTCGGACACGTATTCGATATCAAACAGCGGCGGCATTTTCGAAAAAATGTCATCAGCCATAGTGTAAACCACTTCGTCCGTATCTTTTTCGACACCTGAAATTTGAACGCGAAGAGAAACAGATATGTATTTAATTTAATAATCTGTTTAAGTTACAAATCGAGATACGCACGCACGCACATATATGTATATATGTACATATATACAGGGTGTCCCAGAGTTCGCGGATACGGAATGCATAACGTGATTATGTGTCAGAAGAAGCAACTTTTCTCTCTGGCAAAATTGCGTCTGAGCGTTACTTTTTAAATAAAAGCAACTTTTAACTAACAAATGAGCGCTCTCAGTTACGCATGAATCAGAGACGGTGCGCGCACAGCGTGTGTGACGCATAAGCATGTACGCTATTTTGATAAAGATTTTATAAAAATTATGATATCTTTAAGATTTCATAAGAATTATTATATCTTAATCGCTAGTTTGAATACAACTTACTTCATAAGAGGAACATTTTCTAATTGATCGATATCATTAAAACGAATAAAAGTAAAATAAGTAGATTAGATAAAACATGAATAATTTTTATTCAAAATTGTTAATTCTTGTAAAATCTTTATCAAAATAGCGTACATGCTTACGCGCCATGCACGCTGTGCGTGCGCCGTCCTTAATTCATGAGTAACCGAGAGCACTCATTCGTTAGTTAAAAGTTGCTCTAATTTAAAAAGTAATTGCTCAAATGCAATTTTGTCAGAAAGAAAAGTTGCTTCTTCTGACATATAATCACGTTATGCATTCCGTGTCCGCAAATTCTGGGACATCCTGTATATATATCATTCACTTACCTACTTTGCTGATTTGTGGCTGAGTCAAAAGTGTGGCGGACAATAGCTGCATCGCTTCTCGATTATCTTTCGAAATATCCGCATTGTCGTGGAAACCGAAGACTTCCGGTAGTTGAGTGAGCGGTAAACTGCGAATATACGCTAAGCATCCTTCGTAAGAAGTATCTTCCGGCATGTGATAAATTCCGCTCGGAGAAAACGAGTAGCTACATAAGAAAACATAAGTTCCATAAAAGAAAAATTCAAACAATTGCAATATAAGTAACAAGAAGTCCGGTTTTGGAGTCAAAATTTTAAATAAAACCTTAGGGTCACTTTTATATTGTTGTCTAATTTTCTCACTCTTTGCATGTTCATTTCACGTGAATATGCTGGATTCGTTATAAGCAAAATGAAAATGCAATATTTCTAAATCCACAAGCTATAATATGTGAAATAGAAATGACTAAATCCGTAAAGCGCATATAGTGAAGTGTAGTAAGGTTTTTACATCGGAACTCAGTTATATAGTAAATCGATTTTCGTGAAACTTGTTTTATTGTATTTCTAATAATGAGTACTAACAAGTTTATCCATTAAAAATTGCCGCTTACGATTTAATTATGTAAACAAATAATTATTAATTTTTAAATAAAAATATATAATTTTGCAATAAAATAACTTACCTTTTTCGTCATTAGTCACAGAAACATAAAAAACATTTTTAACAAAATATGTGGAAATATTCAAATTTATATACAAAACTAATATATTTATAGTATTTATAGTATTTATAGTATGTGCATATATAATATTTATAATATATGCTACATGTCCTCAGTGCAAGTAATAATAAATGTTACAAAGAAACAGAAAAAAATTATTTTTATTTTTTATGAATAAATATCCGGAGTTTGATCGGGATCGCCCAAGTACAACACAAAAATAAACGAAAAATTGTAAGTATTTTGAATAGTAAAAGTACAATATTTCCAAACATCTATTAGTCGTAATATTGTGTCATTATTTTCTTTTGCTTCTTAAAACAATGTTTTTAGTATTTATCACACTGAAGTACGCAAGGAACAATGAAAAACAAAAACACAAAAATTGATAAGTATTAGAATCCATAAAAAACCTAAGTATAATATGGCTTAAAATGATATCTATTGAATATTGCGATTAAACAGAAAGTTTTAAATATATAATTGTTATTTCAACGTGTATCAATATAATGGCTCTTGTCTTTTTTATTTCTATCTTTTTTTTCTCGGATCTCACCATTCGACAAAATATTTCTTGCCGAACAAATTCCCATGAGATATCTCGCATTTTCACTATGATGAAAGTTACTGAATCGCGCAAGCTACACTTTTCATATTTTTACTATAGTTGAGATACAGAATTGACCAGTTAAATTTAAAAATAAATACATGTATATATTACCGTGATCTTGTGATGACATCAAAATTATAAAATTTCTTCAATAAAACATTCAACAGACGCCTATCTTTGTCGTCAGTCACTCTGCCTCCATAATTGCATTCTCCTGTCAAATACAAAAGTGCATCAAACGGTACTTCGTCATAGTCGTTTAAGAAGAGCTGAATCAACAATAAAAAAACATTGTATTAATTATTTGATTTCATAATAACAACAACATCAATTAAATTACAACAAAAAGAAACAAGAAAAAACGCTGGCGTACTTGCAGCTGCATTATAGAGATATGCAAATCGGTTTCGTTGAATTCGTAAGGTATGTTCCAACCGAGTGGGCCAAAGCTTCGTCTTTCTAGCACTACGGCGTGAAAGAAGCACAGAGAGAACAATAAACTTCTCCACTCAATTATTTTTACACACTCGCGGAAGAAATAAGGATTCGAAATGGGATCGTGCACGTAACTTCGCAGTAGATTGTTCTTTAGCCCCTTCGGTGGCTCGTTCGTCATCTTAATTCCGTTTTGCAGTATAGATACTGGAAATTCTTTGGACGGATAGCTGGTCAGCCATATGCGGAACTTCGGATGCGTTTTCTCGGGCACGATTATCTCGTCGCATATCCGATCGAGTTCTTTCATCCAGGATACGGCGAGATGACAGTTTTGCAAGATGACCCACTCGCCGAGCTTGATACCACGATCGATCATACTGATCGCGACCGGTCCCTGACCCTGACCGAGAGAAATCGTTACGAGGTTTTTTTTTGAGATTCCGCATTCCTCGGCGAACTTAATCAAATTGACCATTGGGTCTGAACCAGGTGAGAGCACGAAGATGAGGGGCGTGACGTTGCTCGAGTCATCGTACGAACTCTGGAGATCAAACGGCGGCGGTTCCACAAAGGATATACCCATGTGATGGATAATGAATTTTTGAACAGCGGCAACCAACTTGTCTGGTCTCACACATCTCAGGATTACGAGCTTCCTCAAACTCTCGCCTACGTTTTCGAATGGCGGTGGAAATGGATGTTCTTGCGGATTTGATAGATCATAATATTGTTTCCACTGTGATATATTAGATTGAAAGGATTCTCTCAGTTTCTCAAGACCAGGCAGAAGATTAGCCCTCACAACATCAGACCAAGATTTATCGGTTAACCAGGAAGAATCGGGATTTGGATGGGGATTGTCCAGAACTATTCCGCCAGTCAAAAAGAACACCCAAAGTTCCTCTTCGAGTTTATAGTCGGCTCGTAGCAAATCGATGCAAAGAACCAAAGAGAATATCAATTTGTCCTTCTCGAACAGAGAACGGCACACATTTCTGTAGATGCTTGCTGTGAAGTATGAGTTGAGATTGTTCATTCGCGTGTTCAGATTGTCTGAATGCTCGCTATAGGCTATCGCCATGATGTAGAGATGTATGAACCAAGATAGCGAATATTGATACATAGGATCGAGTTTAGCTAACTCGGAGATACAGAAAAAGAGAACAGCGCCGTGCTTCGAGACGGGAACGTAGCCATTGCGAGCTTCGTCTATCTCCGCTATAGTTTTTATCGCAATTTCTTGCTTCGATTCAATATCTTCAGACAGCACCTTCGAGGTCGAGAGTATCTTAATAGCGGTCTCGTCCTCCAGTATGTTACCCTCTGATGTCGTAAGAACCTCTAAGATCTTGTCTTCGATTTCCTTAAGAATTCGTTTGTTGTTCGCGCCTTCCACTATCAGCTGATTTTTCTTCTCTTCTAACACCGGTAGCTCTTTAGCTACAACTATGCCCAACAACTGATCCTGCAAACCTTTCGGTGTAATCATGAAGTTCAATAGAGTTACCTTCACTACAATTTCAGGTAAATAGTGTGGATTTCGAAGACGCGTGGTGATATAAAATCGAAAATTTGTATTGTACTCCAGTAAGGTCTCGCCGAATTTGATATATAGTACTCCGCGCTGCTTGTACACTCTCTTCAACAGCACGGGCTCCAGAATCACGTCGATCTCTTCCAGAATATTTTCCAGCAACACCGGCAAGCCCAGTTGAATGGCATTCTCCATCACTCGCGCGTAATTAGGATCCGTTAGTTTGATCACCGTCAACTTGTTCGGTTTCTCCATATTTTTTATCCACTTGTTGGCTTGATTCTGCGGATCGATCATAAGCGGCCAGCGATCAGCGTGCTTTACAATTATTCCGTTCTCTATGGAAAAATTGTCGGCCGGTAATCCATAGATGGTCCATTCTCTGATTTCCACTGGTTCACCCAGAATATCGACTAGACTGAACTTAGCTGCGCACGGTATAGCTGCTTTTACGCAAGAAACGTGCCACTGGTTGATCAATTTGCTTCTATATTCTATCGTAAATGCGCCAAGGTAAGCTATTATTCCAGACGACAGTAAAACATCTCCAATCACGTTATCCAGACTGATGCCCAGAGTAGTGGCTATCTCGCTCCATCTGGTCTTTTCGCCGCCTAGGCCGCTTAGCAGTTTCTCTGCTCTCTCCAACTTTTGCGTGCAGTAGTCGATCTGATCTTCGAGTTTCTTTTTTTCGCGCATGCATTCGGCGAATTCGTCGTTCAGCGATTGCAGTTTTTGCGATACCTCCTGCAAGAGATTCCTCTTGTCGGTGAGCATCTCCATCTGTATGGCTAGTGCAGCTTCAGCCTCTGCTAACATTGCTTTTTTCGGCGCGACAACCTTGATCACGCGATCGTATACTTCCATCGCGCGCACCCACTTGCAGAGACCCTCGCAGGCGGTGGAGACCTTTTTGATAGCTTCTGGTTGAAAGCTCCGATCGTTAATGAATTTATCACGAATACGTTTCATGTACGCTTGCGGTATGTTATCTTTGTCAAAATTCTTAAGATTTTCCAGAAATTTTATATCACCTAACATTTTGATGGATGCAGGCCAATAGTCGTCTACTATCTGTCCGGTAATTGGATCTTGAACTTTTTCTGGTTTTATACCCTTCAACACGCAAATTGCTTCCATAACTAATCTAACACCGGCCGGTGGACTCTTCATTGCCTTCACGATTGTAATATCCGCCGGTTTCAGAGTATCTAATGCCGCCAGAGCTGCTTCCAGCGCCGGAGTAGCCTCAGCCAAGTCACTCTCACAGTCGTCTTTGATTGCCTGAGCAGCCGCTGCGGCTTCATTCGCCAGAGCCTCGTCGGCAGCGACGATCTCTTTCTTCGCTTCCACGTTGACGGTATCCTGCTCAATCCGAATCATCAACTTGTCGCTCAACTGCGACTGTTCCACTAACTTTGGCTGCAGCCTCTGTAGTTCCTCCTGCATAACTGCCACTTGACCGGCGGCGAAATCTAGTTTTTCCAGGCCGGTCTCATAGCGCGTTTGCTGAAGAGTGATTTGCTCGGTCTTCTGCGCGTACAGTTTGTATAGAGATTTGATCAACTGAAGAAAACTTGTAGGAGTGACATAGTAACGTCTACCGTGTGTCAAGTAGTAATCCTCGCTCGTCAGAGAGACGCTCATGTGAAACTCTTTACATATCTGCACGCACTTTTCTTGTAATTTTGTGTCAATATCTAAATCCCTTAATGACATTCTGGCTACCTTCTCAAGGGCGTCTTCTGGCCACGGTATGAACCAATCAATGGTACAACAATTGATAAGCGATGGGAACATCCTCAGACGATTTCGGAAAGCATCGCCTATCGGCGACATCGTTAGAATTATGTGTAGATTCTTCTTGATCCTATCAATAAACATGTTATATAGCATCATTGGTGTCGTTTCTATTTTCTTACCACCGCTCGCTTCTCTCACAACCGACGACATCTTATCTAAGATCTCCGCTTTCTCTTCTATTCCGTACAAATTCGGTACGTCTGCGGTATTCAGAATCATACTGATATCTTCAATGAAGGATTCGTCCTTGATCTGATGGTCGCCGAAAATGAAGGTAGTGGGCTTGTCGTCGCAGCCGACATGCAACAGCAAGTTCTTCAAATCTTCCCGCCACTCGGAATGTTCGTAAGTTTTTGTGATTTCGATCTGGTGTATCAGATATTCGCACATGCTAGTTGCCAGCTTGGCGTAAGAATTGCGGCCGGAACTGTCCACTCCGATAAGCAAAGCGTGACCTTTATCTTGTAACAACACGCGCGAAATGCGAGATATGTGTTCGATAGCATATCTAAATAATACCAAATTCATCGGTGTCCGTGAGATTGCATTATACTCGGCTAGATAATAGTCCATTTTCTCTTGAAGATCCTCCAGATCTGTTACTTCATCGTATATCTTCGGCTCAGCGTCAGGTTCAATATAATTTCCAAAGAAGAGATCACTTATATGAGAACTAGTGACCATTTTCTCGTTTGGCTTCAGCAATCTTTCGAGCACCTTGTCCAATGGCTGGCGCAATTGATCATAACACGTGTACTTCACTATTTTGAACAATGTTTCGCGATCGGTATCATTTATCAATCGGTCGTGGAACACGCGATACACTTCGTGAATCCATAATCTGATAAGCTTTTTCGGATCTTTCATTCTAATGGCTGGCACCAGAAGCATGCCGCTGATGACTCGACTGAAGTCACGCAGGTTAAACAAGTAATGACTCCTCGATGGCGTCGGTAGAAAAGTTTTGATAGCCGCGAGGAACACACTCAAAGTGGCATTTACTACCATTTTGCTCAGTCGAGAAACTTCTACGACGAAACCTTTGGCAAAGTGCCACTCAAGAATCGATGTGAAAATCTTCGTCATTGTGGTTTCCTCAAAGGAATCGATACCAATTACATGCATGTGACGAGTGAATCTCGTTGTTACAACGTTCGAGCTGCCTCCGGACGGTAACATAGCTGCGATCAGCAGAATGTCTACTAGATACAGCATTGAAGTGTCTTTCGGATCAAACCAATATCCATGATCTACCCATTGACGAAGTAGCTCAATCGGCGGTTGTGCGCCGTAAACTTCCACTTGCGGCATGCTGAGATCGTCGACAAACAGCACGTATTTCTTTCCCATAGCCGGACCGTAAACTCCCTTTCTTCTTCTGTCCAGCTTTGACATGACTATCTCCTGAGTCTGCGGTGCGTTTGTGCGCGCGCTGAAATTTATAATATTTTCGAGGAATTTCTCTCGGGGCAACGATACGAGATAATTCAGCACGATCGCGGATTTGCCAGTGCCTGTGGGACCCACAAACAAAACCGGTATTGATTGGTGCAAAAATTGCTTAATGAAGAACAGTTGGATGCACATCTCGGTTGTTTGAATGATCAGCTCGCTAGCCTTCGTCGTTGTAGGTAAAGTTGCCTGAGAAAACATATTTTTTAAATCTTACTCATTTCCATTATGGGTTTTTTTATCTCTCTCTCTCTCTCTCTCTCTCTTTATTATTTGTTTTTATAGTAATAATAATACATGCAAACTTTTTCTAATACCTGTTTTATTGTATCCATCCAAGATATCCAACATCCATTGTTTCTCTTATCGTAAATCCAATCGAATACCGTGCCTTTATCGGGAAAAAGCTGTTGCTTTGTCATCTTGAACATCTTTGGTTTAGGATGCTTCTCGATATTGCCGACCAATAATTTTCTTAAATATACATCGAAGACTTTTCTACTTTCATTTGTTAATGTCGGGCACATGCCCCAAACAATGCTAAAAAGTAACACGCATTGAAGCCATAAGGTGCTCACTCGTGTTTCTTCCGCTAACATCATCGTGAATACTCTCGTAAAGGACTATATGCCACATGATATAAAATATAAAATATATATTAATATATACATATATTTTGTTTGTGTAAATAGTATCAAAATATATAGTATCAAAATTTTATTTTATATATTATATAATATTTAATCAAAATTAAATTATATTGTAAATATATTTTTTTAATTTTGCAAGAAACTTACAACAAACTTATGATTCTCCGACGTGTCTATGAAAGTTTTGCAACTATAGTGGATAAAACGTAATATCGGTTTTGTCAGCCACTCGACCAATTCGACGATAAGTTCGAACTGTTCTATCAGCAATTTTTCCTTCAAGAACTTTTTGTACGATTCGAAGATAGGCGACCAGCCCAACTGAGACGGGTCCATGTAAATCATGCCGCATCTGCTGACAGTAGCGGGCGAGGCGTGTTCAAGATCGGCCACTTCAAAGAACATATTCATTTTGGCAGACATTTGTATGATCTCACCGGACATGAGACAGAGCTTCTTATTATCGTCTAACACTGTGTTCATACTTTCAATCCAGATTGCGTCTACTGGACCGTCAAACACGATCCACTTACGATCCACAGATATAAACTGCGCGAACTCGCGAAACGTGTTGGCCAACACACCGTCACTCCATTCGTGAGATACCGGATCAAAGCTACCATATAACTGGCTCAGTGTAATAGCCTTGGGATTGATCACTCGATAGATCGTGCGGAATTCCCGTATCGTGGATTTTCGTCTACCCGACAAATCGCCTAAAGACGCGGCCAAAGTTTGATAGGCCTGAGTTTTTCCACCTAGAGTGGTGCCAACGAGCATCAGACCATGTCGCACGAGTAACATCTCGTAAATCTGTATAATTTTCTCTAAGTACCACTCGGTAGCTTGAAGATTCCGTTTCTCTAAATTCTCTTTTAGCTGTTGTATAAGTTCGTCGCGATCCGGTTTCGACAAGGTAACATCCGGAAAGAGATCCATATAAATGTTGCTAAAGAGAGTAACGTCTTGCGAAAGAAACTTGGGCAGATTGACATCCACGATGGCGCGAAGAACGAGAGTTAACTCGTCCTGCGTCGGATACTTGAGCTTTAGATTGCCGGCCGCTATCAACACCGTCTTAACCGCTCGCATGCCGTAATCGTAGTGATTCTGAGAACTGAGTTGTTCCGAACATAATTTGTACGTGTGAACAATCTTCTCGGCAAGCACTTTGGCATTAAAGAAGCCATATGAATAGAGCGTAATTTCACCGATCATGATGTAATCTGGTACCATCATGACCACAGTTCGAAACAGCGCCTTCAGGTTGTCCGGCAGCTCCTGTCGGCCGGCGTAGCCTGGGTTCATTGTGATAATGACGTTGCATGTAGGATTTAGCTTCAGCTCGGTGCCTTCAAACATAAACTTTTCCATTTTCATACTAATAGCCATCTGTATCGACAATATCTGCTGCGCGATTACGGACAACACTTCCACCTCAATCCTGTTAAACTCGTCAAAGCACGCCCAGGCACCAGCCTGCGCGATACCTTTGAAGAACTTGCCCATTGCTTTATAATCAAGTCCGTCAGAGCAGTTGAACACTACACACTGTTTAGCCACGGCCTTTGCAAGGTCTTTGGCTGTTTCTGTCTTGCCAGTGCCCGCTGGTCCTTCCGGAGATCCACCAAGATTCATCTTTAATGCACCCATCAGCGTTCTGTAGCAGCGATCGGTCAGCGGCGTTATCACTAATCTAGACGTATTGCCTAGATATTCGAAAGCGTACATGACGTTGGTCGTGATCATAGAAACAGTGATACAGTCGTCTAGCCAATAGTAACGCAACTGTGCTATCCAATTGAAGTCACTAGGATTGTTGGTCTTCTCATCAATCAATAACTTTACCACGTCCCGCGCATGAACGTCTATCACTATCAGAGCGTTCAGTGTTATCCTAGTGCCGGAACTCAATAAGCCGCGGACGAGCATCACAATGTTCTCTATTTGATCGTTGCACTTTAGTAAGTAGGTCTTTAGGGTATTATCACTGAAGCATTCATATACTTCGCTGGTCCAGTGTACTTGGCTGCTGCAGATGACGATCTGACCAGGCCACACAAGCACCCAATCTTCTCGGTCTTCCTCAAAATAAGCGAGTATACTCTGCTCGGCAATATCGCGCAGTGATATGACCATGAGGTTTTCCACTTGACACAACCATTTCTCGACCATGCCTTTTGCGTCGGCCGGATAAATCTTGCCGCTCAAAGGCACGTACTCTTCCTCGACTGACAGTATGCCTACGATTTCCTCGTCCTTTGTGAAGCGGAGCTTGCTAATACCTTCAAAGCACTTGCGCAAGTGGGGCTGCACTCGCTGCGGATCTTTGGTCTCGGATAACATCTCCAGCAACTCGTCGTTTGACAGAAAAAAGAATCGCGGGAAGAACAGACGTTTCTTTTCCAGATACTCATTCAGACCTTTTTGGATCTCTTCAAGTAGCACATTGCAGAGCTTCAGCTCTTGTAGCATGTTTGACATTGCGGTGGCATCGGTCACTCGTCTGTTCTTTAAAACATATAGCATTATTTTCCGCCAGATTTCGTCTATCCTAAAGAAGTTCCGCGATTCGGTCGGCATCTGACGCATAATGTCTTCGCTGCTAAATATCGGCTCTAGATACATCCACGTGGCCTGACATAGCAGCCACTGATCGATGATGTCCTGCATCAATATCAGCTTTTCCTCCCATTCTTGCATCTCTTTTTCGAACGCTTTGACATAGGGTGAACTGCACATGGTCTGCGCTTTAAGAATGTGATCATCAAGCAACATCTGTACGTCATCCACAGCAGTCAATATGAACACTCCGGTTTCGCGATAAGGAATCAACTCGAAGTACACTTCTTGCCATTCCTCTTTCATTTTCTGCAGATTTTGTTGTAGTATGTACTCTTTCGTAGCTGCCGATGCTATCTCCTCCAGCTTGGCGATAAAAGCTGGCAGACCGTACTCAACCATCTCAGACAGACTGCTGATCTCCGTCGGTACTATCTGTACGTCAACAATCTTACTGATGCTCTCCCAGTGTCGGTCTTGTAGACCAGGCGTGCAAATGACTTGTAACACCGGAATAAACTGACGAAATTTCTCCACCTTGCCGCGCACCATTTCAGCGACGCGTCTTGCGCCTGGCACATCCGTGAGAACGCGCGACAACTTATACAGCAATCGCCATGTGTTCTCGGTGTTCTCGCGCACTTCCTCAGCGTCCAGACCGAGAAACGAACCATAAAACCATCGATCGTAGTTACGATGGAAGTCGAGAGCAGTGTGCCAAAGTTTGTCGAAGATTTCCACTGTGCTAAGCATGGACGGTAGCTCCGTATACGGAGTCACCTCCATGTCCAGCAGCCCCTCCTCCTCGTTGATCTCCTCTGCCTCTTTGCGCATTTGCGCCATGGTTGCGGAGATTTGTTCGATTTCCTCCACGGTTTGCTCCATTTCTTCCATCGTGAGAACCGGCGGGTCCTTTCGCTTGAACTGATCGATTGCCAGCTGCACGGTGATTATCTTCTTTTCGAAAGTGTCTCGTCTTGTGCGAAGTACCGTCTCCAAAAATTCTTTTCTCATGTTCAATCTGCTGGCCGCCAGTTCCATCATGTTGTCCATTTCTTTCGGCCAGGTGATGGCGCGCGTATTTAAATGGATGTCCTCATCTAAGAGCGGCTGGTAATCAAACAGGAACGATGTCAGCTCAATCGAACGAGCTAACTGTCTTTTCAGAATGAACATGGTTGTGTCGCGACTTTCGCATAGATAATTGTACAGTTCGACCACCTGCTGCGTCGTTTCTGGCATCTTGGAGATGGCATCCGCTATTTTGTCGAAAGTCGAACACAAGTCGCGATTATTCGCTCGCAACTCGGTCGCGAAAAAATCACATATTGTACTCCGTAATGTGAACAAGATCTTTCTCATCGCGTCGTTCACGATGCTACAATCGATTGCTATCATATTCAACGAAACCTGTTATAAAATGAAAAACTATATATTGTGTAACTATATAACTATAAACTATATTAAATTACTGACTTTTTTAAGATAGGGGAAGGACCCAGATGCGCACAGAAACAATCGGACACGGCAGGGTGTATGAATCGGACACAAACTCAATCGGGCACAATAAGAAACGGACACACGACGGACTCAATCAGACACAGTTTCAATCGAACGAGTTGAAACGGACACACGACAGTCTCAATCGGACACAATTGCAATCGGACATAGTACATTTGTCCGTCGTGTGTCCGTTTCTTATTGTGCCCGATTGAGTTTGTGTCCGATTCATACACCCTGCCGTGTCCGATTGTTTCTGTGCGCATCTGGGACTCACTCTTTTAAGATACAATAAACTTACTTTATTCCGAAACATGCAAATCTCTCTTCGCAGATTATCGTACGCTCTTATTTGTTGCTCGAATTCTCGCAAGAGCGGTATTGGTTCTAGCCTAAAGAAATTGTTTAATTTCTTCTCAGCCACCCCGCTCGTGATGTAGAGCAAGTCATGGTAGCATTTGAGATAATTTGTAGGACCAAATATATGCTTAGTGACCACGTCCAATACGTCACCGATGATGTGCATCACCTGTGATAACACACGTTTACGTCATCCGACCATAGACGTAGAATATATAGAATGCGCGTTTGGCTGAAAAGACGTCTTCATGGTTGACAGAGACAACATACTTTGAACAGTAACTCTTTCTCTGTCTATCAATGTCTGTGGTGGGATCAGGGCCTACTGTTTCATACCACTCTAACCTGCCACCCCTGCCATCACCCCTTAATCTCTTTCACTCTTCTTCACCCCCACTATTTTTCTATCTCCACTTTTCCACTACTATTCTATGGTCCTGTTCCGTTATTACTGGCAGTATTGAACAATCTATAGGATACGTAACGAGAACATATAAATTTTCAGTACTGCCAGTAATAACGGAACAGGGGGTATCAATAAGCGAAGACTTCTTTTTTCCCCACTACTTTGCTAGACAAAGATGAGGCTACTGTTCAACACCAGCTGTCTCTCTCAACGTTGAAGACATTTTCTTAACATGGCAAAGGTAGGGAACGCGCAGTCTATACATTCTACGTCTATATATGCATCCGACAAGCATTCGACAGAACATTGTCTCATTACCTCATCCTCGAATCGCGATATTGAAAAGAGATAACCCATATGTTCCAATTCCGGAAACAAAATGGAGTCGATTTTTGGTATGTTGGCGCTCACTGCGATAATTTTGTCGAAACATCGTGAGATCATCGTGTGCAGCTCCAAGACGTTTGGCGTAATGCACAGCTCCGTCGTGCCAAATCTTGGCTCAACTTTTAATATTACGAAAGGATGTCTACAATGTATACAATATGCTATTTATTCACAAATCCATCAGCATAAATTGACGACAATGATGTTTCGAAAATATACATGTGTAAAACAGTCGTTAAATTCTTACTCCAGAAACATGAGATCTTTGTAATATCCTTCGAATACGTTGCCAGCTTTGTATCGCATAAAAAAATCTCTGACGTCTCTTAACGTCTCCATTATCATAATTCGCAGTTGTCTCGATAACAAGGAATTGATACCGCGAAAATATTTTTTAATCAAGGCGGTGGATGCATCAGGTCGCATTTCAAAATACTGCGACCAGACGTGTTTTTTCTCGAGAAAAATCTCTGCTACGTCAACCAGCCACTCTTTGATGAGAACGTCGGTGGCGGCAGCGCATAAACCATTCCATCTTAGTTCAACTTCTGTAGCCGGGATGGGAAGCGTGCCGAAATCCTTCATGCAAATTATTCTCATTTGTCGATATCTAACGCGCAAAATTATTAATTTCTATTAATTAATAAAAGCAAGAAATATTTATATACGAGATATAATTATTCGAGTACGATAAATACACACAAAATTGTAAGTTTTTAGTGATTTGAGATTGATTTGTCACAGAATCTTACTTCGAGAACCACAGGTCGCGTATATCCCTGAATATTTCATTTCCGATAAAAAGACTGTGCTCCAGCATATGATTCGCTGTCACTTTGGATTGATGCCAAGGTACTGGAGCGCGCACACATAAGACAGGAAATTCAATAGGCAGTGTTTCAATAGATAAGCGTTTCCGTTTATTAGAATCTGTTAAGACGTAATTCATTATCGCGCTACGAAGGCTTTGTTTGTAATCGTCGATAATTTCCGATTCTAAAGCTTTCGTTATTTTGTCAAAACTGCAAGGAATAAATATATAAATCTGTTTAATATAAGCGAAACTGTAATTTATTATTATATTTTGAAATAAAAACTGTCGCGTACTTTAATAATAACTAACTGATTAGCAAGTTTGTGCTGAAAATTAGTCGCAAAACAGTCACGTACTTTTTATGTCGCCGCATTTCATCGACGATATATGTTTTCGCTATTTTGATATTTACGTGATCAAACGGTTCTAAATGACAATCGCTTATAGAGTCTCTGAGAGAAATTATCTTCGTAATATCTTCAAATTTAAATATCTGTCTCTGTTCGTTATCGACTATCGTCAATAATTCAGTTAACTGTTCATCCACAATTTTCGGTATTTCTGCCTCGATACAACGTACTATCTACAATATATCAGTACTCTGTTATCTCAAATCAATTGGAAAATATTTCAATTATTTGAAACGTTTATGTGTGATATTTATAAGAATAAATTAAATCTTATAATATTTATAACATCTCTTACCATTCTCCTTTTTGTTATACTGCGCTTGTTTACAAACAATTCTTTTTTTTTCAAAGCTGTCGCTTCTTCACTTTCCTTCAACGTACCTTCTACCACATCCTTCAAACTCACTATATTCTTAGACAGAGAATCGAATTTTTTTCCGGACGCAATAACTTTTTGTTTAACTTCTTCGTTATAATGTTCTATAAAAGTGAAAGGCGGTTTTATGAGTATTCTGTCAACACTGAAGAAATGACACGACGTGGATTTGATACCGCGTTTGCTATAGCAGTATGTGTTATCAGCAGGTTTTACGTTATTGCGTCGATATTTGTAAAAAACTGTTTTAATTCTTGACGAATTGTGTGTTAACTTATGTTTCTTCGCAACTCGGGACATTTCTGCCAGCGACAGACAGTTCAATACATTCTTTTTGTCCGAAGTTTCACGTATTTTTTTTTCTTCGAACATATTTCTCATTCGAATTTTTTACTTCATAAAAAATACGTTACACACTTTCTTCAAAAATACTTTCTCTGATAAATACTGTGATAGAAATGTATGTCTCATAACTTTACCGTATGTATGCCATTGTTCACAATTATTGATTTCAATTTATGAGCAAGACATGGATTTTACACCGATGAATATTGATAGATTCTAAGTGTTAAATAACTATCAAGTGAGCTATTCGTAGCTTAAATCTAAGTAATTCAACGCATATGTTATATATTTACATACATCAGGTAACTATGACGACGAGTGTTCGATGAGATGAATAAAGCGCGCGTAGTCCCTACTTCGGGAAACGAAAAACAAATTTTCTATAATATGAAAACTAAATCGACTATAATATGAAGATAAATATTCAGAAAAACGGAGCACCCTCGGAGATCAATGTCTTTGACATATGTTGTCAAGGACACCTCCTTGAACAGCAATCAAAAGATTTTAGCTGTCGATCGTTGTTTGTTAAGAAGTTTTTAACAAAAAAAATATCATGAATAAACTCTTATTTTTCGACACCGTGTACATTTTGTTCGTGTTGTAAGCGTATAGGCAGGAGGGACTTCGCCTCTCTCCCTGCTCCCTCTTCGAGAAAAAATGACGAATTCGATTAAGTGTCGCTTCATGTCAAAAGTGTTTACTTTATTGTTTGCAATATTTTCCAATATCCATGATTGCTGTTCAGGAAGGTGCCCTTGACAACATAAGCAAACACACAGACTGGTGGCTATCAGGGCTAATGGAGTTTTTGTTCTGTGTGGGTATATATATGTATATACTATATTTATTTACTTTGAAGTATATATTTTTGTTCTTTATAAAATGACAGTCTTAAACGTTCACGTTCTGACAAGCTGTATAGAAAATAACATTCTTAAACGATATTTACGCAATCACATAAAATAGAACATTATACACACACACATTTGTAATGTATACATCAACATTATCATCTATTGTAAACTAACATTTATTTATTATCAAATTGGCAATTAACATACAGTAGAACTTCGTTTATTCGAGCTTCTTTTATCCGAAACGATTTGAAGACCAACTTTTATTATACAAACCGATATTTCGTATTATATCCCAATAGACAAATTGTGAAAATATTGCACAAAAATGGCATCATAAATGACGACGATTTTGCAATAATTGCACTAAGATAATTCGCCATAACGCAACAGTTTTGTCAAAATAAAATTTTGTAATATTTGTTAAAAATTAAAAAAAAATCGTTATGCATTTCCATAAGTATATACATGAATTAATTTGATTTCTTTATATATAATTATATTTCTACTTGTCTGAAACATCACATAGCTGTAATTTTTTGCTCAATTGAACAATTTCTCGTTAAATTTAATTTTGCAGACATACTGCTAAGATAATTCGCTATATCGTTATTGTTTTGCCGAAATGGTATTTAGAAATTAATTCTGCAAACAGTTACAAATATTTTATAAAAGATCAATATAATTTTACATGTATTTTTCAAAACAAATATATCTACATATTTGCAAATCACAATTTCCATGCAAGATTTTGTCATATAAATGTCTTCCTATTGGAGTAGGAACCGTAGTCCGTATAATAGAGGTTGGGTTTCTGTTATTCGAACTATCTTGTCTCCCGATTGATTCGGATAAACGAGATTTCACTGTATTTACACGATTACTTGTAATTATTGTAATTCAAAACTGGTCGACGGTAAGTTGCGTCGGAGGTGAAGTAAATTTTTCTGACTTCTTTGATCTTGCTCAGTGTCTCTATTGTGTCGAATAAAATTAATTTCACTATGATCAAGGGCACCTAAAATTAAAAAATACACATAAATATGTTGATAAGAAAATGCATTTGCATTAATATAAGTTACACAATTCGTATATATTACAACAAAAACGTGATTCTTACGTTCATTAGCATATTTAGCTAAAGTTTTTATAAGGAATTGTTTATCTTGAGAATGCATTAAAAGCATATCCGACAAAATATGTAACATTTCCTTGCTTGCTTTTGCTTTAGCCCGCAAACAATACACCGCAACGCTGTAAATAAAAATATTTAATAGAAAAATGTATCTTGTTATAATATGTATGATATGATGTAAAATATTTACCACATTCCGATCAGTATTACAGTACTCGTTATTGGTCTCGCGATTTCTGAAACAATGTTCCAAAATCCATTGCCTCTCCTTAACGATAATATCCCGTCGACAATGAAATCCCAAGTATGGGAAAAATCTTTGAACGGTCCACAATCGCTACTCTTTACGAATGTGATTACATATCCTATTATGAGTAAAACGCATATCATAGCGACAAATGCGACAGCTAGAAATAACGTTTGCATATGCGCCGCTTGCCAAGGTCTCGACGGTGGCTGATAACACTTCTTCAGCTCGTATGTCTTCACGTAAAACGTGACAATGAGCTTGATTACAATGATAAGAGACATCAACGGGCTAAAATAAAAACCGATCCAAAAAAGCACTTGATTGTATATGAGGTTCAATGTACTGCGAGCGATATCAAATTCCGGTCTGCCGATCTTTTTCGTGCATCTCCTATATAGTCTTGAACGCGCAAACTGCAAGCACATTCCAAATACAGAAGCAATAAAATCTAATACGATAAGTCGATAAATTTCTTTTCCCAAATCCGTCTGCCAACAATGTGATGTACTGTTGGTTATCCAGAAGACTAAAAGGATACCGATTATCGTCGCAGCAACTACGTGATTTCTGACAATTGTCACGTAAAGTTCCGTGCGTTTGTTGTTGTAATGTTCCAGCGATGCCTGAAAGCATATGTCAATTAATTATTTTCTGTAAGATATCGGACAAACTTTACTACGTGATTCTTGCACATTGAAAATGTGTTTAAATATAAAGAGATACTCACTAAATAAGAAATAATCGTTGGATAAACGTGAATGATAGTGGTAATCACTATCGGCACAATTATTACGGAAATATCCGCTAACTTTCCTATGTCGTAATGCTCCAATAGTGTCCAGATCAGCGCACCGTTACCACAAATCAGAAATAGAATAATAGCTGTTACAGCGAGCTGCATAATAAGTGATGAACACTTGGCAAACCAATTCAAACGCACTTTCTGTCTCTTTTCCTCTAACAGCTCCTCCAGTTCCTTGTAAATAGATGCTGACTGCAAAGCAGCGGTTTTCGGAGATGATATACTGCAGTCCCATCCACAGAATATTTTGTTACTATACAAATAGTGCGCTTTTCCGCGTATTTTAACGTAAGACTTTCTATAGGAAGATATAACTCTGAAGAAAGAACATATTGTTTTATGATTATACACAAACACGAAATAAATTTGCAAACTAATATTCACAATGTTCAACAAATATAAAAATAATCAGCGCAATTAATGTCTGATGTTATCACATACTTGATACCAAGTGTGATAAAAGTAACTGTGTAGCAAAAAAGCAGTGTAAAGAAATAGGCAAACGGAATGCTATATTTCATTTCAAATGGCGTGCCTATTGTACTATTGGAATAAAAACCATAATACATTATTGTGTGAGAGAAAAAGCCCTGCAAACCAAAATGTTGTGCACCATATTATTTCAAGCATGCTGTTTGATTTAATAATTAATTCACTTACACTTCCTGTTAATAAATCCAATACTTCAAAATTATTTTGTTTATATGTTTCCATCAATGATTGTGGAATCACAATGAAAGATATACTGCAAAATGTTTATTATATCCTTATGGTTTTTTTATCTAATATTTTAATATATATATATTATATGGACAATGTATTATATATAATTTTTAGATGTATCCAAATACAAACAAGATAAACCGCGTACCTCAGAATACAATAAAATATATTCAAAAAAAATAACCATCTTAGAAACTTGAAATACGTTGCCACACCACTTCCGTTGTGACTCTCGATAGTTTTTATTGCCTGATGCCACAGTAGATGTTTTATTGTCAGTAGAGAGTTCTTTGTTATCATCCATATCTAAATTTGAAATACTTAGTATATTCATGCATTACATGTATGTAAATACAATAATAATATTATACCTTGCACATTTTAGACTAATATTACCTTTGTACATTTTAGACTAATATTATACTTAAACCACTTCCAATAACTGAGTGACTTTTTTTTTACTCTTTGGTTGACAGTGGCCAGTAACTGTAATTTGACTGATCTCTTTACAGTAAGACACTGCGGCATAGCTCTCAAAGTTTCCATTCTAAATTTTTCTGACTCAGGATGCATGAATTTTGTGCTTGATTGCAAATGACATGCGATTGCATTAGCATATTCTTGTTTAGACATTTTAGTAAAGTTGCGCATTCTTAGAGTAGCATACGGAATAATGGCATTTATATTGTCTGACATATTATATTTTTCATTTTTTTCTGTGGAAAAAAAAGATATGACAACTTTATCGTTATATGCAAGTATTATTATAGCTACTTTCGGGGAGCATGCTATCAGCGCTATTGCGTCACTCCCCAGACAACCAGCTGACGTTATAATGACGTTAATATAAAGTCAGTTTTTGACCAGTTCGACGTTAGTTTATGACGTGATATTAACGTAATGACGATGTGAGTTTGTCTCGTCAAAAATGACGACAGGTTAATAACGTTTACTTACGTCATTAATCTGACGCAACGTACCTAACGTGACATCCCACATAGCACGTTATATTACTGCAAAATCACACAAAATATTGCTTTTTTATTGCAATATTACACTCTAATATAATAGAATATTACCGTAATGTTAATGTAATATCACAATAATATTAAAATGTCCATCAAAATGCATCACAGTAATATTACAATGATATGTAAAAAAACTAATGGCCCATCGTAAGAGGGGAATTAATTTGAGATAGACAATATCACTGAACGTCATTAACATATTAGTTTTAAAGTAATTGATTGTGAAAGTTTCTATGGCTGAATTGATATAATATCCGCTTGGTAATTCAGAGGGTTCCAGGTTCGAATCCAGTTGAGATGATTTTCTGATATAATGGGTTTTTTCTGCGAAATAATACTAGAACAACATAGAAAATAACCAAGAAAACTTATTCGAAGACATAAATTATAAACCTAAATCATTTTTTTATATTATAAATGTCATTTTGCTATCAAATCGTGTTGCGCAGATCTTGCTTCATATTTGGCGTCAATTTGGTCTCAGATTATGATATCAAGCTTTGCTCAGGTTTTGCTAGCAATTTGCTGTTACTTTTTGTTGACAAGCTTTGGCAACAAAATCCAAGTTTAATGCGGACACAGTTGATGCCAATTTGCTGAATATTTTTGCTTAAAATTGCTGACAATTTGCTGGCAAATTGCGAACAAATTGTTTACTGGCTAAATATATAATAATAATTACTCACTTGCTGATCTAATCGGCAACAGCTCTTCCATTTGTATATGTTGACTGGAAGATTTGTGAACATTTTCTTTTTTATCATTTTCTTTTTGATCTGGGAACAGCATTTTTGTAAACTAGTGTAACGACACGCGTTTAAAACTTAGCGTTTTTTGTCAGAATTGACAGGAGTGACTGGAGTGACAAACACTGAATTCTCGAATGATACAATATTGACGCGTGCGCAGTTGTGCCAACTTTGACAATTCTTTAATGCTTTCCAATTTGCGACACAAGTCGGCTCAAGGGCTGCGGTCCGTTTCATGCTTAAGCGCACATTTATCTATAGTATACGTGACATATACCACAGATAAATGCACGATTAAGCATGAAACGGACCGCAGCCAAGGTCATTTTGTTTGTTTCTCACTGAATATTGAACAAGGACAGAATGACTCTTGTGTTGCTAATTGAAAAACACCACTTATCTCATCGCCGTTGCAATGTTGTGTCTGGAACAAGAAAAACCTAAACAGATGAAGATATGAATACAAAAGATTTTACGATCATGATGCAGTAACAAGTTTGCGGCTGTCTTGTTAAATATTTGAAGTTCTTAGTTTTGCAATATTAAGAACAAATAAAAATTTCCACAAATTTTAGCATATACTCGAAATACGGGTTTTTTGTCAAGCTACATACATATATATACGCGCGCGCGCGCGTATATATACATCTGAATCATACTTTTATCATTCTCTTTGTTGTATTTTTGCACTCGATTGCTTATATATGTATATATATATATATATATCGATAATGTTCTAAAAATAAGGATTCTAACATAACTTCAGTATAATAATAAATACGGCGATTGAAACATTTGTAAGATCTACGAAAATGCGAATTTTTAAACAGACATTTTACTTTATCTTAACAGAATACTAGGTATTGCATTGGAATAACAAATTGAAAGTCATTTTACACGCGACACAATCGTGTCCGATCACCTTTGAAGTCAATCCTAACCTAATTCCTTTCACTAACGTGTAGTAACAGCCTAAGGATATCCAAAGTATGTTGTAATGTGCCCATATACAATAATTATCAAAAAAAGTATTCGCACGTATACTGGTTTGTTATTTACTCATTATTTGTTTTTTTGACGCATACCACAGGGGACCACTAGGGTCACCACAGTGATGCCAGTGACGCCAACAATCCGAAGTTGGCTATCGGGACAGCAAGAAGAGAAAGAAAGTAATATAAATTTTTTTATTTTTTCATGAGAGTAAGTAGTTTTTTTTATCGTTTCAACGATACTGGTGTTACCGATGCATGTAAAAAATGGGATACATAATAGATGCAAAAACTCTCAAGTGAAATGCATGCATACAATTGCCGCACTTGTTTGTCGGCCCTGACAAACGGGGTAGCGGGAGAAACTTCAGGCTGTAACGGCAGGTGCAACTTGCTGCTCGGCTCACAAGTGTAACTTGTTCTTGCTCGAACAGTGTATTATCGGACGTATGAGACGACGTAACACTCTCGTTAGTCTGATCTTTGCGCTGCATTGCCGCACGTTATTGTTTTCTCGTTTGTCTTCTCAGTTTGCCGAAAACACGTCGAATGTCTCCTGAGTTACGGATTTGAGATATTTCTTTGATTAGCAGGCCGCATTGAGAGATCCGCGACGAACAACACGTGAGATGTCGTCCGAGCGATTTCACAAGTGCGTTTTTTTTGTCAGGACCTTTTTTTGTGCGACGCATTTTGAGAGCGCTTTTTTTTTACTTTTACTCTTTTTATTCTTTTCTATTTGTTTTTCTTCTTTTTTTTTTGCACATGCTTCTTTACGAAAAAGAACTACTGGCAGTAATATATTGCGGCAGTAGTATGAAAAGAAAAAATTACTGACATTCTGTGTTATTGCAGTAATATTCTCAGTGATTCCTGTAATACCTAATATTCTTGTGTGATTGTCAGTAATATTTATATTGCTGACTTTTTTATTTATATGTAATCTGCAGTAGTTCTTTTTCATAAGGGCTTTGTTTAGAAAAAAGATCTGATTACACATTTTGTAGTGTTTCGTGAGAATCATATAAAAAAACGGAGAAATGTGAGTGCGAGATAAGGTACTCACCACTCAGTATTGAACAAATTTTCGACTCGATTGCACGCACCGAGATCGCAATTCGATATTCCGAGAATCGCATGTTCGAGAAAATTAATATTTTTAATACGCATTGCAGTTTTGTTTCCCATATATGTACTTCGTTTTACAAAGTAAAAATGTGAATGCAATGACACAACTTCCAAGCCGTAATTGATTATGTGAAAGTCTTTTTCTCTGTTATTGAGCATCATTCATAATTTTAACTTTTTAATCTTCTTATTTCGTAAAAGTACAAAAAATGAAAACTGAGCATGGCAAGAATGTGCATTCTACTAAAGAAATATGTCTTCCGAAAAATTGTATAAGAGATTTGTGCGTAGTCTCTATTACAGAAATGTATAAGTAATAATGTGTGTGTATAAGTACTTACCTATAAATAAATAGTCTAAATTTATTATAGTTCGAAGTTGAGAAACTGTACGTATATATACATTATTAATTACCTGAGAGATCACATTGCTTTCACTCAGCCCGAAGTTTTATAAGCAATTATTTGATCAAGCAATTGATTGATCATTGTACGATTGCTATTTTCAAACAGAAATTCAAAAGCGAGGATCATTCATCTAAATTGATTACTAGTAATTGCTTACAAAGCTGTTTTTTTGCTTGAAAGCAAAAACCGTTACAATAAAATGTGTCACAGAATACGATAATATACCTAGTAAACAAATTCGTTCGGAATTTGCCAGCAAATTGTCAACAATTTTGAGCAAAAATATTCAGCAAATTGGCATCAACTGTGTCCGCATTAGATTTTGTTGCCAAAATTTGTTGACAAAAAGTAACAATAAATTGCTGGCAAAAACCGAGCAAAGTTTGATAACATATTCTGAAATCAAGTTGACGTCAAATATGAAGCAAGATCTGCGCGACATGATATGATAGCAAAATGACATTTACAATAAAAAAAAAAATAATAATAATTTAGGTTTACAATAATTTGTGTTTTCGAGTAAGTTTTCTTGGTTATTCTCTACGTTGTCCTAGTATTACTTAGTAGAAAAAATTTATTGTCAGAAATCATCCCGACTGGACTCGAACCTGGAACTCTCTGATTACCACACAAGCGAGCACTCTATATCAATTCAGCCATTGAAACTTTCAAAATCAATTACTTTAAAACTAATATGTTAATGGCATTCAGTGATATTGTTACTGATTCTCAGTAAAACTATTTGTCACTAAATAAATCAGCAAAATTTTAACTGATTCCTAGTGAAACTAATTTGTCACTGACATCTAACTTTAAAAGACACATTTTTTCACTACGAATCAGTGATTTTTATCACTGATTCTCAGTAAACTTTTTTTTATTACTGAATCAATTCAATCAGTGAAATTTTTTAATTGATTCCACTTAAGAGAGTGCAGTTTGACTGTAATATTTAATCGCTTTTCATATTTGTTTAGGAAAAATCAATTATTTATCAATAAACGATAAATATCGTACGTGCATAAGTTAATTTTTTGATAATATAAAATATTGTAAAATCATTTAAATTAATTTATTGTAAAATTATTTAAAATTAAATATTATACAGACAATTGTAAAAAGTATAAATTCTAAGATATTTTACATAGATGTCATCTTAATATTTATATAATTATTGTCGATTAAATATTCAGATTTCAACAATATTATATATAAAGATTATATATATATATATATATGTATGTATGTATGTACATATGTATATAATTTGTAAAAATAAATTTAGAATATGTGTCAATGATTCTTTATAAATTTAGCTGAACTGCTGCAAGTCTTGCTTGGATTTTGCTCTCATTTTGCTGTCAGATTGTGTCGCACAGATTTTACTTTATATTTGACGTCAATGTGGTCTCAGGTTATATTATTAAACTTTGCTCGGCTTGTGTCAGCAATTTGCTGTTACTTTTTTGTCGACAATCTTGGATATATTTCTGCTAGCAATTTTGCGACATCGGCTTCATAAGCGGCACGTATTTGCATGAGCATTTCGATTTTTCTAATTAAAAGAAGAAAATGAATACGACGTGCTCTTGCACGCAGATATTACAACGCATTTGGCAGATCGAAGAAGATTAATAAGAACACACACGAACTTCTCTTTGTCAAAGGGCCGCGCGAGAAAACGGATTAGACGTTTTGAAGGAAGCCACGAGAAAAGACTGTAACGCGCGAGATGAAGGTGGAATGACCCCGACATTATGGGCAGCCTTCGAAGGCCACATAGATGCTCTGAAACTGCTGGTTGCTAAAGGGTACGCGCACATTTTTTACCTACTTAATATTTTATTAGATTCAGTTGTCACACACGACCAATAGTTTGTCTGCGTGCGATCGGAATGTTATATTTTATGGTTAAAGTTGTTGCGTATTGTGATGAACATGATGAACATAATATATAGATCATACTGTCGTTTGTTTTATAATCAGTATTTACACACAACATACACCAAAGAGGATATTTATATGTACCAGATTTTATACAAACGTGAAATGGTAAAACAATTTATATTAATGTTGAAGAAATTACAATATATAGGAAAATAAATAATACAATATATATATATATATATATATATATAAAATAACTATAATTAAAATAAGAGAGATTAAGATAAGAAGATAATTATTATACAGCCACCTAAATTATATATTTTATCAAAGTACGTTTCTTCTTTTTTGTATTAGTTATTTACACTAAATAATATCGACAAAAACAATATAAAATAAAAATGTATCAATTCGAACAAAATTGTTTCTGAAAATTTCATTTATTGAGCCCTTCGCTCTGCTTTTATGTATCATCATGTATAATCCACGAGCGGAAACGGAAGTATGCGTTGCAGAGATGTCCATCGACTGTATACACAAAATTCGCGGTCGAGCAAACAAGAAACAACAAAGCGCGCGACGACTAGAATTTGTTCATAGTTTTAAATCGAATCAAACTTAATTATATTTTTTATGTTTTTAAGTTCTTCTCTAAAATCTTAAAAAAAATTTTTATTTTGCAATTATCCAAATACATCTCGTACAATCTTTTATTGCAGAGGAGATCCGGACAAGACCGATTATTTCGGCAACACATGCTTGCACCTGGCAGCAGCAAGAGGTCACGAATTTTGCGTAAAATTCCTTGTGAAGTTTGGCTGCAATATTTGGTCACTGGACATTGATCGACATTCTGCCCGAGAGCTCGCAGCCATAAACGGTTGCGAGAAAATCCTGCAGTTTTTAGATCTCGTTCAAACCGATCAAGAGCTGAACAATCGCAAGAAGAGCCGATTACTCCGAGAAAAAGCAGAAAAGGATGCGGAGAAGAGGTGTAGTTGTGCAAACTAGCGGTTTTACTTACAAGACGAAAGAAAATAATATTCGTGGATTATTCAATTACATGTGTATCATCATTTGTTTTCATTATTTTAAATGTATAAAAGTATTGCTAAGAAGCAAAGCCAATAAGAAGTCTCAAGCCTCTTGCACAGCTGCATTCATAATAAACAGTCGTTTACTTTTTCAGATACATTAATCTTTCAGTCCACCTTCCTCATTCATTCTTACTTTCTGACTCAAATGCATTTCTCTGTTATTGTTTCAATTTATTAGTTAAATAAAGTTCTCAGTTGTTTTCTCTAAGAAACACAACAGTTTTTGGCGACGAGAATCATGGATGCAATACATGATGCATTCTTTGAGTTTTTTAATACTAATTATAAAAATATTTCTTTGTTAAGATTAAAGGATTACTTAAAGAAGCAAAAGATGGCTGAAGTCAGAGCGGAAAAAGAACAAAAGAAATTCATAAAGGATCGCACAAAGTCAAGCTTGGACACGATGAATAAATTGAACTCTCAACGATCCGGAATACTGACTTTTAAAAGTCGAATGAAACCTTTACCGACATTCAGCGATATCGTCGGCACTACCACGAAAACTGTGCATGGCAGTACAGTTTGTCGGAAAGCTTTGGCAAAAAAGACCGTCAATAATTTCAAGGTTGTAGAGGTATAAGCTCACATACATTAAGTAAAAAAGAACTAATTTTAAACGCAATCTTTTTATGCAAAAGTTTAAAAAATATAATAGTGATAAAAATCGTTTCCTTTATCATTATTAGTAAAATTAACATAATTTATTGTATATTAAGAAAAAGAAATATGCTCGTAAGAGTTAAAGTAATAAGAACAAAGGCCAATATACAAAGTATTGATGCATGCAGATCCCTTGTATGGGATCTTCATTAATGAAATCATTGAATTACAATAATTAAAATTAGAGTGTCAGTTTCTGACTACCGTGCCTTTTGATCGTATAATATTTATTGTATAATATTTGTTGTTGTCGCTCAGGTTGAGATGAATGGAGAGAAATTCTTTCGAAGTTTGGCTGGTGTCCGACGGGATTCTGAAATTATGTACATGGGCACGTATGACACTCATTCTCAGCATATAGGCAGAAGAAGAAAGATCTCCGACGTGTGGGGCACTTTGAGCAAGTCGCAGAGCACGCCCGATCTCTTAGCAGAAAGAATTTATGACGAGGAACAAGAGGATAAAGAAGAGAAAGATTTGAATGTTGCAAGAGACACTGTGTTCTTTCAGAAATCAGCCAGTATCTTCAACCGGCCGGGTTTCGGTTCCGTGGCTTTCAGAAGAACGGTTAGTCCGTTATTCTTAACTGTTCGAAATCGGTATACATTATTTTTCATTATTTGTTTTACTTAAGTCACATGACCTCAAAATAAAAGCAAAAAATTTGTTCTGCATTTTCCGTTGCGCATGAGAGATATTTATAATTTTCAGTTGAGATAGCTCGTGATAATGTTGAATGTAGGAAAATAGAAAGGCCAATGCGAGCCAATATACAAGATATTCGTGTATTTCAAAACAATTATTTGTGATAGATAAATCCAAACGTTTCAATCCTCACATTAGGATCTTTTTCAGTGGATAACTAGTAATATAAAACAAAATAAAAATAAAAAAAGAGAGGGGTGGGGAAATAAACCAGTACAGTAAAGGCGTATATAAAAAGAAAAAGAAAAACCGATGGTAGTAATAAATAATAATAATAATTTATAATTGTTGTATTCAGATAACATCCACATTGGACAACTTGCCGGTCACGGACACCCAAGTGCAAAGCTGTAATATTTCTGCCAAAAATTCCACAAACGGCTCCGTGAATAGTAACAAATTCAGCCCAAACGGTCACAACGAGGAGATTAGTATAGGAAGTGCCGGCAGTTTAGCGCGCAGGCAAAGCTTGTGGGATGAAGATTTACTTTCGGGTAAGTTAAATCTTTATTACGAACTAAAAAGTGCATATCTTTGCAATAATGTTTCATTTTGTAAACGAAACGGCAATCATTTCAAAACTAATAATATACTGTGTTAAATATATATATATATGTACAAAAAGAAGGCGACGAGACGGACGAAGAATGGACACCCTTGCAAAGATTCTTAGTCGCTAATAACCTCATCTCTGTGCAATCCGTCCTAGAGTCCGAGCAAATCGATCTGGAGGCTCTGATGTTGCTTACCGAAACTGACATAGCAGCTCTCAAGCTTCCGCTCGGTCCCAGACGGAAACTTATTAATGCGATCGCAAATCGAAAGAAAGCACTGAGCACGCCGGAAAGCGTCATAAAAGACAGCAAATTGTGAAAATGACATATATCGTATTAGTGATAGAAAAGTGTAATATCTATTACTGTCGAAATTATCCGTCAAAAACAAACATGACAATCTCTTACTTCCTATTAAACATGACAATATTATGTAATTTTACTCATAAATATACAGGTATGTGCGAATGTGCGCGTCGTGTGTGAAGAGAAAAAAATATGAATACCAAAAACAGCTAAGTAAGATAGTTTCTGCCATAACAAAAGAAACAAAAGAATTCTAATATAAAACTACGCGCTATAAAATTTAGAGGGAGAGTCGCCAACTCAGAGATGACCGACATTTTATAAAATCTAGACCAACAAAATGACAATTTTGCAGTTGATATTAACCCTATTATAGTTGAGCTAATGATGCGCTGCATTACTTAATGAAATGGTTACTGCATCTTCCAAAGTTAAATGATGATTACGACTATTTATGATTAAGAATATACATTTATAGTCACTTCCTAATTTCTGCACTGACCACGTTCTAATATATTATAACCTTGCTGTCGAGTCCAGTCATAGACGTAGAATATATAGACTGCACGTTTGGCTGAAAAGATGTCTTTACGGTTGACAGAGGCAACATACTTTGAACTGTAACTCTCTGTCTATCAATGTCTGTGAGGGCTTACTGTTTCATACCGCTTAACCTGCCATCACTCCTTAATCTCTTTCATTTTTCTTCATCCTCACTATTTTTCCACTACTATTCTATTCATTCCACATATCTATCCATATTCTATTCTACTAATCTTTCAATCAACGAAGACTTCTTTTTCCTCCACTACTTTGCTAGTTAAAGATGAGGCTACAGTTCACCAGCTGTCTCTCTCAACATTGAAGACATTTTCTTAACATGGCAAAGGTAGGGAACGCGCAATCTATATATTCTACGTCTTTGGGTTCAGTGGGCTTAAGATTGCCATCAAGCGTCCGGGAAAAAAGAAAACGGATAACTACCCTACCTCAAGGTAACGCGGGAGAAATAAAGCAAAATATTTAGAAGATTCTCTAAAACACCGGACGGTCATAATCACCGCGGACGTCTTGAGAAAATCGCGGTCCGGACGTCTCCGACACTCTACAAAAAAAAGATAGTATCCGGGGAAAAGAGGAATGGCAACGTTAAGTGGGCCGCTTTTTCCTCTATTCAATCAGAAGTGACCTGTGACGTCACGAGTTGGCGACTCTCCTTGGAGGCTGTCTAATCAAATCTAATCCTAATGATATATTCAATACAAGAATATTAAAGAGAAAGGAGAAACGCGTGATGTTATCTTCGTAATGTACTTATTTACATAATTCCTAAACTCTCATATACTTATTTTAATTATATAATAAAATTTTATATATAAGAGATACATATAATTTTTCTTATTACATCTAATATATTAATTATATTAAATCGTTTACAAAAGATGTACAAAGTAGAATACCATGAGTGCGTGAATGCGCACATATACACATAATTATAAACGGTTTCTGTTTACACAGAATCACTAAAAAATATTTTTTAATGTCTTGAGACAAATAAACAGAGTAAGACAAAAGAACACATCAGGTTTCTTTTCTTATTTATTTGTATATAATTATTTTACAAACAAGAGACGCAAAAATATACAAGCTTCTTATGTTCGCAAGAAAATAACAGCACCATTTCACACTTTGTCATGAACACGTCGTACAAAATCGAATCAAAACGTTTTGCTATTTGTACGAGTCTCATGTCACGATACATTCATTCTCACAAAAATACGCCAATGCAACTTGCAACAATGTGCATTAATGTAGTTACGAAAAGAAAGAGATATTCGTAAAATAAGTTTTTTTTTTTTCATGTTTAAGGTTTTCGTGCTTTTAAATGTTTTTTATGTTTAAGTTATTTTTCGTTTAAATATACACGGTTATACAATTTGTTTTGCATATTTGTACGAACATATGCTATAAAGAAATATAATTTCTCTCTGTGATTTCTCTTTGCCTTCAAAGTTTTAGTTTATAAATACACAATTAACAACGCACATCGCATCTACTTCTTGCTGATTCTCCGTATGTTCTCGAACACGTGCTTCACACTCTTATTTAGAGACGTCAGTTTATGAAGACGTCTGTTGAAATGATTTTTTACCATCTATACAAAGTGTCTAAAAAAGTTTGATACAGCCGAAGTGTGAAGATAAACTGGGTTAATCTGAATAGAAAAGTCATATACCATTTTGCAAAATTCGCAATAATTATTGAGTGATTAATTAATACATGTAAGCCAATGAGCGCATAAAAAGCGATAATAGTCCAGACTCTGTAAGCGTGTATGCTTTTTGTAAAGAAAAATGGCTTATTTCATACAATTTCCTAACAGTAAGAGACGCAGCAACCAACCGAGCAGCGTGTGATACAGCTTCTTGTGCAATCAGATTTTCACAACTGAAAATCGCACATCTAGAGTCCGGACCATCGCTTCCCAGGCGCTCATTGAATCACATGTATTAATTAATCACTCAATAACTATTGCAAATTTTGCAAAATGTTACTTTTTGGTTTAAATTAATCCAATATATTTTTACACTTTGGCTGTATCAAAATTTTTCAGACACCCTGTATATATATTTTTATTTATAAACATATTCATAAATACGTAAAAAGAATTCCAGCCATTTGATATTGTATTTTCATATAGAGATGTACACCACACATTTAACTGGCGAATCCTATACAATATATTACTTACACACAAAAAAACTGCTAAATTTTTATATTCCATTACATTATATATACATATACATTATATCAAATATATGTATATTAATTTGTTAACATAAATAAAAAAATTATATAACATAAATTTAAATTTTGTATCTTAATCAATAAAAGAAAACACTTTTAATTCCACATTTGTGGCTCGACGCACTGCATATTCTTCACAGTTCATGTATACGCACACATACGACCTTACAATGGCCTGCGTAAACTTTTCCGACGCGAACTCTTTCACGAGAGAAAAAAGAGCTTCGCGCATGTGTGGAAAAATTTTTGTCTATACTTCATTCCGCGTGTACAAATAATTGTTACACAATATTGGAAAATGCTAGATATACCGGCGTACGAACAACTTGCTTGCTCGAAAAAGAACATAGAATTGTTTCTCAGTATTCATTTGAGAGTAACTAATCGTGAGGAAAAAGAATAAAAAAATAAAAGAGTGTACAAGAAGCTCTGTCTTTATAGAATAACTCGATGGATGTTTCTCTCAAGTGAGCACTGTAGGTAGCAGTAAAGAAAGAATAGACATTTCCATTGTGCAATCAGGAGACGTATCACATGAAACAGAAATAAAATTTTATCAATCTCTGTAGAATCGTGCGCCTTCGATATACAAGGTTTCTGACAATTAAGTTTAACATCTCTCGTAGGCAAGTAGAACGAGTAAGGGTTGGCTTATAATAGCTGTAACAGTTAACTTATGCCAATGTCGTAAAAGTTGGAAAATAGGAAACTTGTACTCTCGTTCATAATTCAATTATAAACAGTAGTACGAATTTCTTCTTCATCGCACGTAAGACAGCTTGATGCATACGCAATATATATTCGCGAATCTTTGTTAATTAAGATATCTTAGTAATTATTGCGAATCTCGCAAAATGGTATATAAGACTTTTCAATTCAGTTTTACTCCTTCTATCTGCCTACGAGACATGTTAAACCACTTGTCGGACACTCTGTATGTATTATATGTAGTGTAAGTCTACAGATAAGCGCATCATATCGTGCGGCTCTAAGGGAAATATTTCTCGAAAATTTCTCCTCTAGCTGGTCTTACTACCGCGCGCCGTTCTCCTTCGGTCTCTGCCAGCGGACCGCAGTGGTAGGAGCAGCCGGAAGATAATATTCCGAGAAATATTCCCTTGGAACCATATGATATAGTGTACTCCTCTATACATACCTAAGTATATGGCATCTTCACACCCATGATATATCCCGCAGTAATGTGCGTTGTTTTTCTCTGTCTTAGTGACAGAAAGAACGAACATTTACATCGAGGATAGATATAGTTCGAAATGAACAGCAGAAAAGAAACGTGTTAACGATGCAAATGTACAAATTCTTCGAATAATAATTTTTGTTTTTACATCGTTAATGAGAATATCATTCATTTTTCTGACTGTTCGTTTCGCATGTACAGTTGACTTGTAAACGATCTGTTAGTGAAAAATAAATTCTCCACAGTTGTGTGTTCTGACTTGATACGAGACTTTGGGAAAAAAGGGTCGGACTCTAGCACCATCGATCTCGGTCAAAAGAGTGCAATTGATAAAGTAGTCCTTGCATTTTTATTACCTGTCAATCGCACGATAAATATCATTATTAAAGCTATCGTGTAGAAGTCAATACTAGTAGTGATAATATAATGTAAGCGATACTTTTTGTTTCTATATCTATCTATATCGTTATATTATTGTATGATATATTTACAACTGAACAACAGTTTTTCTCCTCTTACGAATGACGCTCGAATCGTCTATGAAGAACCAAATAGAAAAATGTTGAAGAGTTTCTACATGATTTTCAGGAGGAATGATCAAAGCAAGTATCGCAAACGAATAAACAGCGAGAATAAATCTTGCATTTGAATCTACCTTTAATACAAATTTGACAAGTGCAGGTTATAAGTTTTATTACTTGCGATCAAAACATATTTAAAAATTCCAGTAAAAGCAATGTGTCAGACATATTAAGTAGAAACAATGGTAATTATATACAAAGTGTTTCTCCTCACCGATTTCAATGAAATGTTAAGGACGTCATTCTGAACAACTTTTCTCTATACCTAGCAAACAATTTGATTGTGGGATGTCGCGATTTTGTCGCCAACCGCCAGCAACATTTCTAAATCAAATCCATATCTATCTGTACCCTTTAGGATATGGTTTGGTGACCATGTTGCGTCCTTTGTCTCTGTGTGCTAACAGCTTTGGCAGCACCAATGCATGTTTCCGTATTGTAGCGTTTCTGCAAACAGTTTCTGTTGTCAAGGTCTGCGCAGTCAGAAATTGTTTGCTGGGTACATGTTACCGCCGCTCGGCTGTAGTTTTTGAATTATTCACTAAAGAACTTTCATAAATAAAACTTTGTTTTCCAATACTGTGTCAATTTAAGAAGTAAATATTTTGATTGTATAACACGTGTAGGCTGGAAAGGCTTTGCCCCTCCCCCTGCACCCCCCTCCGAAAAAACCGAACTCACGAACGTACGATGCATAATGTACATTACTATGGGCTCACTGTTATGTATTTTAGAACGGTATTTGTGGCGCTACTAATATTGGCAATAAATATCGGAATGCATCCAGGCTGCGTTCGGGCAGCACGCTATCAGCGCTATTGCGTCATTCTATCTTTGTTTTACATCTAATGAGCAATAAAGATAGAATGATGCAACAGCGCTGATAACGCGCTCCCCGAACGCACCCTATATTGCCGAATTCTTGGAAAGGATTTATTTATGAAACTTCTTTTGTGTATAACGAAAAAACTAGAGCCGAGCGGCGGTAACATGTATAGGGAAAAGTTGTTCAGAATGACGTCCTTAACATATTTCAAGATTATTGAAATTGGTGTTCGCCGTCATTCTCCGAGAATGAATAGTTACATATTATCGTTAAGATTTTATCTATAAAATATTTTCTATTAAAAAAATTGTAATAGACATAAACACACGCACGTACACATTGACCACGCTCGGCCGGATGTGCAACTGCAGTGCAACCACATTTGTGATTTTTCTGCTGAACAGTACTATGCGCTCTAATCCACTTACTGTTAGAATCCAACAATTAACTTCCAATAGTCAAGAAACATCACAAGTTTCCAAACGCGGCCATTTCCATATGTGTATAAGACATTTTGTAATCATTGTCGCGAGTATTCTACATAAAAAAAAATAAAAATAAAAAACTCATGTTCTCTTTTTCATACCTAAACATCCAACGGTTTACACCATCAGTTAGAGAAATCTTACTGTATATGCAAAAGTACATAACATATATACGTATGTAAAAAAACATACATACGTACAGAGCACGAGATCGTACGTTCACAGAACAATCGTTTATCTGACAACGTCTACGTTTTACACAAGTTCAATAGATACATACGTGTCACGTCGTTCAGAACACTAGGTTCACAATTTCTCATTCCACAACGTTGACATAGACCTTATCCAAGATGGAGTTTGATACCTTTTTGTTTTGACAGTTTTTATTTACTTTTACTAGTCTATAATATACGAATGAACAAAGTATAAAGTTTATATTATCGTGCGTCATGCTTTTCTTCTGCCAAATACGATATCGAATTATGACTGCGTACATCCGACTGCGTTTTAGTCTGTTCTTCGTTCTGCGTTTCTCTTAATTAAAAAATTTTTTATATTAAACACTGCTTAATCATTTGTTAGTCAAGACTCGAAGCAAGAGATCTCTTTACGGACTATTCATTAGTTCATCATAATTTTTTTTCTTGTTAGCACGTTCTTTATATATACGTGTGGTAGTTTGTATATTTAAAACTTAAATGTTTAAACAAACATCATATTTTTGTATAAGTTTCCTCTTAAGACATCATTATCTTATAATTATAACCACTATAAATGATCTTATAGTGTATAACTTCTAGTGTAATTATAAATTTTTTCCTTTACACATTGTTTGTGAGACAGAAGAAAAAAAGGGAAAAGTAGATCGCACGTTATAATAAAACCACAACAATTTATACAACAATTATACGAATTAATTTCATGACAAAAAAATTTGATACAAAATAATATACAAATCTATAAGTAACGTAAACAATGAATTACACACCCACATACACACACACGTGTGCGTGTGCGTGCGTGTAATTATACATGTACACAAGATGTCTGATAATTGATTTCATCACATCTCTCGTAAGCAGGTAGAAGGAGTAAACTTGAATCGAAAAGTCCTATACCATTTTGCAAAATTCGCAATAGTTACCGAGATCTTAATTAACAAAGATCCCCAACACGTCTAACGCGCATAAGACAGCCCAATGTATGCTTATTCGCGGAGTTCTGTTAATTAAGATCTCGGTAACTATTGCGAATTTTGCAAAATGGTATAGGATTCTTAAACTCAGTTTTACTCTTTCTATCTGGTTATAAGAGATGTTAAACCAATTGACGGACACTCTATACATGTGTTATACAGAAAGATATATTTTTAGATATAAAAAATTTATATACTCAGAAATATTTCAACAAGGAAATTTGACAAATATTTTTTGACAATTAACATACACGAAAAAGTGTAGCTTAAAGTACAATAAAAATAAATTTTTTGCATCGTACTATTATTACTTCCACTTTTTCTTAACAAAATTGTATAAAATAATTTGAGACAATTAAGGAAAATCACACATTAAATCGGAACTTGTTTACACACAATCCCCAATAGAATAAAACCAATATGACATATTATGACAAGTAATAATTTAAATAAATTGTGTTATAAATATTTTACAATTTTTTAACTCTTTCTTCCTGTTTATCTAACATAACGTAATAAGTTATTTAAATTAAGAGGTTTTGAAATAAAAGTCTATCTGTTGTATCAAGAATTTCTCTCATTACGCTGCAACAAATCAAAAACTATCTGACAAGTATCACACACACAAATTATCTTATTAATCGATATACAGATTCGTGTATCGATGTTTTTATAAAAACTTAATAGTTTGAATAATGTTATACACAATCTAGCTAGATTTTATAACTTAGATGTATAACTTGACTTATACAAATCGACAAAACGACAGTCCTGTATACAAATATTTGCACATAAGACCGATCATCATGTGGGCACTTTAAACTGTATTAAAAACACGTTCGTGCGATCTTGCATTTTCTGTAATTTTTGCGTTAAATCTTATATACAAACAAATACAAATATGAGAACTTCTAAAGTATGTCATGTAAGAGCCACATACACAAAGTAGAGATTTTTTTCTAATCCAGATTTTTCAATTTTATGTAACAAAACTAAAACAATTCTAAACGGTATGTAAGTTGAAACTAGCAGTAACTCATAGAGATACACACGAACGTGTTTATTTGGCAGTATATTCCACTACTGTTTCTTGATACAAGTATATACGACTGGGAATTATATTGTAGAAGAGGTCAGCTAATCATTAACCGAGTCGATTAATTAACAGGGAGCAAGGGAGTAAAGCTACCTTACTCATCGCGCGCTGTTACAGTGTGGTGCGCATACGTTTGTGCGTGGGTGATCCCATATCCACGTCATGAGAAGCAGGTCGTTTATGATGTCGAGCCAATTCGTTACTAATAAAAGCCGACAGTTCGGCTTGCCTTCCTCCACGACGAGAAACTGGAGATCCTTAAATAAACGTTTGATTGTGGAAATATAATTAAATATAATTTTAGTCTACATTCAATATATATACGATAACATTGATCTCTTTAAGTAAAACGTGCGAGTTCAAGCAAAAGCATATATAATAAAAATTATTATGATAAATAGTAAATGTATAAGAATCAGTAAGATTTTAAATTTTATAGATAATATTAACCTAATCCTGTAAATCCTGGACATTTATGTCTGATGCAATTTCTTTATTGGTTAAAACGTTACAAAAATTCTGTGAAAATTCATGGGGTTTTATTCAACATTCTATACTAAGGAAATAACATTAGTTTTGATATATTTTGTAATTTTTTAGAAATTTTTCTATTAAGTAGTTAACAAGATTTTCTCATTTTCAAGAATCGCTTGGGTTAATAATTTATAGGAGTCAATATATAAGTACCGGATAATGCAATGGCTTCTCTAAATGTGTGTAACTCAGGATCTGGAGTGCTGCCTGCTGTTGGTGCTGGAGCAATAACCATACTTGGTGCTTGGCTTGGTGACGATGGAGAACCACATACCATCATACGTGGTTTAGGAGAACTTCTATAACATATTTTTTCGCAACATAAACATCCAAAACTTTGATCAAAACATTAAATAGTTCTAAGTGTTAAAATGGTTCAATTATTCAGTTTTTCTTTGCAACTTCAAATCTTATATTTACATTGACAATAATTCAAATTAATAATTAGATTTCTCATTATAAGAAACAAGGAAAAAAAGGACAAACCTATGCGAATGCGACCGAGATGGAGAAGGTTTTCCAGCGAGATACGCAAGAAGATCCTCTCTGCGAATCATACGCCTTTTTTTCCTAGCCCAATTCATAATTTCTTTACTACGTTTTTGTTTGCCCATTTCCACTCCCAGATCACTGCACCGTCTCATACAGTCTACTGAATCTAATTTAACACAAAAAAATTGCGCTATTGTGATTTACACTATTGAAATACTTATATCTTACAATAATTTATGACGCATATGTATACGTCACACTACGATACACTGCGATAATAAAACATGCGTCATATAACGAGTAACTTAACCTAACAAACTTTATATTTTTCTATAGGTTAAACGCATCAATTTTTCTTTTGATTCTTTTTTATCTTCATATACTTCTCTAGGATTTCTATATGTGATATTTTATATAATATTATAACAACATCAGTTTATAAGCTAGTTTGATTATCTTCAACTGAATTAATCAGCTGATTAAATGTCAACCGTGATTGGCCAATTCGACCGATTGACCAATGCGATTGAGCAATCCTAACGGAATAATTGGTTGATTATGCGTGATGGTAAACTTGGTCCTGTACTTTACAACAGCTGACAATCAGCTGATGTAATGACTTGTCAATTTTCTATAACATATTTAACTGATAACAACAGATCCTATAGAGTGACAGAACAACAATTCAGAGCTTAAACAAAATAAAACAGCTGATGGAAAATTAAAAGGAATTTCTATCTCTTTGTGCACTATTGATTAAGAGCTATATGTGTAAAATGAAAATTATAAATCAGTGGCATGTGTTGTGTGACACAAATGAAAAAAAGAAAATGAATAGAAAAAAACGACATATAAAACAACAGCAGAAGGTTTGCACAGAGACACCTGTTGACAATAAAGATCATAAAATAGAGGAATAAACACCTTTGTATAACGACGTGACAGTCCCAGCTGCAGTCTGAAAGGGAACCCATAATGAGGCTCCTAATGTGCGGTCTGTAAAAGATAAAAAAAGCTTAGATGTCGAGTGATCAATATTCCTAAAAAATAGCGATAAAACTATTACGAGTCACATTGTGTAAGGATTGTTCTTAGAATATATTACGACAAAATGGATGCTGCGGCTGATTGCGTATTAACGAAGACAGCTTAGATGTCATCGAAACAGATCGAAGACTGGGTTGTGCGTCGTAAGAAAAAAAACGAAAAAAAAAAAAAGAAAATTACGAACTTGTACATTTCGTCGCTTTAAATATAATCACCTTTGTATAGCTGGGCGATGGCCGACGCAGTGGTTTGGAAGCTCATCCACATCTGCTGCGAGTAGAGTTCTTTTTCATTGTGCAACTTACTCTCGTAATCGGGCTCGGATTCGAGCGCTTCGAAGCACTGCTGTTCCCAATTGCTGTACCAGAAGTCCATTATCGGATCCTCCTCGCTCCTGTCGTCGCTCATCGCTGCCAATCGCACGATTGACGCACCACTGCTCCACTGCTCGCCGTTCGAGCGCACACACGCTCTCTCACACTCACACGAGCTCGCGCAACACACACACACACACACACACAGACACACACACAAATATGACACTTCGCGTTTATATGAATAATCACAAATGATTCTCGCTGTGTGTAGCAACAAGAGCGAAGAGAACACGCCTTACCCATTCACGATATGCACGAATATATATGTATATGTATATATATGTATGTATGTATGTATGTATGTATATATATTTATATATGTATATATATGTTGTATGTATGTATGTAGGTATGTACGTATGTGGGTATGTATGTATGTGGGTATGTATGTTATATGTGTGTGTATGTCGGTATGCACGTATGTACAAGAATAGAGGCTCTATATTCCGTTTTCAAGCAGTTGAAAAGACTACGACGATGACAACATTAATAACAACAACAGTAACATTAATCGCGACTTATGTCAGAACTGTTCCTTTTACACTCGCTTCCGTCTTTATGTTGTTTTGCATAACTCGACGAGTGTTTCTCTTCTTTGCACATCAAGCCATTATCAGTGTTTTTGTTCCACTACACTCCTCGAGCTCGTTTTCCGAGCACGTCGTTATGATCAATTACTGCGAGGTTCCAATCAGTAATGTCGCAGAAATAATATGGAACAATAAATTTTTCTACGCTACTTCATAAAAGACTGCTCCAGATCGCTCTTAACTACTCCCTATGAGCGCCACTAAGGGGCGCTTATTGTTAGATGCAAGTAGAGTCCCTGTAATATGAGTCTGGTCACAGTTGTCTTCTACCTTATTGGTCGTGACAAAATATGGCGAAACCAATAAGATAACTCAAATTTATACTTCGCGCGCAGTACTATTCAATATAAGAATAGAATATTCAATATAAAGCCTCTTGCACAATGCGAGGGAATAGTGATAGCGATAAGCAATAGAATATAAGACAACATAAGAAGATAAATTTGTTTTTAAGTTTTATTTTATATACAAATACAATATAAAACTACAATATAAAAAATACAATATAAAATACAAATATATAATGTAATATATGCAATCATGGTGTAAGTATACAGGTGTGCTCTTGCACATAGTTTCTCAACAGCCAATAAGAAAGTTTCCCTAACATCGTCCATATTGGAGCGATAAAACGAATCGAATGTTTTATAAGCAGTCATAAACTGCATTTATTTTGCAAATAACGAGTAAGAAATAATATTTTATATGTTTTATATGTTTTGTCCAACATTTATTATTTATTACCAAATTTAATAACCGAAATACGTTAACAAAATTAATAACCAAAATACATTAACAAAATTGATAATCAAAATACAAAATTAATTACCGAATATATATATAAGAATTGTGACACACGTGCGGATAAATGATTAGAAGTTATAAATCTTAGACTAATGTATAACGATTATATCGATATTGTATCGATTATCATGTATCGATATATTCAAAAATGGAGGCGCTTGGGAACTGCGCAGAACCGGACGAATTTGTGCTCGAGAACGAGCACATCTGTATACTTACATCATGATATGCAATATAAAAATAGAAATAATATTTATTAAAGGCCGTATTCATAGTGGAAGCTCAAGGTAATGCTTAAGACTGTCTCGGTGAAGATGGTCTTATTTAATTAAAACCATCTCAAGAACGATATAATTCAGTCGGAAGATGTGCTTAAGACAATGCTTATTTATGATTCGGTTATTTCCGTAATATTTTCGTTGGATCCGCCAATAGAATTATTGGTTCACTTTTGTAAAGTAGTTATACTATCTAGTTTAATATTATTAGTCGTGACTAATATTGAACGATCTTGGCTGCGTTCCAATATTCACTGTATGTACTTCCGATACTCACTATACTCACAACCAGAGATCTATAGTAAGCAGAAACACTAACTTCATAGGTTCACTTTTTTTTAGAAAACGAATGCCAGAGTTTTATTTATTATTAAATAAAATAGATCAAACTAGCTTTTTATCCACTGATAGTAATTAAAATAAAAATCAGCTTTATTCTTGGAACATTTCGCGAACGTTGTTTATTAATTTCCGATCATCATCAGCCACTAAATTAGCAAAGAATTAATTACCAGTATAAAACAAGTAAAACTTAAGTTAACACAGTAGGATAGGATAAAAATCAAAAGTTTATACGCACTTTCAAAACAATTGCACGCTTACGCATTGACGTGTCTGGATGTATCCTGTGTGCAACCTGTGCAACAGACTATAAAAACTATTATAAATAAATGTTATGAAATAAGTGTTGTGTATCACAAAAAAGAAGTAATAGTGTACCGTCACCACTTTTTGAACTAAACTCTCCCTCCTGTTTCTTTTTACTCAATGCGAATACTATATACAATATGTAGTTCTTTATGTTTGAATAGATGGCGTTAAAATGTCTTTCATTAAATAGAGGGTTTGATTTGTAGATATTTTTATGTCGTCACATTTTACTTTTGCTTTTTTTTATTGCTTTCTTCAGTTGTGTGAAAAAGAACATATCTCTCTCATCAAAATGGAAATTTACAAACTTAGTAAAAAAAGGTTTAGTTTTTTCAGTCATAACTAAGAGAATACAGACTGCAAAAAAATAGTCGTTATATACTCTTACGGAAAAAACGTTTAACTATTGACCGTAACGTACGAAATCATTTTCAACTTAACTCTAAAAGCTCAAAATTGAACGTATAACGCCGAATATTGAAAGTTTACGGTCAAGTTTAACGTGATTTCGTACGTTATGGTCAATAGTTGAACGTTTTTTCTGTAAGAGTATGTAATAAATAACAATTAAATTAGTCTACATGATATATATATATATAATATTTTTTAAATCAAACATATATATATATAATTAATAATAAATAATAGAATTTACATTTCTCTTTCATTATATTTTTTTTTATATATTGCTTCTTTATTATATATTTATTTTTTTAGAAATATATAAAAAAAATAACACGTGTAATTATGTATTACACTTTTTTAAAACTAAAACTATATTTACAAGAAATATTATATATGCAAGCATTGTATTGCTGGAGCAATCTCAAGGTTAAATTTTGGTTTATTCGCTTTACCTCTTTCTTTCGTTTCAGCTCTCTTTCTCTCTTTCATTATCTCGTCTCTCTCTCTCTCTCTATATATATATATACATACATCTCCTCTCTCCTCATTTTCTCTTTCTCTACAGTAGACCGAACCCGTTTTTCTCCTTCCCTCCTTTCGCCGCGCGCGTGCGTGCGTGTGTGGGTGCGTGTGGATCGGCAGCGAATTGGTGAATGCACCAACTCGTACTCATCGTTCTTCTTCAGTGCGTGCCTTATGCGGACACCATAAAACACGTCTTTCTCGTAGAGCGGTTACGTGACATGTGCTCGGTGCAAACAAAATCCAGAAAGAGATAAAGAAACTTAACACATATGTAAAAAAAAGAGTTACTTAAAATAAGAAAGAAAAACTGCCAGGAAGAGAAAGATAAAACAAATTGATAGAAGAACAAATGGGAAAAAAGAGACAAACAGCATGAGGTAGAAAAAGAGAGTGAAAGAGAGAAGAAAAGGAAACAAGACGATCGTGTTCTAAGCAAATTGTCCGCAAAGGGAGCGAGTATTTTACGTACACGTCTCGCGCGAGTGCGTAGCGTTTCGAATTTTGTGTTGCAGTTTAATTATTCATAAGAAGAATAAAAAAGTTAATTGTGGTTATTGTTTCTGCAAGAAAATTATCTTTGAATCGTCTCATTTCACTTGGACTAGCTTGACTCTGTCATTGTTAACTCGAGGCTTAATTTCACTTAACTCAAAGTCATTATCGATTCTGATATCGATCAGTGTCTCCTCTTTTTGACTTGCGCAGCTGATATGTACAATACACATAGTACATACAGCATCTCATAAAACAACTTGAAGAAATAACATCCTAGAGATTCACGAGCATACATGTAGCAAAACCTTGATTGACGCCGTTTGTCCGGTTGAGTCACGCCATTGCAACTCGTCGGTTATGTTACTGAAGTGAACATAGCCGAAGTAAACGTTGAACGCGCGTGTCAAAAATCAAAAGCAAGATGCGAACAAGAATGCCTATCCTGCGGAATCAATGAGCGCGCATCGATCGTGTGTCGCATTTTCGTTAATCATCAACACAAATTTGTCAGTAAACTCAATGGTGTGTCAGAAATACCGCGCGGGATTCGACAAGAACGCGTATCAAAGCTAATTGTTTAAAAGTCGCCGCGAGACTTCAAACGTGAAAACTCGAATCGCCTGAACTAGTTCTCGAAAGAAGCTTCGCTGCCGCGGACTGTGTCTCGCCGGTTGTAATATTTTTAGACGTATACGTGCGCGTCGAATGGCGCGCCACACTGGTTGGTGTGTGACACTCATCGAGAAGAGAGAAATTTGATTTATAAGAAGAAAACAAATTCCTGACGTTTGAATAGGAATTTTTTTCCGATAAGATAACAAACAAGATAAAAAAGAAGAAAAGGACATTGATAACGTGTCTTTTGTTTCCGAGTCGGAAATTTCAATTATTTCAATTATTCAAAAGTAAAATGTTAGAAGGAATTAAGCGAAGGCACAGTGTATAATTAGTGTTACGGTGGACATACTCGTCGGGGTGCTTTTATGCATATGTATATATAATACTTTATCGCTGTACTTTTTGCATGGCGCCTGAACAAGGTCGCAAGCTGTAAAACGACTGTGAGATTGAATAAATTCTTGTGTATTGGTGGCTCTCGTGTGAGTGCCTGTTTTGGAAAGAGAAAAACACGGAAGATGAGACGTTGTTCTTTTTTGCAAATATCAGACATACTACCTGCTGGCCTTTCAGAAACCTTTCTTCAGTAGCGTTGCTACGCCGATTGACTGAGTTTTTCTGAACGGAATGTCTTTGGCGTTACGTTAAAGTGACAAAAGTGAGTATAAAAGTATGTGTGTGTATATGTGTGTATGAGTGTATATAATAAATTATTATACATGTTAATTCTTTTTATGTAAATTTCTTCATTTTAAAATATTACTAGACACATATATATAATTTACGCGAATCTTACAAAAAACAGAGTCAATCCAATTTGTATAATTAATTTAATTTTAAATTACTCTGTATCTTTCATTGAAGACTTACATTTGGATCTCAATATCATTGTAACAACTAAAATACTATTATTTCAGATGACAAGACAATTTATACTGTACAAAAGTATATGCAGAAATATAGAAAAAATTCTTTTGCTGTAGATTTATAGTTCAACTACACTTTATTTTGAAAAGAATTGTATCTATATAAAACAATCTACTTATATACATTCTTACTTTTGAACGTGTTTGTAAACATATAAAACTTTGTAAGTTGTTTATATGTTGTAAAATAGAAACTATTCTAAATCAATAGAAAGTTTAAAATATTGTATGACCACTGCACTTTTTATATAAAGCACTCATTGATGTAAGAAATGACTTCGCTTTGCGTGGAAAATCTTAAACTATGTCGAATCATACATATAGATTTCGATTTGTGTGAAATGTCAAAAACTCATGTGGAATGTTTCAAAATAAAAACTATTTAATGTAAAAAAACTTAGCGCGACTGCACCGAAAACTAAAGACAGAGTGACACAACATAACAAAACAAATTAAAAACTGATCATAGTTAGCAGAATTACTGTCTGCTACTACATACGCACGTCGGTGCATAGTAAGACTCGTTTAGCATCACGCCGTTAATCGCCGCCAACAATTACGAACGATTATGATATGAAGTATCACGTTCTTCCTGTTCAATCGCGTTTTAGTCACTCTTGATGCGAGGTTCGTAAACAATATCTCACGCATAGATACTGTAAATGTGACGCGCAAAGTTTCAGCGACATGGCAAACATATTATTGCACGGTCTTCTACAATACGTACGAAAAGGTGAGCTATCAGGAAGACAAAATCTTTTATTACAAATTTAACCGAGACGATTGTAGAATAGCTCGGGAAGGGCACGCGCACGCGCTAGCCGACAATTTCTGAGATTTCTTATCTTGAGATGAGTTAAGAGAATCTGTGACAAATACATATGGTTCAACAAAAATCTCTTGACATGCTTTATCTAGTCACATAATCTGATCATGTTAGAGGAAGCTAGTAAATTACAATAATACAATTACTAGCTGCATGCGGTCATTTTCCGCTTCATATCGTATTGCGTGATTATTACATTGGTAAAATTTATCAATAAAAATTATCGCAAAATTAAATTTTTATTATATTATATTTGTTTTAATGTTATTAAATATAGACTGAATAATATAAAGTTTTTCTTTTTTTTCTCTTATTTTGCGCAGTAAATTAGCTAATTTGTTTAATCGCGAATTAAGAGTTTTATTATCACCGTAGGTATAAATCGGCGCAAAATGGCGTCCAATGAGGATGGTGATTTGATCGATCTAAGAAACGATGCGTGCGTGCCTCGTGTTATTATTGGCGACTCGACATCCGAAGAACAGGAACATCTGCTCGATGTGTGTCCGCCAAAACTCGAACAAACGCTCTCGTTAACCAGGCGACAAGAGCAAGTGTCGAACAGCAACGACAAAGGTAACATTCTGGTGACACTGGGTCATGATCAAGTGATGCCAATTCGCAAGCGAATTGACGTTGTTTCGTCTGACACGATCAAACGCGTTCGCGACATTACTCGAAATCTAGAGCCGGTGATACCCTATTCGGATATCAACGAGGAAACGCAGCAAAACACGGTAGATCACGCGACTGCCTCAAGCTGTGAATTAACTCAGAGGAAGAATGGAAACGAAAACGAAACGTACGAGGCGCAGGAGATAAGCAATGCCTTCAATTTTCTTGCCGAGCACGACGACGAGGACCAGATGAACACGGGTTTTGATCACGCGAGAAATAACAACATTGATTCGATATCTTTTGTGCGTTCCTCCATCGAGGAGAACGAGAAGGAAGACATGGCCAATTACTTATCCGAGTCGTCCAAGTCTTTGAACGGGGAAACGATCGACAGAAACGACGAGGAAAAGAAGAACAACTTGAATGTTATATCCAATGACGTATATTTGGACAATCCGGCTTTCGAGTTCTCGCCGAACTCATTCTGCGAGGACAGCCCGATAACAAGCAGATCCATTTCCGTCGACTTGGAGTCGCACGCGAGAATTGTGTTTAAGAGAAGCGGTCGGAGTAACGTCGCCTTCGAACGCAAAAACAAAAGACGTTCCCTCCAACATTCTGATTGTAAATCATGGACGGAAAGAACGAGCTTAAACTTGAATCTCAAAGACGGACTTCCTGGTATCGATAGATACAGTAGTCTCATGGAATATCGCGGTACATCATCCACTTCCGACGTCAAATGCGGAGCAGTTAGTTTTCTTATGAGGTACAATTTCCTTTATTCTATTTTTCTGTCAAATTTGTTCATATATTAAAATTAAGAGAGACGAACTCAGCGCTAGGCTCCCAGTTGTTACGCTGGTCGTAAAGTAACGCCCTCTAATCATCTCAGAGAGAGAAAAACCAACGTCTATATGTCTCCTTGTCTTGTTTGTCCGTCTTCTTTTTAGAGTGGTAAGCTAATCATTGTTTCTCGAGCTCATCCGTCTCTTGTTGTATGAGACGGCTGAATATTATAAGAATACTATCTCATGGCACATATTTCTCGCGTAACGCGTAAAACCTATGATTACTTTTAATTATATATATATATATATATATATATGAGCTTGTTCACGAATTTTCGGTAAATCCGTGCGGACGATGTCGTCCATTTTGCTCGCCAATTTTTTCCTTCAAAGTAACCGATAAATGAAGATGTTTTCCAAAGTTTCAGCCCTTAAGATAATAACTCTAGATCGTGACAATTTTTTTAAAGTCAAAATTTTGACAGTTTTTGCTCATTTTAAAAACTATATATCTCGATCCTATTAGTAACGTTTAGAGCGTACAAGATCTCATTTTTTTTGTTTTCGATCAAAGTTTTTGGAGACATTTTTTTTTATTAGGTTCCTTAGAGCCAAAGGATAGTCTCCGATACACACAAAAAGTACGTGAAAAATGATCTATTTTCAAACACGTGCTAAATCGCTCCGTTCCCATCAGAAATAGTTTAGTCTCGGTTATGCTAGTAGACACAATCGGTAGACACAATTCGGAAATTATTGGAGAGAAAAGAACAGCCTGAGTGAGTCTGGATGGAGTTCAAAAATCAATTATAAAAGTCGCAAAAAAACTTCCAAGGGCTTTGTTTACAAGATTGAAATTGGATTTTTAGAAAAAAAATCGGTGATTTCGACAAAAATCACGATTTCTGACAAAAGATGAAAAAAATCTGACTTTATGATCGAATTGTACAGGAAAAATACATGTAAACCTGTTCTAAAAATTGCAAAAATCGCTGCTAATGATACGCGCCAGTAAGCAAATTATCGCTAATATAATAACCAAAATAAGCAATATTGAAAAATCCACAGAGCAGACTAGAAACAATAACAAAGAAAAACCTTTTGTGGAGCGATAAAACATAAGTAGATCTATAATTGCCCAAAGTTTCAGCCATTGGGGGATCTGGAGATCCCAGAGTCGACTTTTGGCCGAGGTGTTTTTTCGCAATATTTTAAAACTAGTTAAGGAGATATACGGAGTTCGCTTATATACGTGATGCAAATATAGCATCCTACATGAATTTAAGAATTGAAATTTCAATTCAAAACTCACCTGTAAAATTTACACGTAAATGTAATAAATTACATATATATGTATATATATATATATTTCCGCAACAAACCTCCAGCGTACGGCTCTTATTACCGTTTATATATTTTGCGTTTAAAATTTCAGAGCCTAAGATTTTTTACTAAAAAATACATTTAAATTATTGTATCATTCATTATTGTATCATTATATTGGCATACAAGAGAAAAAAGAATCATTTTAACAACATTCTGTTAATGGGTTTGCGATTGTCTCACGGAAGCTGACGGAGATTAAACCCGCATATTTGCTTTGCAGGCAGCCGGCGGAAACGGATCAGGCAACGTCGGGCAACATCGAGGACGGTTGCTCCGAAAGTTCTGAAGTGGATTGGTCGTGGGTCGAGGAAGTGGAGTGTCCGCGAGCCTCGGAGTCACTCGTAGCCAACGGCGGTGAACGTGCGGAACGCGAAGAAGAAAGGAGTGCTTCCCCCACTGATGAGAACACGGGGCGCAAGCGCGACTGCGAACATCGCGAAACAGTGGTGAGCCGCAGTGTCGCGATGTCCGTCACTGCGACGGCAAAGTCTCTAGTTGATGTTTCGCTGTGTTCACCTCTCGGCAACGCGCTTCTCGACAATCAAAACTACAGCAACAGTTGCCGTCAACATCGCCGACTACGTAATGATAACAGCAACAATAACGATGACAACGATGACGAGGAAACCATCACGCGCTGCAACGCCACCAACGAGACCGTCGATCGCGAAAATCGCGATCACGGTACGGCGGTCACGACGACAACAGCTACAATTATCACCAGTTCTGTTACGGCAAATTCGTGGATGCGCGCGTCTATGCGGCGTCTACGTCACTTGCGGCTACCTGATGGCACGCAACGCGATGGCAGTAACGACACAACGAATAATAATCGACGAACCGCGCCCGTCTCGGCACCGAATTCCCTGCCAGACATCGCATTAATTGCACCCGAGGTTCTTGCAGCGCAGACCAACAGCAGCGGCACTTCCGGGCCACTGCTGCGACCTTCAAGCGCACCCGCCAGGAACACGGTTATTACCATTAGTGCGGGTACAACGACGCCGCGTCGAACCGGCCGGCAGCTGGCCGGTAGGTTAAGAGGCGCGCGAAATCAAGAAGCATCTTCAAGGCAAGGCAGTCTCGGCTCCACGACTACAGTGAGTGATATCACTGCGTCCGGCACTACCACCTGCTCCAGCTCGTTTGACGGTGGTTCAATTAGTCCAACATTCAGCACGACGATCAGTCCGCGACGTGCTGCATCGAGGAGGTAAGTACAAAATATATATAAACACTTTATAGAGAATTAATTAATTATTTAATTTATTATTAGTATTTCGATTATTATTATTATTGTTGTTGTTGTTGTTGTTATTAGCATTATTTATTATCTATTCTATTATATTTGATTTTATATACATGCAATATATTTCATAAATATAAATTTATTTATTTATTATGAATGAGAGTAAATCTCTTTATAAGCAATCAAAGCAAGAGATTATAAGTAATAATGATAAAATAAATGCTACAATAATTAACCCTGCTCTTAAAATCAAATTAAACGAAAAGAGGAAACTTTAAATGGAACAATTAATTTCTGAAAAGACAAAGTTTTCTTATTTTTGAAGAAAGTGTAAAAATAAACATGCGGCAATGAGAATAAATAAGGAAACAAAGTTTTTTCCATTAAAAAAACGTACATTCTTTGTACATCATTTTATCGTAGTAAAATAAAAAGTGTTAAAGATTAGAGTTTACACTTTAATTTTGTTTGTGAACAAGTTTTCCACGATAAATTGTTTCTGAATTACAAATTTTACAAGAAAAAGTTGCTTATTTTTTTTAAACGGTATAACTTCGTTTAAAAAAATCGTAGAAAAATGTTTCAAATACGGATTTGTTTGGAAAGAAATGAGTTTCACAACTCATACAATTTTGTACCAGGCAATCGATTCCTCTGACCAATGCAACAGTTTAAAGTTGAAACAATGATGATATTTCGAAACCTATAACAGTTGACAATTGGGCACAACAATGCAGTTTTAATACAGATAAAATAACAGTGACTATCAGTAGACGTCGACGATGTGCGATGATCGGTTGCGTCTCTATGACGTTCGTGCAGTAAAATTAGTCTAAAGTAAGTTTTCATAATATTTTTTGGAATGTAGTATCTGTAGTTTGTTTATATATGTTATCTAGTTTGACTTTGATATTTTTGTAGTTTAATAATTTAAATTTTTGTTAAATTAGTTTTTTTTCAAATTTATTAATTTTGTAGGGAGTATTTGTGAGAAATTTTTCAAAGATTAAATTTATATGATCAAGGTAGATTGACACTTCTTGTTTCAACTCACGTCGATTTTAGGTTATTGTCATGCTTCAATTTGTTATGATATAATTTGCATGGAAATTATTTATTATTGTTACACAGAGAGAACGGTTTCTTTAGATTTAACAAATTTTGTTAACTCCAAACAAATTATTTTATAGGAATAGTCCAAACAATCTTGATTTTGAACTAAACAATTCCGATTGTTTGAATTTCAAACAAAGTATCTTGTTAAGTTAAATAAATCTAAAACTTCAATACAACAAACTTTTTCGCGGCTTGCGCCCTCACACAACTTTGAGATTTTACTCGAAGTAATCTTTGGAGGCCTCGATTATTAGCTTACCAATCAACCGATAAACTCCATTGAAAGAGACTGGATCTGAAAAAATCCTAAGGTGATAGCGAGATTCGAACTCGAGACGTATTTCGCAGTCTCTGCACTCAGTCCGCAAGACTACTTGTTCCTTACTAAAAAATGTGATTATTTTTATCTACTTATTTCCAAGCTATCCTATACGCATTTCATTTATTATTTCTTTAAATTATTATTTTATTAAAAATATTGCAGTGCAATGTATCTGCAACAATGGATAAAAATATTTCTTTTATTATTATTAAGTATTTATTATTCTTATAATTTAAAGTACATCTTTACAACGCGAAATTTTTTGTCTCAAACAATGCTATATTTAAATCAAATATATTTTANGTTATATTTATGTTACAAAATGATTTTTTTCATTAAATAATGCTTATTAAAACCAAATAAAATATTATTTTGTTGGAATANATTACTTCAAACATTTGTATTGTTTCCGTCAAATAAGTTGATTTATTTTAACATAACAATATAATTTTCATTCAACAAAATTGTTGTTTGGTATAAAATTATGTTGTTTGAATGCAACAAATATGAGTCAAACAAATCGGATTATTAAATTTAAAGAAACCGTTCTCTCTGTAGTTATGATAGAAAATGTAAAAATTGTTTCAATCCAACTCAGTCTTCCCTATTCGCAATACGACTGTGTTCTGGTACTGTGTTCCAAGACAACAGTTATATTATGCGGGAGAGGTCGATGCACTTAATTCTTTATGCATATATACTTGTTTTTCCCACGCCATCTCTTTACGGCTAGTAGTCCTATTGATCATGACGGCAAACTTGGCTTTTTGCCGCGCGTATAAGCTCATAAATTCAAATTCATCTTAATCTGTGTATAGCAGGTTGCTGATTTTGATTTATATGCGCGCATAAATTTGTGTATATCTCAAAATGTAGATTATATATACATATATTTCTTTTAGTGCGTTCAACTGTCGCATTTAATCGGCTTAAAAATTGAGGTGTAATTAAAATGAGAAGGAGATCTTTCCGAAAACTCTCCGCGAGCTCGTTGATGCGGAAAATAACGTTTTATCGGAGAACTTCAATGATGCTAGTCACATACGTATTCTGACGATCAAAGAAAAGGATGAAATTATCCTCGGGAGAATATCATTAATCCGAGAGAAGATAAAAAATCACATCTCCTTTTTTGTGCGGAGAATCTTCTTATCGTGCGGAAGACGAGAAAAGCGATCTCTACTTCCGCGCTGACATCTTTCGCTTTTTGTTGTTTATGTGCACGGAACGTAAATCTTTTGCTGCCTTTGCACAATCCAATTCAGCCATTTTCGCGTCCTTTGTTTTTCGAAGAGCACCGTGTGTTATATTCGCGTTTTCACACTGTTATATCGACGATCATAAATTTTGGTTGCTTTACCGTGTCAAAAATGCCGACATTATTATTATTATGTCGTTTTTATTCGGCAAAGCTCAGTGCAACTAACGACTTCTAAATGCCCATTGATGACTTCAAAGTGCACGTTTTTCATTCGGATGTCCGAAATGAGTGAAATTCTCTTTCTTTTGTTAATTAATTGGAAGTTTCTTGGAAATTATTTAGATTAGGGGCTTCCTCATCGATTTTAATGAGCTTGAAATATGTTGTTATAAGGACGTTATTCTGAACAACTTTTCCCTACACATGTTACCGCCGCTCGGCTCTAGTTTTCGAGTTTTTTCCAAAAAAAGTTTCACAAATTAATTCTTCGTTTTTTAACATCGTGTCGATTTCTGAAGTAAATATGTTGTTTGTATAACACGTGTAGGCAGGAGGAGAGGCTCCACTCCTCCCGCTGCTCCCTTCTCGAGGAAAAATAGAAAACGACTTCCGATTGCATGTTGCTTCATGTCGATAGTATGTACGTGGTTTTTAGCGTATACGATAAGTTTAATTACGTATTAGATAAAGTTTAATGTTAACAAATATATATATTTATTCTATTAATATTCTAAAACCTTTTTATTACTGTTAGATGTCATATTAATAATTTATACAAATATGTAATGTACATATTTTATTAGTATGAATAAATATCATGTCTTGTTACAAAATTACATGGCTGCATTTCGATATTCACTGCCAGTACTAAAAATCTACTTCACGTCACATGTGCTATAGATTTCCAGTACGGGCAGTAAATATCGAAACGCTGCCTAACATCGAAAAGCGTTGCCATACGTAACAAGCGCGTTACGTACGTTGCCTCGTAGCCGACTTAGTGGAAAGGAGACGGAACATATTATGTCTGCACTCTTCCATGAGCTGAGCGTGACGTCACGCACACGGACGCGGCTCTCGCTTGTATGCGTACGAGAGCATCGAGAGAGTGAGCTTCCACCAGCCCCCACTACTTTGATGCTCTCGTTGCTGTCCTGCACGATCTGGCATCTGACCAGTGATCAAAGATCGAGCCGGCTAGCACCGAGAGCACCGAGAGCACCGAGGTAGTGGGAACCACTGGGAACACGCACACAAGCGAGAACGCCGCTGTGTGCGTGACGTCACGCGGTAGAGAAGGTAATTTACTATTGGTGGGAGGAGTACGACGCGAGTCGTACTTCTCTACTTCTTTATATAGAACAAAAATAGTAATATTGTTCCGAAACTTTGAATTGCCATATCTCCTAAACCAAGGCCGCCCTCGCGAAATTTTTTTAGATAATTACTCAGTATGACTTGCCCTACATACTTAAAACACATCGAAATCGGTGATGCGTGACCTAATGCATATTTATCGTATTTTATTTCTACCTTTGATTCAAAGATTTCTACGTTAATTCTAACCTTAATACGTTTTAATAGTTTAAAAGTCCCACTTTTTAGTCATCGTCGCGGGGCCTAAGTTGCATATATGTTGGATACAGTTTTCTATCAGCGTGAAGGTAGCTACTAGCAATCCATACTTATATAATCAAAGATATATAATATGTATGGAGAGTTAAAAATCATAGTGATTGTAAGTCACAATGTAGCTATTATGAGTAAACTGATATTTTGCGTCTGTTGTTTAAAAAACTTCTAGAGACATATATAAAGTTTCAAAAACATATCTACTCATCAAACAATTTCTGACTACGCAGACCTTGGCAACAGAAACTATGTGCAGAATCGCTACAATACGGAAACATGCTTTCGTGCTGCCAAAACTGTTAGCACATAGAGACAAAAAACGCAACAACTCTATTGGCAAATACATGAGAGTATTGCGGCCAAAACGCTTCCATATATGTTAGTGAAATTGACAACAAATAGATAGTCGATAGTGTTGTGCAGCAATTTTAAGATAGAATTAAGTAGTAAGGCCATTGAGCAATGTGATGAGACATCACTGTCATTGCTCAATGACCTGGTTAGGTTGCGGGGCAACAGCAGTTCTAGGAAGAACTGCTGGTTGCCACAGGGTGCGACACATCGCCGCATTGTCCGAAATGCAACTAATTTAAAAAAAATTTTTTTTAAATTATTATTACGGATCCTTCATATATGGGATGCAAAATTAGCATCCTATATAATTTAAAGAATTGTAATTTCAATTCTAAGAACTCACGTGAAAAAAATATTACACGTGAATACATATACATATATATGCATTCACATATATATATACTCACATTTCCGCACAACACCCTGCGAACGGCTCTGCATGAGCTCTTATATTCATATATTAGTTTAAAAACTATAGAGCCCGAGAGTAATCTCTATTAATCACTATTGTTAAATTTTACTCTAACAATCTAGTAATAATTTCCGAACACTTAAAGATAAAAGATACAGTACAAAACGTTTCCTCTTCTGTCTTACAAACATTTATATTTTAGTCCCCGTATGCTCTAAATTTAGCTTAGAATAAAATAAATAACATAATCTTCTGATACAAGATTTGAAGATTAAATCCAGAGTAGTCATTTGCTAATAAAATTTCAATGGCAGTTTTTAAATTATCTTAGTGAAAGTTTAGATGAGATAATAAGATTGCTCTGTCTACAATACTATAAATAATCTTTACTGATAAATCATCAAAGTTTTTTAAATCGATAAAATATTAATAAACTTTTCTCGTATAATTTTCTTTGTAATGAATTACAGAATATTTTATATCTCTCGCGCGTAAAAGTTTTAAAATTTAGTTTACAATTTAATCCTTCGTGGACTGACATAGTCTCTCAGACTTATTCAAAAATTGCGCATCGGTGTCTCTAGTAAAAATTAGTTTTTTTTCAATTTGGTTTTTTTATCGACTCAGAATTGTTTAAACTTTCAATTTAAAAACAAAAACCTAGTAGACATTTTTGAAAGTCAGTTTACGAAAGGTTAATGTGTCAAATATAGATAATTGCTGTGAAATCTATAAAACTGATTTTTCATAATTGCGCATCTTTTCTCTGTGTTCCAAGAACATGCGAAAGGCAAAGAGACGTTGGTAGGCACAACAACAGGAACGAGGATGACGACGAGGACGATAATCCTCTGGGAAAGTGGCCGCACGCTCTCAGCTCGAGCTTCGCGTGTCTCGGGTGTACCCTGGGACTCTTCAACATCAGTAGATTTGCTATTCTTAGTATACAGTTTGGAGGTAAGCTCGTCGACCGTGAAAGCAGTCGTGAAAATAAAACCGTCCAAGTTCAAGTAAAGTTTTTCCTTTGTGCCTCGCTCAGCGAGAAAAGTTTATTAATATTTTGTCGAATATAAAGCAAAAGATCAAGAAAACTTCGACGCGCATACATACATCAGATCTTGCATCCGTAATTCTCTCGAAACAGGAGGCTGAAAACAGCCTCTTCTTTCAGCGGGATCAGATTTTAGTGTGTTTTCAGCACGCAAGAGCACGACCTTTTGCTGTACGACTGACAAAGTTTTATCCATATCTGATATTCGAAAGTGCAAAGCCAATTCGACGAGGGAATTTCATTTTCACATAATTGCAGATTTCTCTTGCCGTAATAAAACACAAAGAAATAAATTTTGTTGCAGTAGGCCGATATAATGATTTATGCTTGTTGATGATAATGACATCGAAATACCGCTATGTGCACATTTTACAAGAAGCCAATAATTATATAGTTTAACGTTATTTCTGAGAGACAATAATTAATTTCTGTCGGAGAAATGTCTGATTAGTCACGTTCGACGAGATGATGACGTTCTTACAATCACAAACAATCCCGAGCACTTTCTTTGTCTTATACCGCGAGTTACTTTATTTAATGCGTGTTTGTTTTTTTTTTTTACAGCAAATTTTATCGTACAGTTTCTGATGTTGTCTGTCATACTGGGCATCCCGTTATTAACGTTGCAAGTATGCCTTGGACAAAGACTAGCCGCGGGCTCTGTAGATATGTGGAGAATATCGCCTCTCTTTCAAGGTGTCGGGATAACTCTACTCACCGCACAGGCTTTCATCGGCATCTATAGTATAGTCGGTGTTTCGTGGATGTTTGTATATTTCAGGTACACTATTCAATGTTGTCTCTCTAAAAATAATGGATATATTTATACGTTTATTTAAATCTAAGGAAATGATTTACACAGAAAAACTGATAGTTGTGATTGGCTGTAGAAAATCGCTTAACTGATGACAACAGTTTTTATTGCAAATATTTTTAAACAAACTGAGTTTTATTAAAAAATTAGAACATTGAAAATTGTTCGTATTAATAGATTTAATTTATTCTTTTTCTGCACTAAGACAAAAAAGTTGAATATCTGTCTCGAATAATTTAGAGGAAAAATTATATTATAATTTATATTTTTAGTGGTGATGATAGTGGTATGTGTGTGTGTGTGTGTGTGTGTCTTGACTCGTTCCATCATACATAACGGAATAACGTCATACCATGTTGATCAAGTGGAACAAAACGCGTGGTATCGTTGATTGCAGAGATTCATTCATAACGAAGCAGGATAAGTATCGATGGGCGGAGCCATTTCTTCTATATCGAGACGACAATCGTCCCACGCACAACTCTACCACTTTTTACAAATTGCACGAAACTGTTCCGGATTACTTCAACGGTGCTGTACTACAAAGACATCATTTAAACGAGACCGATCCGAGTGTTATTACGTTGAAGTTTCAAGTGGCCTTCAATCTAGCCGTTGTCTGGATGATCGTCTTTGTTTCACTTAGTAAAGGTAAATTTTTCAAGAAGAGAGATATATTATACCCAGCAAACATTTTGGTTACAAAACCATATCTGTCTGTGTCCTCAGTAGGATACGGTTTGTTAACCATGTCTGTCAACATGTGAAATGTCAAAATGCGACCAAAATGATAACAGAGTCTGCCACAAGCAAAGCGAAGCCAAATTATCGCCAAAGTAAAGCTAAAATCCGGAATAGGTTTGGTCATTGTCTGTTGGCGCCAAATTGCAAACAGTCCGCACGTATATACGAACAGACCTGCTTGGCGTTTGGTGGCAATCTGTCGTCAACGCGTTTAACAGATCGACCCGACTTTTATTGGAAACAGATTTCTGGTTCACAATTTTGCGAACTGTTTGGTCACAGTATTGCTAAAAGCAGATCTGCTTGCAATCGACCATCTATTTGTTATTAATTTCACTGACATATATGGAATCGTTTTGGCTGCAATACTCTCATGTATTTATCAACAGAGTTGTTGCGTTTTTTCTTTCCGTATGCTAACAATTTTGGCAGTGTTTCCGTATTGTAACATTTCTGCAAACAGTTTCTGTTACCAAGGTCTGCGCCGAAATTGTCAAAAACAGAAATTGTTTGCTGGGTATATGTATACACAGGGTGTCTAACAACGAACTATAAAGCCGGCGTGTGTAGGTAAATCGAGTTATTCTGAACAGAAAAGTTATTTACCGTTTTGCAAACTTTGCAGTAGTTATTAAAATATGAATTAATAAATGTGAGCCAATGAGAGCGCGGGAAGTGATGATCGGACTCTATAGGCGTGCACAATTATCAGCTCTACTCCTCGCTCGCCGCTGCTCGCTGCGTACTGCCGAATAGCGTCCGATCGCAAGAAACTGAATCGTGCCGTGCTTGTTTGTTTACTCCGCCTCTCGTTACTAAGACTTTACATGAGAGAAGCCATTTTTCTTTTCATTTGATAATCCTGCACGCCTATAGAGTCCGATCATCGCTCTCTCATTGGCTCACATTTATTAATTCATATTTCAATAACTATTGCGATTTTTTCAAAATGGTAAATAACTTTTCTGTTCAGAATAACTCGATCTACCTACACACGTTGGCTTTATAGTTCGTTGTTAGACACCTTGTGTATACATATATACCCAGCAAACAATTGTTTATTTCTTCTTATAATTTCTTCGAGCCGTTGCTATAATATTGACTTAATTTAATTAATTTTATTTGTTAATTTATTGTTTTTTTAACAAACTTGTCAGTCTTTTGTAAATACTTCACCATATTTGTTGATGTAATAGAATTTAACTGAAGAGGACTTGAATTACAAGTCGAAACGTTTTGATAAAAACACACGTAGTTTAATTATTGCCAAATACCCTGTCATTGATTCCAATCAGCCGTCAATATACGATATTAAATTTGGAGATATATAGTTTTACATGATAATTAATAATTATTTAATTTTTTTGTACTCATAAAAAATTTACTTTTCAAATTTATTGTTTTTTTTGTTAGAGTTTATATCAAAACCTTTAACTTCTATTGTTGTTGTTTGTTTACACCAAGGGCTAAGATCTTATGGAAAGGTTGTGTACGTTTTTACATTGGTGCCTGTATTCGGCATGTTAGTCCTCTGTACAAAACTGCTCTGGCTCACCCCGTCGGATTCGATAAACCAACTTTTCCCCGCCACTGTCTGGGGCGAATTCTTCATAAACGGGAATTCATGGGTAGCCGCCTCAAATGAAGTGTTCCTCACATGGGGCTTGCTCGGTGCGGCCGTTATGCAGGTATTTTTTATTAACAAGATAATAAAGTAACAATTGTTGTTTTATGACGATATGATTCATTTAGCAGAATAGTCGTAATGATAATATAATTAGCGTATATTTTAATATTGTTTTGTTGAGTTTAGTAACATTGAAATAACATTAAAATACGTAGCGACTTATTAAAGTATGGCCATTTTCAGATAGCGGCTCATAACAAGCACAAACATCTTCTGCAACGAGACACTTGTCTCGTGGTGATTCTAACATTCGTGGTTCTCGTTCTCGCAGCCTTCTTAGCGAACACTTGCGTACAGATCCTCAGGCATCATGGTTACATCTACACTATTAGTTCGTTCGGTAAAATATAGTTTTATATATCATCTCGAGCGCAAAACAGATGAGTAACAATATTGTATCCGCGTACATGATCATGTTTTTTTGGAACGCAGAGAGAATATCAGGATATACATTCATGAGACTTGCCAACCAACCAGTACCGGGCAGCTATAGTACACCGGAGAGATTCATGTCCCACGCGTCGTTCCTCCTCGGCGAGCGTGTAACTCGACCAGGCGTGGACACGAGCACTGAGTCCGGATACCAGGTGTTACGGCTAGCCACTGAATTGGTCCCCGCGACGCTGGCATTGTTGGGTACCGAACAGGTGTCTCCGTTTTGGGCAGTCCTGTTTTATTTCATTCTCATCTTATTTGGGATTGCGCAGCAGGTATACAGGTTTCTTGCTATCTAGCAAATGAAAAACTATGAATGGTTGTTTGATATACAGAATGTCCGACAATTACTTTAACATCTCTCGTAGGCAGATAGGAGTAAAACTGAATTGAAAAGTCCCATTTTGCGAGATTCGCAATAATTACTGAGATCTTAATTAACAAAGATCAGCGAATAAGCATGCATCGGGCTGTCTTACGCGCGTAAGATAGCCCAGCGCGCTTCGCGCGGTTATCCTTTATTATGTATATGTTATAGTATACGGTGTTATATTAGCTCTTCCCATACGTTGCTACGGGTAACACCGTAAGCGCGCGAAGCGGGCTGTCTTACGCGCGTAAGAAGCGACAGTTCAAAGCATGCTTAAATCTTTGTTAATTAAGATCTCGGTAACTATTGCAAATCTTGTAAAATAATATAGGACTTTTTGACTCAGTTTTACTCCTACTTGCCTACGAGAGATGTTAAAGTAATTGTCGGACACCCTGTATAAATATACTCAAAAAAAGTAAAACAAAGTATTAATTACAAGTCAAAATGTTTGAAGAAAAACACTGTAATCACGGATTATGTTTGTTTACAGTTTACTTTATAACTCTAATTAGCGTCTTTTTTTTAATTGAAGAAGAATATTTATATGTTCGAGTTTCGATGTGGTTCCAGTTGGCGATCTGGCATTGTGTTATAACCGGTATAATGGCGATCAATACGAAGATGATGAAACTCTGGGAAACTACTATCACGTTTTTTAGCTGTGCTTGTGCCTACATATTCGGACTGCCGATGGCTACAGAAGTATGTACTGAATTCTTTGTGTTTTAAATAAAAAACAACGATATGCATGATAAATAATGTTTAATAATATTTATATTGTTAATTATGTATACGCAATGAGAGATTACCGCGTCTTAATATTTTTTTCGCATTTTACTACTACATATTATTATTAAGTAATGTGGATACATATCTGTCCTGTTGTCTCTGCCATTGTGTATTAGTCTCTAATCGTTCTTATCAGATAGAGACCTCGTTCTTGTTTATCGAGAACCGTCATCGCGTTATCAGCGTGAGTATTAGTTTGCGCTGTTTTACACAAAGTTACACAGTATCACAAGTGCAGTTGTATCATAAAAGAAGATGAGTAACGTTCACGCGATAGTACGTCGTAGCGTGCCCTGTTATTTTTGCAATGAATTTTTGGAGGAAAAGTATTTAACAGATCACGTGACGCATTGCGCAGCAGTGCTGGAGGAATGTCCCAACAAATGCGGGGTTTACGTGCCCCGTGGAAATTTGAACGGACATCAGAAATCGTGCGACAACACAACGTCGTCAAAGAGAAACGATCAGCTGAGGAATATCCAAGATTCGGTGTGGAAAGAAAAAGTGTTTTCGGTTTTAACGTTGTTGCGCTTAGCGATTGATCAGGCGGATAAAGATCGGATTCGCTTGCAGGACGATCTGTCCAGAAACTTAAGTTTGTTACACTCTCAGCAAGAATCGCTCGTTGCGTTGCGAGCGAGCTTCGCGGAAGCGATCGAGGAATCGCGCAGTAAAAACGTGGCGCTGAGTCAGAGATTGACCGACGTGGAGATGATAACTGACAACATACAGCATTGCACCACTTTGAGTCTTCAGCAGATCTCTGAACAGCTGAAGTTGCTCGAGACGGAAATGGCTGACGAACAAAGCGACTACAAACATGAACCGGGCGACTGGTACAAGGAGTTGAAAGATTTGAAAACCTTTGTCGCTAAGGAGAGCGTACGTGCGAGCGATATATGGCAAGAACACACGCAGCGTATCAATGATTTGAAATTAGAGTTAGAGATGAGATGCAAGAATTCGAAGGAAGTGACGTTGAAGCACGACACACTGTCGGAAAAGGTGGACAGTTTGTCAGAAGAGATTCGCAAGCATTCCAAAAACTTGACTAGACAGAAATCGGACATAAAAGGTCTAAAATTCCAAATAAAAGAGAATCTGAAGTATATCGAGGAATTAATCGCAGAGAATTACAAATCGGAACCCTTATCCAATTTGTACTCTCACGAAAGCGCGGAAATCGTCTCGACGAACGGTCGCATTATATGGCGAATCGACCGTTACCGGGAAAAAATGAGCGACGCGAAAGAAAACAATTGCGTGCTTTACGGTCCGGTATTTTGCAACAAGGAATACGGTTACACTTTGAGAATGGAGTTGTTTCTGAACGGCAAGGGCCAGTGGAAAAACCGCCACGTTATCGGGTGCTTGCGCGTGGAAAACGGCAAATGGGACCCTCTGTTGGACTGGCCGTGCGTGCTCCAAGCCGCTGTGATTCTTCGAGATCAAGACAATCCTGCAAACGACATTAGAAAATTCGTAAAGACCATAAGACGAGACAAGAATAATTCAAACGAACCTGATAAGGAATCTGGCTTATATATGTTTATTCCTCATACTACACTGACCAGATACTCTGGTTATACGAAAAATAACATTATATTTTTGGATATACAAGTGAGGGACGTGAGAACGAGCGCCTCGACGGCGTCATTAGTAGCTTGATGAACGATCGCATTTTTGATGTTAACGACAAATTCGATGACAATAACAAATAGTAATAATTTTATTACCAAAAATAATATTAGTAATATAATCATTTGTTTATGATGCTAATATGTTGCGAAAACTTCTCCATTTTTTTAAACGTAATTATTGTATAGTAATTAATTTAATGATTCTAATGCGAATATTGATATTTCTAATAATACTCGCTATTCTTAAGTGTGACACAATAGTTTTTTTAATATAAAAATATAAGTTATTATATTTTAAAAATATGAGTTATTATATTTTAATTTTTGCTGTGCTTTCAGTTAGGAATTTATGTTGTATACTATTTGGACTACACTATTGGAGGTGTATGGTGGATAATCGTCCTGTATCTCGTGCAAATTGGCGCTGTGTTTGCGGTCCGCGGACGTCCGCACACCGGTGAAGCGGTCGTCGCCGAATTGTTCCCACCGACCGGTCGGTATCTCAGATACTGGGCTGCTCCTCTGTTATCATTCATTTGGAACGTCGTTCTCCCAGTCACTTTATTTGTAAGCGAAAATTATTTACAACTTAGACGCTATGAGTTCTCGCAACGAATTACACCGCCACGCGGAGCATACGTCATCGTTAATGCATGTTCCGTAGGTTCTCAGTATCATAATATTCAAGGGCAGTGGCTTTCGAGAGCTATATTCTTATCGTCGCACAAGCAAAGATTATTGGGCTGTGTGGGCGAGGCAACTTGGAGCGGCGATTCAGCTGATACCGATTCTTATGATACCGGCAGTGGCTATCGTACAGACATGTCGATACTTGAACAACGGACCGCCCGATATATTCGACGTAAGTGTTGTTCGTTTATCAAAAACTGAACTTTCCTCTCTTTAAAGCATTTTAAAAATGAACTGCAATAACAAACTTGGGCGCGTAAATAAAATCAACCACAAAAATATCTAATCTAAAACTAACTTGTCAAATGATAATGAGATAACTCTAGATTGTTATTTTTAATCATTACATACTTTCTGTATATCTCTTTATTGACACAATCCTACGTGGCACAGATTACTTTGTAAGTTCTTGTAACACACGTTATTAATCACTAAATAAATTCATTTTTTACACTTTCTGTTCTTGCTGACAACAGAATGAACAGATGGAAGTAACAGTTAATCACTGCGAACAGTGTAACGGCGTAAGTTTCCATAAATCATTAATTAATTAGCGACACTATACACTGCGTCAAAAACGACAAGCTCGAGTGTGTATATACTGTATGTGTGTGTGAGTGTGTGTGTTTGCCTAATTTCCACTGTGGAAATAATAATAGGTATATGGTAATAATAATACGTAAGGATAATATGCCATATGGTATTCGTAACAATCTGTTTTTTTGCAGAGAATTCAGTTGCTTTATCGGCCTCCGCTAGAGCCGGATGATTCTCGGGATGCGCAGACTCAAATCGGTAACGACATCAACGCCAGCTTGCACGGCAACGGAATCCTTCCCACCGCGACTACGGAAATACCGTTCGAAGATCCGCCGCCGAAGTACACTCCACCACCGAGCTATACCACGGCAACCGGTGTGAGAATTGCGAAGATGTTGCGGCAGAGCTTCCGACGTAGTGTGCGGAGGATCGCGAACGTGTTGGGAGAGAGTAGCGCGCCACGACCGAGACCGGCGTTACAGCCGCCGCCGCCAGATTACGCAACAGTGCTAGTAGAGATGAACCAAAGTGGCGGTGTGTCGCGCGATCATGTCGCTATTCACGTGTCGCCGGCCGAGTCGCGGCCGGACGTGACAAACACCGGTAGCAATAGACAGAGATCAGCGGACATATCGGCCGAGCGTCGACATCATCGTCCAAATACTATTGATCGCACTAGCAGGATCGGCATTGAGGAAAGATCGCGCGCAATCGAGCGCACATACTCGACCCTCGATCGTAGTCGTCGATTGTACGCAAACACTGCGAATCTGACGGCCGCTGACGTGGCGAATTTGCTTCGCAGCAGTATACGCAGAGGCACTGTGAGAACACAGCAATCTCTGTGCCAGAGCTTCTGCCACGAGGAATCGACCACAGCGGCGTCCGTCGAGAATCTAGTCGAAGCCGCTGCGCCCATCGGCGAAGACTCCCTGATCCTGTCGAAGGACGCGTCTCTAGTCTCCGGCAAACAGGTCAACGACCGTCACCCTTTTGACGGCGACGACGACAAGAACGGCGATGAGAAGAAGACTGCAAGCGAAATGGAGAGTTCCGTTTCTGTGATATAGATTGCATATACCTGGCATTTTGCGGTCATCAGCTACAACTTCGGTCTAATGATTTTGCTATTCTAAACTTATGTAATTTTAATTATTAGATTATGTTTTCGAGAAAACAATTTTTGCTCCCGAAAAAAGTTTTTGTTGCCCGGAGTTGCACCTAATTGCGATGTCATTGCAATTTGCTCAACAATGCTCCAAAACGCTTGGATCTTTTCAACATTGGGACATTAATTGGTTCTACTATGAGCCTGAGTAATTGCGCTTATTACTATATTAGTACACTTGTGTTCTTTCGCGTGGTTTTAATATTTATTTTTTACAATATATATTCCCGAGAAAAAATTGATTAGATCTAATTTAAATCTAACGAGATAAAAAAATGGAAAAATAGATCTAATTAGATCTCAATTAAATCTAAATAGATGTAAAGTAGATCTAAATAAATAAAAAATAAATCTAAATAGATATAAGTAAATCTATGGAAATTTACACTTTTATTTATTATTAGATCTACTCTTGATCTACTCAGATCTATTCAGATCTGCTCAAATCTAAGTAAATCTGAGTAGTTTTAATATAGTATAGATCTGAGTAGATCTAAAGTAGATTTAATAATATATAAAAGTGTAAATTTAATAGATCTACTTATATTTAATTTGGATCTAATTAGATCTATTTTTCCATTTTTTTATCTCGTTAAATTTAAGTTAGATCTAATCCATTTTTTCCCGGGTTTCTGCTTACAATAGAGAAAATGAATTTTTTTCATTTTAAAGTAAAGTTTCTTTTTGCATGTAGTCTAATGCATTTTGATGAAAATATTTTTAATCTTCGAACATATAAATATTACTTTCGGGACTATCATAAGTTTTATTTTTTTGAATCCCAACGCGATATTTTTTTTTAATAAACAAATAAACTTACAGGGTCGTAAACGAACGACATGTGCAGTTGATATCGAAAGTACACATGAAATTGCATCAATAAATCTTAAACAATTGGCCGCGTTTGGCAAAATTCAGCGCATTCAGTGCTTAGTGTCTGTGAATTGGTCTATTCTTCTGTTGCAAGTATATGCCAACGATAAGTAATAATCACAAATCGCTTATCAATAAGGATGCGTTTGATTTGAGCGTTTTCTCGCTTTAAGCGCTTAAAAGCAGTGCTCTTATCTTTCTAACTTTAGCGTTATAGGGCGCTTTCCAGCTATGTACACAGGCGACACTATGTAACACAGTGTCCATTAGAGTGTGAGAAAGAGCGTATCAGTGTGTCTCACTCACACTAGTGGACATGGTGTTACATAGGCTATGTTTCAAATAATCTACTGCCATCGCTGGCAGCACTTGCAAACATCGTTCTAAAATGTGTAATAGCACGCTATGGCAGTGCTGCAAAAGCATAATGACGTCATTAATATTTTCGTCACTTCCTGCTGCGACTACAGAGGTGAAGCAGCTAAAGCATTAAAGATGGCGACTACCATGGAACAATTGACGCTAATTGATGTGGAAAATAATATCAAATACAATTTAGCCATATTAGCAGAAGACGCTGAGAAAGAGTCACATCCCAGCAAACACAAAGTAACAGTTACGTAACATTAATGTTATAATTTCTCACTCAACAATGTAACTGCTACGTACAAGGCATGTTACATTGCAGTTACATCATTGAGTGGGAAATTATAACATTAATGTTACGTTACTGTTACTTTGTGTTTGCTAGGATATTTCTTTAATGTGATTTTCAAATTCATTCTTTTCTTTTATTCATCCTTTTGCATATTGTTTTCCATATTTTTGGGTTAGATTATATCTATTTTGTGTTTACTTTCTCTGCTACTGGCATTGAAACTCACTAAAATATCGTTCCAATTTGAAACCTATATTTGTGCTGATAGCGTGCTTAGCAAAATTGAAACGATGTTGGTTAGCTTGCTTTCATGACGATATACTTGCAGCGCTTGCAATAAATTTGGAACACAGCCATAGTGTACGTAGCTTGTGTACGTAGCTGGAAAGCACCCATAATCGCTCATGAAGAGCAAACTGACGTCATCAATTACGTCATACTTCTCGCTTATAATCGCTTATTCTATCGAGATAAAGCAATTAAAGCGTCAGCGCTTTGTTTAAAAAAAAAAATACTCTTAGTTATCACCACGGAGAAGCGGTTAATCAATTGTTCTCACATCTGCTCACATTCACATCGCCAAAACAAACGATTTATGTAAGCGCTAGTGAGCGTTCAAATGTCAAAGAAAATAAGTGCACAAAGCGCTCATAAGCGTCAGCGCTTAAAGCGAGAAAGCGCCCAAATCGAACGCATCCTAAGCGCTCGGTTCTGGTGAACGCGATCAATAAAAAAAGCATTGTCTGCAATTTCATGAGCTAAGATACTTACAGTATACTGATTGTATCTAAGTGCACACAGATTAAATAGTCCACAAATATAATAATTTAAATACGGACTAAATATATTTGTGTCTTTTTCATTAATATTTAAGAAGAACAAATATTATTATAATTAATAAAACAAACATTTATAATAATCATGAATTGCAGAAAACATATCAATCTCGTTTTCTAAAACTTTACACGGAAAAAGTAAGCACAGGATTAATTAATTAATTAAAGAAACAAAAAAGCAATAGACAGGCGAAATATATCGTAAAGGTCTTGTGTGTTTTTGTTTGTGAAAGTTTAAATCTAGTTTTCTAAAATTCAAAGAGCGTTTATTCATATGTTTGTAAATCATTTACATCGATTGCAACATTATATATTCTCACTATATATTCGAGTATTGTGCAGCAATATTCACGTATAATATTTGTGTACAAATAATTGTGTACACAACTTGTTCATATTGTGATTAGTTTATCTTGTAAATATGTGTAGCGTTTTAACAAAGTTTAAAAGTACGTTAAACATATGAATCAATTTTTAACTCGCTAAATATTTCTTTTTTATCGATATTATAGTTAATATGAAATTCATTGTGTAGCATAACACCAGTCAAGCATAAGTGTGTATAGTCCGTCCATTGTTCGATATTGTTTTGTATACTTTTTCTCTTAATAGCTTCCGTGAAAACTTACCGTAATTGTCGCGATAAAATAGATCGATATTCGTTTTGTGTATCTTACGTTCAATTCAAAGCGTGCATTCCATTCAGATAATAGGTATGAGACAGAAAAAAATATATATACATATGATACTTGTAAACATAATTTTGCGTATTAGTGTAAACATTCTAGACGTATTGATCCTTCGCATAATATGTAACGGCTATACCTGATATTATGGACCATAATAAACTTTTTATGTTCTTTTTATAGGTCACATTATTTAATACTGTTATTTCTCACTCTTTGTGCTAAGAAACCGAAGAACTCGCAATGTTTGAGTGAATTTTATACATTTTTTTTTTTTTTGACATTATTTTATTATTTTGTAAGAATAACTGCATATTATATTATAATGCATGAGAATCACGAGTATTAATGTAAAAACAAACACACTTCCGTTGAAATTGTTATTGATACGGAAATTATATACATAATTATTATAAAACTTAAGAGGCATGCCTTTATATAAGCGAAATTCGAGTATTTAAAAAGAGAGAAGATTTTCATGGAACAAAATGTCACTACCAACTGAACCGATTATTTTCAGAATAAAACATTAAAAAAAAATATTGCGTTCTTTTCGTTTTTGTCTTCTAATCGGAAATATTTGATAAAGTTTTGACAGTGAGAAATTCACGTTTTCAGAAACGTCATAATCGTCGTTAGACCAAAATTTGTGCATGTTTGTATGCTCGCTAACAGATGGCATACATGTCCAGACGCGTTGAAAGAAGAAAAAGATAGAAAGACAGAAAGTGTGAGTTGGAGAGAGAAAGAAAGAATCAAGAGACACGGGTAGTGCTTCCCGTCAAGTTTATGAGCAACAAAGGGTGATTTCCAGCTACGTACACAGGCGACACTGTATAACATACTTATACAGCACAAAAAGATTGCAAACATATTGCAATATTGTAATGTTGCACAGTAATTGTGCAATGTAGATGCAATATGAATGCAATGTCAAAGTAACATAAAAATGTCCGTCTTTAGCAAGATTGCACTGCAGCGCAATATACTTTCAACAATAACTACAAATTTTTTTCTTCTTATTATTAAGTATAACCCCGATAGCCAAATGATAGCAGTATGCCAGCAGTATGCACGCAGATTTAATCAGCACTTTACAGCAGATTCCACTCAGCTGTGTCATTATAGTGAATGAACTATGTAGGCACAATATGTAAAGAAAACAACACAGCAAAAATAGAGAAATAAATGAAGAATGAAATGTGACAATAGCACGTTATGCTTCAAATTTGCTACATTTTTTGAGCAAGTTCTGCTTGATTGATGCAATAATATTTCCATCACGGCATGACACATTTATATTCTCTTTTTTTTATGTTTTTCTGTTGACACTAATTGAAATAAGACAGATTGTGTTTGAATGCTGGCTACATTGTAGTCGGCATTGCCAAAGCGCTTCATACGCATTGACAAAACGGAACGATTTTAAAGCGCCGCACAGCAGTAATGCACTCTATGCATTTCATGCGTAACTTGGAACGCACTCTAAGCCATCTTTTTTTACAGCTGACAAGCGTATACGCCTACAGAGTTCGGACTATCTCTTCTCGCGCGCTCATTGGGTCACATTTATTAATTAACTACTCAATAACTATTACAAACTTTGCAAAATGTATACAACTTTTCTATTCAGCTTGACGTAATCTATCTTCATTAGTCAATCTACTTCGACTTGGTCAAAATGTTTGGGACATCTTGTATACTGCATTACGGAATAATTAAACGCGAATCTCGGGCTCGTGTTATAGACTAGTTAGTCAAACTGCAATGTGTGGCAAAGTGCCACTTGAAAAATATGAAATATTTAAATTCGATTTTGTAATTAAACTCGGCAAAGAAGCATGCAACATGAATACAAATAATGTTTTACACAACCTTTGGATTTACGCATAAGACCGATTTAATTTTATCTACTCACGCTTTAAAAAAACATGCATTTTAACAAGTAACCGAATAGATCTAAAAAAGAATTTTCTCTTTCAGTGTTCTCGGCTAACAAATGGAAAGTATACTCGACAATAGTTTCTCGATTTGATATCTTATCTTCCTCCTCTCCACATTTCGACTCTCGGACTTGGCCTTACTCACTTTAGTGTTTTTCGTGAACATTAAAAGAAGTTATTAAAAAGTGAAGTTCTTATCTCCTTGTCCGCTATCGTGGAATGGGCATGAACTGAAATACATAAAATAAAACGAGGCTAGTTGGGCCACTTTTTATTCAAACAATTTAATAAACATCTAATAATTTTACAAACTACCGCTTGTGTTCACTCGTTGACGGTTGGACTACGCAGACGACGTATGCAGCGTAGTAGTCTCCGCGCTTTCTTATGCAAGCATCAACATGTCTTTATACATTTTAATTATTAAAATATTTGCAACTCCCAACTTGTCTCTTGACCCCACTTGCCCTTACTACACTTGAAAACCGTCAAATAGCTTCACAAGAAAAAAGAAATATAATAATATAAATAAAATATAATAATCTGTAATAAATGTAATGACTCCAATAAAATATGTAGAAAATTTTGAATACATATGTGTAGAAATTGTAGAGATGACCATGATAACACTCGATCAAAAAATCTAATCTTGGAAGATAAAATTCGCTATAACACATTGCAACCGTTTTTAACAAAACCAAATTCAGATTATATCATAACAAAACATATTTGTTATACAATATTTTCATTTGCAAAAAATATATTGTACTTGATTATTGGAATTGCGTCAATGCGCTGCGCTCGAGCTACCTAGTACTCGTTATGTTTCAATTGTGACTTATTATTGTCCTGTGATATTTTCCATTTAGTAACCACGTTTGTGACTCGTGCGCGTTTTCCACTCTTTTTATTACTTCACATCCTAAACAATACACATCTGGCTACCTTTATCAATCTTCTCCGTTCGTAGCGTGGACCAACGACGGATTAATCTCTTGCGGTGATTCGTTCTTCGACTTCTTGGCCTTGCGTTCGACGTAACAAAAAGTCCCCGTACCCAGGAATATAGTTATAAGCAGCACAAGTAGTTGCACGTGCAGTCCGACTTTGGTACTGTACGAGAAGCTGACGGCAGCGGCGACTGATTGGCAGAACTTGAAGAGAGCGAAAGCTGGCGCGCTCTCCTTGACGAACAGCACGCCCAGTAAGGAATAGACCTGTGTATTAAAGCAGGCGTCGCCCAAACCGAGAGCGAGACTGCCTGCCATTGCGAGGATCGGCGAAGGAGGGTTAATGTAGCTTATGGTGTCTGTATCCCCGAACAATGCCAGATTCGGCAGATTCAGAAAGATGCTGATAAAGGCGAACAGATGTACGTGCAGACCGGTGATCACTACCGCCCAGCTGCCGCAATTGCCAAATATCTTGGGCATGAAGATACCGAAGATCGCACCACCAACGACCTCACCGATTCCAATAAAAATACCGGATAATCCCACAAGCCTCTTCCTGTTGTCGCCTATTTTCTCAGTAAAGCCAACACTGCTCGAGTACACGCCGGAATAGAAGGTAAGCTCGAGACCAGTATAAATAAACGTCAAAGAGAGCAGCAGCATGTCTGGCGTGAGGAAGAGTTTGATCGCATCTACAAAGGCGCACCAGGCAGCCTGCAGAGGTTTCTGGCGCGTCGGTTCCGGCATACGCAGCTCTTTGTCTGCGCTGGAGACGCCTTCGGCCTCACCGAGCGTCAGCCTCTGCGGCGATTTTTTCAGCGTTAACAGCACGCCGATGCCGATCACAGCTACACCAGTCAGCACGCTGAAAACGATCATTCGTTGTTGGCTGTCGATATTGGACTTCGTGAACATAAAGAAGACGAACAGGTTGCCGGCGAACTGCGACATCTGGAAGATCGCCCAGAATACACCAGCGTTACGCGACATAGTCTCGTCCTCGCTGTTCTCCGTCAGGTATTGGCCGTGTCCGGTCCAGATGAAGGCGGCGCCGACTCCAACCACGGCTGACATGACATACAGCAGAACGTCGTGCGGATAGAAGAACGAAGCAATGAACAGAACGTAGCTTAAGGCGCCAGTAAGAATCGCTACGCGTGGACCCAGTACCGAGATGTACGACGGCGCCAGCCAATTAAAGCTTGCGAATAGGCCGTAAATTATTGCCAAACTAAAATAAGCGTCACCGGTGAAACTCTTGTCCTCCTCATGGATGCTGCTTAGGACAGTTTTCTGCGGACAAACAGGATTTATGCGAGAAAATAAATCAACATTTGTTCAACTCGTTTCATTATACCGTCACAAACTCAATTTTAGATCGGTTGTTAAAAAAGTATTATAGTAAGATTTAGACCAAGAATTGCTGGATAGGTTTGTAGTTTTCTAAGTTTTTTTTATAGAACGTAGGTCTCAAATGTGTTATAAATATTTACGAAAGAAATCTCATTTACAAAATAGATTACAGAGCAAACGAAAAAATTGTAAAAAAAAGAAAAGAAAAAAAACCATTAGTGCATTAGCAACGAAATTAATAATTAGTAACTTCCAATTAATTTTTTTTCTTTGTGAGATTTTTCCCCTTAAATATTTTCTTTGTGAGATTTCCCCCGTAAATATTTATAACACAGAGACTCACGGAACGAGGAACGAAAAAATTTTGAGGCACTATTGTATGTCGATAACTTTTGTTAAGATCCTAAATATATATTTATGTCGATAACTTTTGATAAAATCCAAAATATATATTTCTGTTGATAACGTATGATAAGATCCGAGCTTTGCAATATCGTAAAAGATTAGAAATAATTCTTTACACCGGCCTCAAAATAATCTTGTGCACACACGCAGAGATATTCGAAAAGATATTATCGATCGACAAGAAAGAAATGTGAAACAATAATCGTTTGTATTTTTTGCCAGAAACTTTGAATTGCTTGTATGAAGCGAAAATCTTGAATACGAAGCATGAAAAGTGAGTAAAAAAATTGACAGAACTTGTAACGTTTAATTAATAAGAATTTCTATATAACGGTTTTTTTTATTGCTCGCAAGCTGTTTTTTGTTACAGAATTCTGATTCTTTGGTTATTTATAGTTGCAACTATGTGGCGAAGTGCAAAACATACGAAATACATTTAGCGGTATCCAGTTGCCCGGTGTTGATTTAGACAAGTTTTAACAGATACAATTATCGTCAACGTCTAAGATGCTTCATTTCACACGAACTTTCTCCTTCGTATTTTCTCCTGCACCATTCTTTCGCCGGACATCGCGAATTATAAGTCGAACGGAACCCAATTAGAATAACTCGCCGACACCGCGTCATTGCTCCAATTTCTTTATCTCAATAATGACCTGATTGCGATCTGACAGAGGGCACGTTACGTATAATTATACGAGAGCACTAGTATAATTAACGTTTCTAATTAATGCAACAAAATGTAATTTAAAAAAATGTAATTAAATAAAATTAAATGTAATTAAATAAAAGTGTAAGAAATCTCTTTTTTTCTGGAAAAAAGAACATCGTCGAGGATTTAAAAAAAAACAGACAACTATATAAGTACAATGTAAGAAAGAAAACTCTGGAACGTTAATGAATCGAGTCATTAGCATCCGAGACGCTAATGACGCGACAGAAAATAATTCAAATATTCTACAATCTGCGATATCTTCAGCCAGCAAATCAAAACGCGCGAATGTAAGCGCCCATGAATTCTCGTGCGAGCAAGAATTACGGTCAATTTTATTTGTCGTGTGTTAGTTAAAAAAAGAACAAATAATAAATCGCGTTTAAGAATATCGAAAGATATTATATATCTTACAGATATATATATATATATATATATATATATATATATATATATATTATTTATATTTATATTATATATCTTACAGATAACAGCGGTTGTTGGAATGGAGGGCACTTGAATCTCTTTCGTAAATCATTCTCATGATAGCCGGCATATAAATGTTATGTAAGTCTCTTTAAAAATAAGCAACAGTGTGATGTAAAACAAACGACGCCCGAAATATTATTTACATACAAGATGTGATCGAATGAAAAAGATTCGCACCTTAATGGCAGGAGATAAAAATTGAAATTAAGATATAATAAAATAATAAATAATGAAAATCGGGCAATATTAGAAAAGAATGCAAAACGAGACAATTTGTTTTTATTATACCAAAGTATTATTACAAACAAAAAGATTAGATTTTGTAATACGTCACATATAAATGATTATTGCACGCCCATATCATGTGTTTTATAAATCGATTGTTTTGCATTGCCGAAAGCGATGTCGATAACGATATCGTGTGTAATTTAGAGGCGTTTCACTTCCGGTCTCCAAGTATTAGCGAACATTTATTGTTCTTTGGGTCAACTTTCTAAATCGCAATACTTAAACGCGTTTGATCGCTTGTTTCCAAAAATTATATAAGTAAAGTGTTTTGTTACAGGTGTAAAACTTATAGAATTAGAGAATTATATAAATAAAATTATAGAATTAAATATTGTAGCTTCAAAATCTCTCTTAGCAAATTGTATTTTTGTTTACTTATTCGAGAGTATTTTATGTTTATATGCTTCTTTAAACATTTATTTTCAAAATATCAGATAATGTGTGATCAGTTTGTGTGTATATGAAAAAGAAAGTACATACTAAGCCTAATCTAAGCAGACCGTGTGCTTTATAACTGGAAGATGAAATAGAACTTTCAATGTTATGTACTTTTATAAAAACGCTAAAAAGAGAATTGCCTTACATTATCCGCTCAGACTTTAAAACGACGGTGCTTGAGCACAAACAAGAAAGTTATAAATATTAACCCTCAAACTGCAAACCAAGATCATTCTTGTCCTCGCAAAATCTACTTGCGTTTACAACTTACAGACGAGGGAAGAGAGAGAAATCCGACCCCGTCTTAAAAAGAGATTTATAAGAGGGAAGCGTAACGGCCAAATTTCAGATCTCCAGTACAACTTCGATAGCCACAATGACAAAACAAAATTTAAAAAAACAAAAAACAAAAAATCCAAATATTTAATAAAATAAATTAGCACAATTTTTTATGAAAGCTGTAACCTTCAATTATCTTCAATTGAGTACTTTTTTTAAATTCAGTCAATTTCTTGGAAAGTTACGATTTTTTAAACAACACTACATTTCGTGTTACTACACTCGAGTATAACTTCATTTATACTAAAACATTATTTAAACAAATTAATTTTTTAAATTATTTTACAGATCAATTAAACTGTTTTAATTGATTTGTAAAGTAGAAGGTTTAAAGATAATACATAAATTTTTTCAGAATTTTTCTATAAATTTAATATAGAGGAAGATACGGTAAGACATAAACGATCCTAGTTTGCGGATAGAAGATGCCAAGAAAAAACAGTTTGCAGTTTAAGGATTAATCTTTCTACACACGAACTATATGCGTCTTATTAATTATGACACATACACACACTTTATATTATTTTATACTTTAGTATATACTGTAGGGAGTACCATATTGTGCGGCTCAGGGGAAGTATTTCCCGGAAATTTCTTCTCTAGCTGCTTTTAGTACTGCGCGCTGTTTTTCAATCTCGGGCCGCTGGCGGAGACCAAAGAAGAACGACGCGCGATAGCAGAAGCATCCAAAGGAGAAATTCCCGAAAAATACTTCCCCTGAAGCACAATATGGTGCTCGCTACTGTACTTAATATTAATTTCGTGACGTTTTTAAGGATATCGTTGTGCAACTCTGCGTTTCACATACATCTCGACTAAGCAAATACAATTTGTATGTCAAATAATGCGGAAGAGACAAGATAATAGAGAAAGATAGAAAAATAGTGATAAAAACGGTTATATCGCGAACGACAATGATGATAGCAATAATCACAGAAATGTGCGTACGACATTCTCAAGTAGTCACTTGTCATGCTCATATTTGTCACACACTCACCTCTATGTTGCTCATTGTTTGAAACGCTGTAAAAACAAACATAAATCCCAGGCTGAGAGTCAGCACATTGATGAAGCCTCGATTTACCGTCATAATTGCAGAGCGATTTCGCGTACTCGTTTACATGTACGTAAAAACAGAAAGACCGTGTCATATGGTTCGCGTTTCCGCGTGAGTTTTCCGTGCGTAGCTGTTGCGATCAACTTCGCGTTGACAGACGGTTGTCGTGTGAGCAAATAAAAAAATGCACCACACTGCATTGTGGTGGAACATCAAGTGAACGTCAGCACATGATGTAAAGACAAGGGTATGGGCAGAGAGAAGCCTGAGAGCGGCCACGGCCATAAGAGTTTCTGTCATAGCTTTTCTCTGGACATGATTCTATTCCGTGCTGAGTTTGTGGACATGGTTCTATTCCGTGCTATGAAAACACCGACGTGGTGGGGATACGCACACAAGCGAGAACCGTCGTCATACATCAACATAATATGTCTGCACACTTCCACGAGCGCACACGGACAACGGTCTCGCTTGTGCGCGTATCCCCACCACGTCGGTGTTCTCATAGCACGGAATAGAACCATGTCCACAAACTTAGCACGGAATAGAACCATATCCACGAAAAGCTATGACAGAAACTCTTAAGCCTATGTCACACTACGGATTAGGATTGAGATTGGATTGCAATTTGGCCAATCAGAGAGAAGATCACTAAACTTAGGATTGGTTTTCTTTTTTCTAATTGGTCAAATTTAAATCTAATCTCAATCCCAATCCGTAGTGTGACATAGGCTTTATGGCCGTGGCCGCTCTCAGGCTTCTCTCTGGTATGGGCTATCGCACACAAAAGGTTTGTTGCCCCAACATGCTCCTACTCGCCTCAACGCGCTCTAAAGCCCGTTCTACATTGATCGCAAGCGCAAACGCAAGGTATAGATCTCGTAGAATTGACCAATCACGCTGGTCAATTGGCTGATTTGATCAATATGATTAAGGTACCTTTTCATAAAGCAGCACGCTGCGGCAGCAAAACATCACGTGACTCGAATTTTCTAGGACTGCTTCCGGTAGGTATATTTGCTGCTCTTTATTTACCTAACTTTCACTCGATGTCATTGGGTGCGTTCAGACAACTCTACAGTTGCACAACAGTTGAGAGATAATCACTTCTGATTGGATCATACTTTTGGAACCGCAGCAGATTTTGAAGAATAGTCCTATTATAAGTGATGATCTCTTCACCGTTGAGTTGTCTGAACGCACCCATTCTTTGCAAAGTTTAAACGAATAAAAAGCAGCAAAACCGAGAAAATTTTATTGTTGATACTTATGCAATAACTATATAATTTCATCAACACAAAGAATGGCATCGAATAAGGGTTAGGTAAGAGCAGTAAATATACCTAGCGGAAGCAGTCCTAGAAAATATAAGTCACGTGACGTTTTGCTGCCGCAGCGTGCTGCTGTATGAAAAGATACCTTTAGTCAATTCTACCGGACCTGTTCCTTGCGTTTGCGCTTGCGATCAATGTAGAACAGGCTATACATCCGTCTAAGATTTATAACCTTCTAATCATTTATCCGCATGTGTGTCACAATTCTTATATATATACTCGGTTATTAATTTTGTTAATGTATTTCGATTATTAATTGTGTTAATGTATTTTGATTATTAATTATTCGTTTTACCGCTCCAATATGGACGATGTTGGAGGGACAACTTTCCTATTGGCTGTTGAGAAACAATGCGTAAATGCACACCTGTATACTTACACCATGGTCGCCCCTTTATCGCTTGGTGCTCCTCTATCGCCCTCACTACGCTAGTTTTCATTCCTACTACTTTTCTTGTCCGCCAATCACCGCGTCACTAAACAAGGATAGAGACACGAGTGAAAGCATTTATCTTTGTCTGAGGTTGGACCATTCTTTCTCCACAGAGAAGATAGGGAACGCGCAGTCTATTTCTTATATGTCTATGCTTAAAAAGCTCGAGCGGATTTTTATTGTGTGACGTAAGAGTGTCACGACTTGCACTACGGTTTCTATGTTGGCCGGCTTTAGTTTCAGTTGAGAGCTGATGTTAGTGTTTGTTCTAAAGTAAAACAGGGAGAAAAGAAGTGCGAGAGAGAAAAAGAAAAAAAGAGGAGACGACAAGGTGCAAAAAATTGGATTCACTTAACCCAAATCTTTCAATACAACCGGACGAAAGATTGCTTGACCGAATATCATTGTTAACCTTTATCAATGCGAGAACTTTATCGGTGTGCGAGAATAGATTGACCGCAAACATTTTGATCACCAGCGCCGGCTGTGAGATCATCGTACAAACATGAATTATGACAGACGCTCACTCTTGCCGTAACACGAAGGATTTTCTAGTTCCATTCGTTTTTTCGGGTTATCGCACGCACGAGCTGTTGAGAATGCACGGGCGTGAACGTGCAACAACAAAAAGTGTCGATGTGTAAAAACAGTTGTGGACCATCGTCGATTAGGACGATTTTGCCGGAGTGTCAACAGTTCAGTTAACCATGAAGAAACAGTTTTTCCGAGTAAAGCAGCTCGCCGATCAGACCTTCTCTAGGTAGTTAATTTAGCATAAATTATCAGCTATGTAATAATTCTTTCTGCCTTCTATCACAAACAGCGATATTAGTATTGTCTGCTATAGCAAGTGTCTTCGACTATTTTGTTTTTCTGTCTAACTATATATTCATATACATTTGATTAAATATTTCTATACAGCAATAATTTCGGTGAAAAAAAAAAGACGTAACTTCTCACTTGATTTTATTTTGCATTAATATTGTGTATTATACCTTATATAAGAAAAATTATTCACAGTAGATGTGTCTTTTCTTATCAAATGTCTTATCAAATGTTTTCTTTCATGTTGAATATCAGATTTTATTGTGTGTACTTGTAACATATATTATATATAATAGTAAATCTGATTCTCCATCTAAAAACTTGGTCAAAGTCTTTCAAACTGAATTGGTTTTGTACAGCTGTTACATTGAATAGATTAGAAGTGATAAAACAGGATATACCAAAGATAAAAGATAAGATTTTCTTGCAATCTAGTATATAGTGTATATTGGTGTAAAATTTTGTTCCTCTTTGGTTTTAGAGCTGGAAAAACTGAGGTATTAACAGATGATTTGGTAGCTGCAGACAAACATGTAGAACAGATCAGAGCAGCTCTCACTGGTCTCAGCAAAAGATTTGGAAATATACAGAACCAAGCTAATACACAGGATCACGCCATTAAGGAAAAACGTTTGGTAAATAGACAAGTTCATATACTTAAAGACTCAGATAGTTATTACTAAGCTTAAACATTGGAATACTCATGTATTACAATCTTTTTTATTTAGAAAAAATGCCCTGAATATGTGCTTGGACAAACTATGATGGAAAATGCTGGCGAAGAGGGTCTTATGAGTTTTGCATTGGTGGAATGTGGACGAGTACAAATGTCATTGGCTAATGAAACTGTAGAGCATGAAGCAAAAGTTGAGCAGTATGTTGCTGCTCCATTACAACATATTTTAGATACCGATGTGCCGAGTATAGTGAAACATAAGAGAAATCTGGCGCGTCTTATTTTGGACATGGATAGTGCTAGAACAAGATATTTTCAGGCACTTAAGCACAGTACTGGTAATTATTTAGCAATATTTCTAATTCTTTAAAATTTGGGAAAGTTTTCAACAATTTATTTAAGTATCATTATTATATAAACATTTGTTTTCTTAATAAAGTTTAATATTTTACATAGGTGCGGGTGCAACAAAAATAGACAATCTAAAGGAAGAATTGGAAGATGCCGAGACAAAAGTTGAGCAGTGCAGAGATCAACTGGCTGCAGAAATGTTTCAGCTTATGTCACGGGAAACTGAATTAGCTCAAACAATTATTCAATATGTAAAACTTCAGCGAGCATATCACGAAAGCGCATTGCATTGTCTCGAAGATCTAATACCTGGACTAGAGAGTTATATTAGTAAGTTTATTTTTTAAAATAAATAATGTACTACAGAAATGCTTCGGGTATGAAAAAACTTGATTATAATTAGTAATAAGTTGATAAATCAATTGTCAGCAAGATAACAATTAAAACTAAGACACTAATGCTATATAATAAATTTATAGATGATAACGAGATGAAGCCGGTCTATGGATATCCTCTTGAGGAACATCTTAGAGTAACAAATAGAAAAATCGCACTACCTATACAACTATGTGTGTCTGCGCTTTTACGTCTGGGTATAGAAGAAGAGGGTCTTTTCAGAATAGCCGGCGCTGCTTCGAAGTCGCGACGAATTAAGTTGAGCTTAGATGCTTGTTGCCTCACTTTAGGAACTGCTCTCGAGTATAAAGATCCTCATGTTATTGCTGGCGCGTTAAAATCATATTTGCGAGAATTACCAGAGCCTCTGTTAACATACAAGTATTGATTTTTTTTTATTCACGACACAATTGATAGATATTGTAACTATACACACATGACATTGTTTGTGATTTAGACTGTATCCCGAATGGATGGCTGCGGCAAAAATTTCCAATAGTGATACCAGATTGCGAGCTCTCTGGGAAGTATTGTACAAGTTACCACCGGCAAATTTGGAAAATTTGCGATTTTTAATTAAATTTTTAGCTGTACTCACGAAGAATCAAGATATAAATAAAATGACGCCGCAAAACATTGCCATAGTCATCGCGCCAAATCTGATTTGGAGTCCGCAAGAGAATTCAAATACGATAGTGTAAGCATATTTTTTATATATTTCTCTTTGTTGTATACACATTATATTTCAATACAAGAATAATGTTTCTATTTAAATACTTGTGTTTCTGTAATTACAGAATGAACATGAGTACTGCAAATAACTCTAGTCTTATAGTAGATCAGTTAATTACATACGCGGATTGGTTCTTCCCCGGCGAAATAGATTTCGATCGCGATCTAGACATCATGAACGACACGGAGAATCAGACTGTAGATATGCGACGTTGCATATCTAACAGCAGTCTCAGTGATTACGAGAGTCCGACGCAAGGCAGTCCGAAACCAGCAGCTCGTCGGAAGAATAAACCGGCGCCAACGCCGCCGAGTGGAACGACTCCGGATAGACAAGACAAAAAGGAAGACAAACTGCCTCCGACACCAGATAAACCACCGAGAGCTTTAACGTCCACTCTAAATCGGTCGACGTATAAAACTCAGAAACACGAAGCAAACACGGACTTGATACGACATGAGAGCAACGTGAAGAAGCACGAGAAGCCGTCGGAGTCAGATAAAAGGTCTCAATTGACCTCGGAATTGATTTTGTTTGATGCTAATCCTATCAATAATCCAGAAGAGTTTGGCGCTCACCAAGGTGGTGTCTTCATTTTGACGGAAGCGGAGAAAGATACCCAAGATCTGCAAAGATACGACACCAAGACAAACGTACTAAGTGCGAAAGAAAAATCAAATGGAGACTCGTCCGACAACATTACTAAAACAATCGCGGACATCGAGCATAGTGATAATGCAGCTCAAAAGCCAAAACCAATACCTACGGAGAAACCGTCTACGTTAGAAAGAAGAAGACCAGTCGCAGCACCAAGAAATATAACAAATATCGCACATACCACAGGTGAACTATTCTTTACATCTTAGTCTCTCATACTATTGTAGTATATATATTTATACAGATTATCCCACCTAACTTGAGCATTTTAAATATTTACTCGTTTATTTTCTATGATACGAAAAAATATCAGAAAAAAACATTATTCGGTTCGAAGAGGCAAATATTCTGATAAGCAAAAACTTTTTCTCAAGGTCATATTTTTCGAGATTTCAAGGTTACCGAAATTTTTTAAAATAGGATTACATATTTTTATCGTAGCCACGTTATAACTGTGGTCAAGATGAATCAAACGACCTATAATACTATGATCTTTACGTGACTTTGAATACGAAAAATTCATAAAAGTTGGACAGTTGAGACGATCAAATAATATGAAAAGATTAATGAAGAGGAAAATTGAAGATAAAGTTAGAGACTTCCTGTATAGTAACTTACTATTATATATTTGTATATTAATTTACTATTATTATATATTTATACATTAACTTTCATTTTATCTTAATATTAATATAAATATGTGTGTAATGTTTAATTCTCTCACAGAAGAAGGAGTTGAATTACGTAAAAAGTCAGATAACAATATCACAAACGTGCATGTATCTCCGAATGAGAGAAGTGGTAAACCGGCAATTCCTGAACGTCCACCTGGTTTGGTTCGTCCGTCGAGTCTCATCAGGCAACAACCGCGTCCCACTAACGAGAATCCAGAAGCCGATTCAGGAGTGAGTAAAGAAAACGCAAGAAAGATTTCTTTCGGATGTATATGAAATACGATAATCGTGACACTTATTCTTACTTTGAAATCTGAACGTCTCAAGAGTCATTTATATTTATTTATTTGTAATAAGTTTAGTTCGAAGTGGACGACACAAATAACACTTCGCCTGGATTTCACATTTTAAAATAACGTAAGGCCTTATGTAAACTAAAAGTTCTATACGCAAAGTTTACTCACGCTTGCATATTTGTTCTTGATTAGTCAATTTTTTTATTATTCTAACGTACCGTAATAATATACGAAACTAAGTGTTCCTGTTAAATCGTCTACAGCTTTTAACACTTGAACGGGCTCACGTGTATTCCGTGGACAAACAGCAGGTCAGTATAATACAAGTGCGTGGAGGTAACAACGCCAACCCCGGCGAAAGCATTGGCAACACGGCAACTTCGAACTTGCAGAGAAGCCCAAGCGTAGGTAGCAGACCATCTTCGATATCGTTGTATGGTGCCGAACGTCTGGAGATGTCGGAAAGGCCGGACGAGACGTCGTCGCACGAGCAGGCAAAGGCGCACGCGCGAACAAGATCGGAAGGTAACATCGTTGACGTACAGACGCAGACCAACACGATAGTGACGATTCTCAAGTCGCCGCAGCAGAAACCAGCCTCACCGAGAGTCCTTCAGCGACCGCCAAGGCCGCAACCGCCGCCACCACCGCCGCCTATTGCACGACCTAAGTCAGAACAAGAGAGCACCAATCTCTAACGAAAGTTAATACGAAAAAAGTGTGAAAGACAAAACATCGTGACTTCCAGAACATTCTTAAACATTCGCCCTTATATCTTTATTGTTGAAGATGCCGTTTTATGCATGACAATACGTGTGATTAAGTAGAGTCTACATATTATGCAAGAGTAATGATTACTTACAAAATTGTTGAAAAATCTGTAAAACCGCGACCGCGGTTGTATTTACATGGAAGAACATCGACAATCAGTTCGTCGAGAAGAGAAGTGCGTATATGTAGATTTTATAATATTCGGACATAGTTATTTCTCTATTTTTTCTTTATTTTTTTCATGATCTCTATACACGGCTTTTTATATAGAACTTATCGTGTTTGAGCGAATAGTTGAAAAGAACGTTTCAAATTGCCATTGTGCGGAAATATAGAGAGGGAGGAGAGGTTTGAGTGTCCATTCGGATGTTAAGTTTCCTCTATTCGGCAGTACGCCGTGTGTTATTTCCAAATTGTCTTAGGTATACATATGTACATTATATTTGCATTGATAAACGATTATTATTAATATTAATATCGACTTTTATACCTTTATCGGTGAAATCATATTATACTGAAATGCTCAAAATGGCCGCAATTGAGAAAAGGCTACAGGTTTATGTATGCTTTTGTCTTTCCCTTTTTAGTGAATTTTGATTCGCCACTTTCTCTGGCGTGTTTTTTTAATTTTTCAAATAAAAACTAGATAAAAATTTAGAGATACAGACAGCTCTTTTGCTGTCTTACTCTCCTAACTCTGACAGTTCGATTGAAGTAAACAGTCCAGTAGTATAGCATACGGTTCACTGATTTTTACTATCGCAAAAGGAAAAATACAAGCTCAAAATATTGACAAGCTAATATTATTCTGAAAGTATGTATCTACTGAAAGTAAGCTTTAATTGAACTTTTTCATTGTGAGACATTAAAGCGTACAAAACTCTACGTGCTTGATATGCGGTGAATTAAAAGAATCGACTCTATCTCGTAAGACATAACGTCATCTGCATTTGAAATTGATTTTTATTTGTATGATATATATCCAGAAAGCAGAAAAAAATTAGAATTGACGTTTGAAAACAAATTGCAGGATCTCTATATTGGAATTGATTCAACGGGTGATATTCGTTAATGCGAAGAGAGATCATTTATTAATATTATTATATAAAATACCAAAAAACACGTATCAGCGATTTTAGTGAGACACTAAAAATATAATATTTAATATTATTTAAAAAACTGACAACACACATTAAACAGTTTTAGTTATACGCTTAAATAATGATTAAAGCGCGTGATGACGAAATTTAATTGAACGCTTATATCGCACTCGGAACGAATTTCTCGAGCGCTATAAGCATCAATAGCAATGAAAAGAGAGTTAACATACATAATTGAACACATATTTTTACAAAGTTAAAATTTTTAATCGCGGAATATCTAACAATAAACTCGTGATTCTGTAATTGAATTATCAAATTAAGATAATCACACTGAAAAGTTGAACATATATATATATATATTCATTGTACATATGTTATATGCATATCTCTCTCTATATACGCATCTACAAAAGAATGTTATCAATTATATAATATGATTATAACTTAGTGCAATTATATAAATTTTGTTATTAACTTTGTTACTTTTCAGAAAACTATAATTATTTTATATTTTATCATGTAAATATACACGAAACGAATATTATGTAATTTTTTTTTAATCGATTGTCTGTTAGAGTTTTCCGCAGGTTAGTTTTAAGCAAAGTTTTATAGTGTGTCACGCAAAAAATAAGATCTTGAGTTTGTTGTACTATCGAGAATGCTAGATTTGTAACGTTAAAAACTTTAAAGCATTTCGAGGAATTATGTATCACTTACAATTTAGATGTGTAGCTTGATGTTAAAATTTATCTACTATCTACAATTGGCTGTATATTCTAATAATGTTGAATTTAAAAAAATATTTCGAGATACAAAATTATTTTGATCGACATTGAAATGTTATATGTGCAATAAAAGCAATCTGGCATAAAAAGACGCGTTATTTGAATTAAAAATTTTACTGGACATCCACTCAGTTTTTGCGGATAGATACGATATGTTACGTCACATGGTCGTAAGAAAGTGTAAAACATTTATCTCAGAGTAAATCGCACATTACTGCATGAATGTATATTGACTAAACAAATCTCAAATTGTACACACATGTTAAAAAGATGCCGATACTGTTTTTTCTCGTTATTTCTAAGATTTTATACTACCAATAATTAACAAACCTTGCATTCTCCGCGAATTTTCTGTGCACTTGGTGTATGGAAAAAACTATCATTATGTAATAATTGGTATCATTCGTAAGATTAATTAAGCAGTGTATGAATGACAAAAATTTAGCCAATGAAAAATGTTGCATTTATCCAAGGTGTGCTTAGGCTGTGAATGTAATGAACTATTAGAAGAGTTATTTATATATATAAATAAAGATTTACTCTATTAGAGATGAATGGATTAAATCGTGATTTCCACACATAAATCGTCGAACACAGTTTTATTCATATTTATTAATGTTTACGTTATAACAATTGTAGTAATAGAACATGCGTGCGCATGTGTGCACGCCGAGTGTACATCGTTTTTGTTAAAATAGAGCTACCAGTTGCTCGTCGGCAATATCTTTGGGTGTCATACCATCGTTATCCGCAATAGACTGAGCTCCGATCGAAAGCAAATACTCGACCGCTTTTGCATGACCGCAACTTGCTGCGTAGTGAAGAGGTGTTTGACCGTCCCGATCTTGAGAATTTACGTTCGCGCCATTGCCGATCAAGTATTCCATTATTCCGACGTGACCCCGATCCGCTGCCCAATGCAGGGGTAACAAGCCATCTTCGTCCAACGTGTTGACAAGTGTGAGATCGTTGTTCAACAATTCTCGCACCTTCTCCTCGTTACCCTCCTTGATCCAGTCCAGAAATGTCTTGTCCGCATCCGTCAGTTCTTCATCTGTTTTTGGTAACTTGCTAACAGATGTCCATCCCGGAGTTTCGGTTTTTGCTTCTTCCTCCCAAGATGGATTAAGCTTGGTGATGGCTTGCACGTAGTTTGTCATTGCGATTTTTCGGCTCATGTCTCCGAGATTCTTCCATGCCTCCCACTTATGCTTGGCTTGCACTTGATACCAGTTGGGTCGAGGAATGTCACATGGACCTACGGTGGCTTGTTTATACAGAGCGTAATATCCAAGCAGTTGCTTCGTATCTAATTCGAACGCCACTGTTTGCAGATACTTGGCTGCTAGGTCAAACATTTCTTCAAGATCCGTGTCAGTCATATCGTTCTCAGCCATTGTATAGTAAAAGTTATAATGTCTTCAGTTAATCTTGCTCGAATTTTCTTGCTCGAACGGATACGCTTAATTTTTTTCCCTCAAGAGTGTGTTTTTGGCTCAGTACTTTAGATACATGATTCGTCTTTAAAAAAGTTATATTTCCGTAACGCTGATGGATACCTGTTTGTTTATCAAATGATACAAAAGAATCTTGCACATGACCGAATCGAGAAAAATACAGGGCGAGTTCGTGACGACTCACTGTCCAGGGAATATTCGTGACTTGGAGTATGTGTTTTGCGTAAACAGCACCAGCCATGACAGTTAAAGATTGACCAGCTTTTATTCTATCCGTTGTATATCGAGTAGATGTATCGTGTGATCCTGCATCAAGTCATAAACATCAATATTGGAACTCGCATCTAGATCGTTCAATGCTATATGTATGCACGAAAGTCCCCACTTATTCAATAAGTGCTCTATAGACCAATCTGCACTACGCTCTTGATACGTACACAAGAACTTTGCACGTGGATTTCTCTCTAATAGAAAGGCTACAATAACCACTATATCCTCAAATATCTCGGGCTCGTAGAAACAATCTGAGCCAATGATCAAGTCCAATTGCCCAAGCGTGAATAAACTGGACAAAAAGAATCCCCAGGTAATGCCAACAACACGAACGCGATCTGTGACTCCGTTCAATTCGCAACACCGTTTTATATGCTGTAGAGTTTTCGGTTGACTCGCTGAATCACTTAGAGTTACAACAGCCCCGCATTTACTGGCGAGAATCCCAGGTAGCGAAGTGCCAGCGCCAATTTCCAAAATCCGTTTGCCGGCTAGATTCTCTCTCTGCTCCCAAAGATACCAGGCGAGCACAGGTGCACAAGGCCAGGTATAAAAACTATAATTAGCCTCCAGTAACTGCAATTAATAATATGAAATTTTGCTTCTCTCCAATTTTGAGTTAAGCTCTGTGCACAACAGACAAAATATTAGAAATAAGAATAAATATTAAATATTAGAAATAAGAAAATAAAATCATTTCTTTACAAAACAAGAAAATAAAATAAATTAATGCATCATAAATTAAAAAATAAGAATAAAAATTTAAAACAATGTGGAATAATTAATCTATTCAGTTCTTTTGTTTAATGTGTAACATTATTTCAAAATCTTTCATCCAGTATTTAATATTTACTCCTATTCCTATAATATTTTCTCTATTGTGCGCAGGCCTTTATATAATAACAATAACAATAATAGCTGTTTGCACAATTACATATAACTTATATGATATTGACATTGACTATATAAGATATGGACTGCTAGTAGCCAACTTCACTCTGGTACAAAACTATATCAAATATATGTGCAACTTGGGCTCCGCACCAGAGATGCCAAATCGTGCAGGATAGCATCGAGAGTATCGAAGCGAGGTATCCCTACCTCCTCGAAGTTCTCGTACGCATACAAGCGAGAACAGCACACAAATTAATTTAAAATATTGCGAAAAATACTCCTCAGCCAGGAGTCGAACCTGGAATCTCCGGCTTTCCGGGCCGTCGCCTTCCCTGTTAGGCTACCGAGGCACTTGAAGTTTGTCTCGCAATATTCTGTACATCTATTAAAGATGTTCCGATACTGCAATACCACCCTTTCGACAGCGTGAATTTAACAATATTCATTGATTAGTTTAAAGACTTAGAGCCCGAGATGGTTATCGGTTTGTTGCTACTTTTTTATGTTCTTTTTATTTGTGTTATAAGCGTGTGGGTAAAGCTTCGCCTCTCCTCTTGCACTCCTCTCCACTTCCGAAAAAACCACGTATACACTTTCGACATAAAGCAACATTTAATCGACATGTAATGAAGAAATAAGAAAAAAAATAAAGAAACGACTTCCGATTAAATGTCGTTTCATCTCGAAAGTGGTTGTTTCAAGGGAAATACAGGAGGGTAAAGTCTCCCATGATTACACGCTTACATACCAACATAAAAAACATAAACTAGTCTTTGTGAGAAACTTTAAATTGCCATAATATAATATCTCCTAAATCATAGCCATCCTTCACCAAATTTTTGTACACAAAAAATAGACTTTTATAAAAATGTATTTATCTGTGAAAAAAAATGTACTTATTATATATTATAAATAATTTCTCTCTCCCTGTCAGTACGACTTGTCCTACAACATATCTAAAGCGCAATGAAATCGGTGAAGTGTGACCTAAAATGCATATTAACCGAAAAACAAAACAAAACTGTGCAGCGCGCAAAAAAACTTACTAATTGTTGCAGGACTTATCGCTTTGTGACGACATTTGTCGAACAAGAAGCGACCTAACCTTAAACAGCACGTAACACCGGTAGCTTGCATTTGATAAAAATTGCTCGATCATCGAGTATGTGTCTTCATGTTTTCTTGCAACTTCTTTTCTCACCTCAGGAATGAGGATTTCCAAACGTTCCTTGTTATCGTCTTTTGTGTCGTCTGGTGCTCTCTGTGACGTGAAAATAAATTTTTTCACTTTCTCGTTCACAGTACGATCTCCATCGGACATTAGGGCGCGTCTAGATGGTACACTCGTGTCGTGCGTAATTCTTTCTTCTAGACCAGGCATCACTGACTCATCATCCGCTATTCGCACCTAGACCGCGGTCCAGTAGTCTCGCAGTCTGAGTGTAAGGAGACTGCGAGCATGGAGGTCCTGAGTTCCAATCCGCTCAACACCTTAAGATTTTTTCAGGCCGATTTTTTTCAATCCAATTGATCGATTAAAAAGGTAAACTGAATTAAGCCTCTCCAACAATTATGTCGAGTGTAATCTCAAATTCATTTTCCTCCCAAAAACGGTCTCAGTCACGTCATTTGAGCACGAGCCCGACACAGATGAAGACGCCCACTGTGAAAGACGGCCGTATACCGAATAGTAATAATAAAAAAAAAACTCAGAGAGAAGACTAAGGGCCGGGGTTGTGTTCCACCTTCCGATAAATCTCAGCTTATTCGACAAGTTATTGTCTATAGAAGAGGAACTTAACTAGCAAATCTCCCACTGTTTTTTCTATTTCTACATACTTATCTGTTAGATACAACTTACGGTACCGAGAGTGCTATAGGTCTGTTCTTTTTACCTGAACTTGCTACACTAGTTCAGAGTTTATCTTTTTTCTTCCAATGGGGAGTGAAAAAGATGAACTTTGAACTAGTGCGATCAGTTCAGGTAAAAAGAACAGACCTTATGTAGGCTGTATTTCAAAATTCACTGCCAGCGCTAAATATCTATAGTTTGCGTCACATATATTATACAATTTTAGCACTGGCAGCGTGCTAGCAGCAATTCTGGAACACAGCTGTAATTTATCTTTTGGTTTCTGATCATTTAACAGGACTGCGTTCACTAACATTACCCTAGTTGAAATTTCATGGAACTAGAGTGGAGATGTAGGCTGGAGAAATATTAGATTAATTTGTTTATTTGCAATTGATTTATTTTCATAAATCTTCTAATCAGAGTTATTTATTATAAATTTTCTATTCTGATTTTTCGATCTGCATCACCATTATTATCCATTACTTTCTGGCTACAGTAAAACAGTGCACAATCATATCACTTCGTAAAATCGACATTCTCTTATTTTCTAACGTTTACTATAAAGTTATAAAATAGTATAAAAATATTAAGAACATTTTACAAGTTATTAAAATCTTTTTACATACATACATATATATACATGCGTACAAACATACGACATATATGTAATATATATCATTTTTTAACAGTATATACACTATTTGTTATATACATGCTAATTCTAATTTAAAAAATTAAGAATATATTAGAATATTTACAAACAAATGTTTATGTCGCAGTTGTTGGGACAAAAACGTTATTTTATTACTTATAATTCAGAATTTCTTGTAAAAAATTAGAATTATTAAAATTCCAAAATTGTGATATTATTAACTAAAACAAGGTATGTATAACTAACTTTGACACTGATAAAAGTGCGCAGAAGTTTTAACGCATATATCACCTTAAAAATACAAAAACGTACAATTATTTATTTTTTAATGTACGCTAAAGCCATTTATATACGCAGTTATAATTACAAATACGGGCATACACACGAGTATATATGCCTGTTGTTATTAAAATACAGGATTGTTTTTTAGCAAAAGAAAGTTTCAGGAAATATACACAGTAATATATATATATATATATCGGGGAAAGAGAGAGAGTATATATAGTTTCAACTACAACTTACATATTTTTTGTGCGTAGCCAAACAAAAAGTGCAAACTTGTGGCCTTGTTGTACAAACATTACCGTTCTCTAGAAGACGCGAACAAGGTTGATCCGCAACACCTGCGATAAGTATAGCATCCAAATGACTAATGTAACTGCTGGCTAACTTCAAGGTCTCTATTTTTGACAGCTTCCGGTTAGCCGGCTCGGTTGGAATAAGGGTTCTCAGTGTGCTAAAAGCTGTATTCACGCTGCGGAATGAAAAATAAATTTCTTTAGTTATGCATCTTCATTTCGAACACTACTGTATGTCATATATATTTCTTCAGTTATTTTATTTCTGTTAAAAAAAATAAAATTATTTTGCAAATAAACTGTCCAAAAAAGTGTTATATGCATAAAAATGCGCACTAATTTAAATTATTTTTTCACGTAACGTAAAATTGATATTTTGTATCCTTAAGTAAAGACGATTTTTGTATCATGCACAATCGTATTTCTACGCGTCTTTTTTTAGATAACTTAATGAAAATGTAAAACTGCAAACGCAATTAGCTCTTCACCTATGAGTGCGATCCCTTTCCCGAGCATTTGCTTGATATCTCTGTCTTATCGGCTGTTCCTTGTCGTGCGCTGCCATCCTATAAACTTTGGAATAGGCACTTTGCCAGCCGTTCACAACGATGACGTCTTCATCAATGAGCAGTTGACTCGCAACAGTCTTTTCCCGTTCCCTCGAAATATGAAATTTCTTCATCTCTGGTCTGATGTCACGCGTCTTTCCTTGCTTGCTCACCGCCCTTCTCCCTCTTTTCATTGGCCAAGTCTGACACACATGTGACCCGCACATGTGAGGGATCAAGAACGAACGAAAATCACATCTTTTCCCTTTCCCATTTTTCTTCAGCTTTTTTTCTTGTCAATCTTATTGTGATATACTAAAATGTAACAAACAAAACGGAGAAAATCACAGATGTAAATTATTATTATAACTATAAAATAAAATACTTTAAACAAAAATATATTCGCCTCTTAAACGGGATAGCAAAATAAATTATATAATCGAGTCATTTTAATTAAATATTGTTATCGAGTCATTTTCAATATTTTTCGAATTTTAGAATTAAAAATTTATGCTGCTTATAATTTGCACTTTAATATTATAATGTATATATGTACTTATATTAATTACTATAATTTGTACTTTTATAACGTATGTATGTACTTATAATAGTTGATCTGGAATTAACGCCCACAACATGACTCAGTTTTCTTTTTTATTAGAATAGTAAGTGCATGCGCATAATACACACATATAAAGATATATCTCACGTAAAGTAGTTGGCAGCTGCGTTTCGCATTAAGCTTAATAAAAACGTCAATGGCGGTAGTGACAAAGTGAAAGAATAGGACAGAGGAAACAAATTTCATCTGTAAAACTAATTAACATCTCGTTTTTGTACAGGATATTTCTATTCGCCTGCGCGCGGACAAAAGTTTATGATTTTACTTGTTTTTATCAAAATTATGCTAAAATATACTATAACAAGAGGATGGCAAAAACTGTGAAATTGAGCCATAGTTCATTCGAAGGTAGAGGTAGAGGGTGCAAAAAATATAAAAAGGTTTAAATGCATAGGCCTTAGTTTCTAAGAAATTTACACGCAAAGTTAGACATTCGACCACCTGTACGATTAAGTACTATAAATAGATTGTAAGTTTTGTCATCTGTGGCGGAAGCGAGGCTTCATAGTATCAACTTTTCTGTTTTTAATAATAATAACGACTATATTTATCACCTTAATTACTTTTTATTATTCTTTGTTTTTTGTAATAAAATAATAATTATATAATAAATTATATATAATAAAAAAAATAACGAGAATTTGTATACTTATTTATGTTTATTTATGTTTTTATTTATTATAAAGTTCGGACCACGAAGTAAGAATAAGGAGACTTAACTGCACAGATTGAAAGTGGCTATGAAAAATGTTCCTCATAGAGAGCCAGGTAAATGCTAAAAAGAGAATAACTTGGAACATTTCATCGCCATCTGGAAATTGTAAATGACAGATGATGAGAAAAGATTGTAAAGGAAACATGAAAGAGAAAAACATGAAATGTATAAAATTAAAATAAATAAACCGTCGTCACGGACGACGATTCTTGCTTGTGTGCGTGCTCTACCGCTTCGATACTCTCTTCGATATATTTTTCTGTTTCAATTGTGGGCACTTCTTATAGAAGAGAATAACAGAGAACACGGAGTGGGGGAGCCACAGTTGAGAAAGAATATGGCTGCGTTCGGAGAGCACGCTATCAACGTCATTCTATCTTTGTTTTACATCTAATGAGCAATAAAGATAAAATGATGCAACAGCGCTGATAGCGCGCTCCCCGAACGCAGCCATAGTGAAATTACAAAAGTGAGCGAATTTACTAAAATATCTATGATCTTATTGGTCAACAACTAGTAAATTTGCTCACTTTTGTAATTTTCACTACATTGCATGGATACACAATCGACTCCCTGAGCCGCGGGATTCTTGTATATGCGATATCCAGTTGTGTATAGAAATCAGTGAACATATTTTGCGTGAAATAGAAATTGCAGTGCACACGACTGTGTTAAGTGAGGTCAGTTGAAGTGTTCGATTGCTCAAATGAACAAAAATGAGTCAATGAACAGATACGGGCCTCTCGTCGGTGCAATCGACGAAGGCACGAGCAGCGCCAGATTTCTGGTACGAATGGTTTTTTTGTACAATGTCAATACAGCGATAATTTATAATTTTGAACTCTCATTACGGAATGTTACATGTAATCAGAAATTAAAAAATGGTTGCTGCATAAAGGTTGTTGATGCTATCAATAAATTGTTTCTCTATAAATTCTTTATTAATAAAAATGTATCTTATTTTATCTTTTTTGTGGTCTATGAAATTTCAATACATAATTCTGTTTTTGTTTTACATTACTAATACAGGTTTTTGCAACAAATACAGCAGAAGTCTTGACATATCATCAAATCTCAATATCAAGGACTTCTCCGCAAGAAGGATGGGTTGAACAAGATCCTTTAGAAATATTGAAAGCTGTTAAAGAATGTCTTAAGCAAACTGTATTTAATTTGAGGCAGCTGAGAATTGATCCAGCTGACATAGTTGCTATTGGTATAACAAATCAGAGAGAAACTACGGTTGTATGGGATTCCGTCACAGGAGAACCACTTTATAATGCCATAGGTATATAAATAATTTATAATATTATTACACAAATAAAATGCTGAAAAATTTTTGCCAATGTATATAATTTATTAAATGTGTGTATGATATTTATTTTTTGCAGTATGGATGGATATGAGAACTGCATCAATTGTGGATGAGATATTAAATGGAGTACGCAATAGAAATAAAAATTATTTGAAGCCACTTTGCGGCCTGCCAATCAGTCCATATTTTAGTGCATTAAAATTAAAATGGTTGCTAGAAAATGTATCTCAAGTTCAAGAAGCACTGGCTGCAAAGCGTCTTATGTTTGGCACCATTGACTCTTGGTTAATTTGGGTTTGTGCTCATGAAAAAACTCTATAAAAGATATGAGCATGTGCGCTTTGATAATTTCATGTATTTTATGTACTTAATTAGAATCTGACTGGAGGTGTTGCCGGTGGTGTTCACAGTACGGATGTTACAAATGCTTCACGAACAATGTTGATGAATATTGTGACTTTGAAATGGGATCCTACTTTGTTGTCATTTTTCAATATACCTGCTGAGATTTTGCCTCAAATAAGAAGCTCCTCTGAGATTTATGGTTACTTACAAGAAGAAGTGCTGCAAGGAGTTCCTATATCGGGAGTATGCTATTCTTGCACTTTTTATTCATTTGATAAGAGAAAATATTTGAATAAACTACAAGAATCTATGGCTTTATAGTGTTTAGGTGATCAACAATCAGCTTTAGTAGGTCAACTGTGTTTACAGCAAGGACAAGCAAAAAATACTTACGGCACTGGTTGTTTTCTTCTCTATAACACTGGCACAGCTGTAAAGGAAATTTTATTGCGTTATAACATTGATATGTGGAACAAGTTCACACAGATAAATGCAAATACATTGTTGTCGTAGATTGTGGATTCATCCCATGGCTTGTTAACGACGGTTGCTTATCAATTAGGAGCGCACACTGCTCCCGTATATGCCCTTGAAGGATCCATAGCTATGGCAGGTGCAGTTGTACAGTGGTTAAAGGATAATCTCGAATTATTGACTGATGTAAAAGACTGCGAAGCTATTGTTAAACAACTGTCGCCAGCAAACAATCGTGTTATCTTTGTACCAGCGTTCACCGGATTGTACGCTCCATATTGGAGGAAGGATGCGCGAAGGTTGCCAATTAAATTTTGTCATTTACAATAAAAACATTTTGTTACTTGCATAGCAGCAAGTGTATGTAAATTTTTTTTGCGCATTAATTATTTCTTGTTTCAGCGTTATATGCGGTCTGAGTGAAGATACCAATAGCGCTCATCTTATCAAGGCTGCACTGCAATCGGTATGCTTTCAGACGAGAGATATTCTCGAAGCTATGAAAAAAGATACCGGTTTGAAACTGAAAACGTTATTAGTCGACGGTGCGATGTCAAACAATGATACATTGATGCAGATGCAAGCCGATATTAGTGGAATTCCAGTAGGTAAGTACAATTATATCAAATGTCGAATGAAATGCGCATTTACAAAATTGATATTTATAAGCGTACGCGATTTTATAAGAAAGTTAGGCCGATGTTCAGCGAAACTACTGCATTTGGAGTTGCGATTGCCGCAGCAAGCGCAAAGGAAATACATAAATGGGGACATGTGAAGATTGAAGAGTGTGCTCCTCCTTGTGAGAGTTTTCTTCCGTCAATAAGCGAGAATGGTGATTATCACACAATGTTATAATTATTATTATAGAGATTAAAAAAAATTGTATTATAATATATTTTATTAATATACATATAGTTTAAAATATTAAGGACTAACTGTGTAAAATATTTATTTCAGAAAGTGATATTTTGTACTCCAAGTGGAAAATGGCTATCGATAAGAGTTTAGGATGGGAGCCGTTACCAGAAATAAATGGTATCAATATATATATATATGTATATATATATATATGTACACACACACACAAACACACACACACACACACACACCAAAATGATTATATTGTGATTTCTATATTTTAAAATATTTTTATTACAGAAGGTACAAAGGATGTACATAAAGTGACTGCAGGTGGTGTATTTATTATTAGCACTATAATATTGCTTATGGTTGCTAAGTACAGATCTGTTTGAGGCTTGTAGATGTTTTGTGCAATATCGTGCATTGCATTTAAATTTCCACTCAATAAACAATGCAAATGATTATTGTTACAAATGCGATAAAGAAATCACTTTATCTATATAAACATTTATGAAGTAAAAGAAAGAGTCAAGAATAAAAGTGCCATAACATTAAAAAAGATGTGTTAAGGCTATTTTATGTTTATGAAAACTAGATATATATTTATTGTAACTTATATATTTACCGTTTATGGAGGTTTCTTTTACTGTCTCAATATTTTTATGACGTTTCTTATTTGCAATAACTTTGCAATATTACGTGAGGTATCTGTAAAGTTTGTATTTTCAAGTTTAAATCAAAATTTTTTCATTTCTGTATTATTTTTGACGGTATCGTATCTTTCGGTTTCTTACTCTCTCAAAACACAGAACTAATTGATACATGTTTATCAAGCTTTTTGTCTTTATTTATTGGCATTGAAGATATTTCCTGTAATAATATGTATGATTAAATTGTGAAAAAATTTATTATAAGATATACTATCTCATCTTCATATCGTTATTTGTATTAATTTCTTACAAGTTTTTCGCTAACGGACGTTTGAGCGACAACAGATGTCTCGAGCCAAACATCACTTCTTATGTTGCTGATACATAATCGTGCCGATTGCGGTACTAATATACGGGTAATAAGAGAACGGCACAATTGAGACACTTTTGGATGTTTAGGAAAGCTCACTTTGTTTTGGACTTGCTAGACAAAGTTGTTTCAAAGAACGAGACAACAATGTAGAAAATTATATGTAAAAAATGTCTCATAAAGAGGATCCTCAGAGCTGATACATCTGACATTTTATCTTTGGCAATTTCTAGCGAAAGAATTTTTACAGTCTCGTATCAAATTTCAGAGGTACCAGCTCTGAGGTTTTCCTTGTCAGCACGATGACATACAAGATAATTCAAAATACTCTTTTTTTTTTTATCCTTGCAAATACATAATTCCGACTAAATTCTAAAACAATTCTTTTTATCTTGTAAAGCTTTGTCTAAAACTTATTTTAAAAATTATTAATTGAAATAGCCCGGAAAAAAACGGATCAGATCTAATTTAACTCTATCGAGATACAAAAAAATGGAAAAAGATCTAAATTAAATAAAAAATTAGATCCAAATTAAATTTAAATATATATAAAGTAGATCTAAATAGATATAAGTAGATCTACAATATATAAATTTACACTTTTATTTATTGAATCTACTAAGATCTATCATATTAGATCACTTCAAATCTGTTCAGATCTGCTTAGATCTAAATAGATCTGAGTGAGTCTAATATAGTAGATCTAAAGTAGATCTAATAATAAATAAAAGTGTAAATTTACATAGATCTACTTGAATTTATTTAGATCTACTTTATATGTATTTCAATTTAATTTGGATCTAATTAAGTCTATTTTTCCATTATTTTTATCTCTTGTTAGATTTAAATTAGATCTAATCCATTTTTCCCGGGAGTCGCCTTACTTGTGGCAAGGCAACTATTTCTATTAATAAGAATTCTGTAAAAATAAATTTTAAAGGTTTTACATTATAAAAAGTTGTTTCGAATCATCTGTTTAACACACGATATAAATTAGAACATAATGTTTCCATATTTAGCAGATACTAAGCAGATATTCAATATCAGGCTGTTTTTGAACTGATAAAGTGATCTGAAATGTTTACAAAACGTCGGTATAAAAATAACACTAACCAAAACAGGTATTCTTACAACACATAGCGAAAAATTAAATATTACATTTTATCTTATTAATACAACGTTTCTCATTTTAATGGACAGTGAAATATTTTGAAAACAAATTTTGTCAATTGCTTCGTTTTCATGATATTTTTCATTGTTTCCATTAGAAAACTGTATGTACTTTTAAATGTACTATTTTTTTTACTAATTCGAATAAAATTGTAGTAAATATTTTTATCTTTGTAAAAAAGAAATCTGCAAAAATCTGCACATACGTTGAGTACACCGTCTTGGTATATACCTGGGTACCTTTAGTAGCTGCGCATGATTTGTGTCGTCAAATGGCAACCGGCCATAAACCATCGCGTAAAGTACTACGCCCATAGACCATACATCCGCAAGCTGTGGTTGATACGGAATGCCTCGCAGAATTTCGGGCGACGCATAAGCATAACTACCGCAGTAGGTCGTGCTGAAAAATCGCTCGTCATTTTTTGATTTCATCTGTCCTCGCGCAAATCCAAAATCCGACAGTTTGATATTAAAATAATAATCCATAAGTAAGTTTTCGCATTTTATGTCTCTGTAAGAGAAATTTTGAAAAAATAACTATTAACTCAGAGCTGCATTTCGATATTTATTACCAAAACTAAAAACCTATACGTCACATATATTATAGATTTCCAGTACTGGCAGTAAATATGAAAACGCGGCTCAAATCATCCAATGAAGTTTAACATAAATTTATGCGGCCGGTTAAGTTAACAGAAATTGAGTTAACTAACGCCCGTTTTCACCATCTTCAATTACCTTAATCGGTCGATTATTTCATTGGAATTGCCAGTCGCATTACTCGTTCAGCAGAATGGACCAATCACAACTGATACTCAATTGCCGATTAAGTTAATCGGAGACGACGAAAACGGGCGTTTGAAATTTGGAAAAATATACCTGTGCACTATATCACGCTTGTGACAATAATCGATGGCTTCCAAAAGCTGCCGGAACCATTTGCGACTACGTAGTTCATCAATATAGGTATCGCGACGTATGACGTCGAACAAACTACCGTTCTGTGCGTATTCCATAATAATGTATACTCTGCGAAAAATAAACTCAAAATAAACTAATATAAATGCATACACACACATCAAGAGTTTACTTTTACACGTTATATACTTTCGGTATATCTTTATATTTTTTGTAATAAATTGACGATAAGAGCTCTTGGAGGATAAACCAACCGATGAGTGGTTTCTATGGCCTGTAAGAAACAAATTAGATTCGGATGTTTCAATCCTTTGACAACTTCGATTTCGCGAGGTAAAAATTTCTTAAGATATTCTCCAGGTGCTTGAAATTTCGAGACTATTTTTATCGCTACTTGGCAATTGTGTCGATCGGAATCAGCAATCTAAAGGAATATTAATTAAGAAGAAAGATACTCGAACATATCGAAAAAAAGAGAGGAAGCACAATAGATAATTGTACTTTAACCGTAGCATACGATCCAGCTCCTATAGTCTTTCCGAGACGATAACCATGTGATTCAAGTACCGTAAGTTTTTTTTCCAATTTTTGACAGTGTTCTCTCTCGTCCGATTTCACGCCAGCCATTTGCTCGTTCGATGTGCACTTTATTAGTGGCAACGTCGCCATCTCCGGCGAATACGAGGCTTTCGACTACAAAAACATGTTTCAGTTGCAAAGTAAAAAATATGACCGATAAAAAAAATATTATATCGGTAGAAATCTCTTTATTTCGAAGATTAAATGTACGTTTGATTTGTATCACGCATTACTCTTTACCTCAATGTTTTCATATTAATACAAATACATTTTTCGCGAGAGAAACGGAGAGTTGAATTTTATTCATAGAATTGAACATACGCATATTGCTATTTGTTAAATATAAGATTTGAAAGTGATTTTGACATTAATAAACAAGAATTTTTAAGTTTAGGTTTTTAACACTCGGACAAACTATGACAACTGAAGTGTGAACAGTATCACCGATCGAAACTGTACAATCAACGATTCGCTGTTATTAAACGATCCAATCGCACTTACTCGTTTCACATGGCTTCCAGTTTTGTTCAAAAATTTTAGAAAATTTTGTCAAACGTCACAGACCGATAAACTATTTAGCTTCGCGCGTTTCGCATTGTTTAGTTTCTCTAAATCTAAAAGATTTTTCTGACAAATCGTAGACAATAAAAGTATCAGATTCAAACGTTTTAAATTATATTTTCGTTTTTTTTATTAATATATTTATTTTAAGTTTTTTTTTATTTTTTTATTTTTATTTTTATTTTTTGATTTTTTTCCCAAAACTCTACGCCATAGATTGCTGATTATGACGTATAAAATCATTTGCCAGATTCTTCTAAATCAAAGAAATTTCTCAAACAGTCTGTAGACCTGGCACGTATGTCGGAAGGGGTGGCGGAGCCGCCCCCCGCCAACAAACGCTACAAAAAAAATCTAAACTACGCAATTACCAATGGAATTAGCCCATAACCCAGAAGTTAGTACTTAACAGATTAGAAGAAAAGGACAATTGGTTTCTTAAAAAACACTTACTACATGGTTGAGTGTCGGATTGGTTGCAGGCACTCGGGAGTGAAGCGTTGAACACCAGTGTGGCTTCGGTGTCCCGGCTTTGGCACTCACGGCACTGACCTTTTCAAACTTTTTATTGTATTACGGCACTTTCTACCATTTAGAGTAGCGGCTGTCAACTGATTTTGGTTCTGAGAGTCCTTGCTTATATACTCTCAATAGAAGTAATAGGGGGGACGTGGATGGGAGGCGAGGTGTTTTGGGAAAGCGGAGCCAAAAAAAGTCATAGGCAAAAGTTCAAGTGGATTAGGGCCTAACCTATCCTAACTTAATTAGGTCCTAACCGAGAGTTAGTACCTAACCGATTAGATAAAGCTAGTCAGGGTTAGCCAAAAAATTTTTTCTTTAATAGTATGTAGGTCAGTATGTTTTCTACAGAAAATAATATTAAAGTAATTTCAGATTCGGATACAGTGGGGCACGATGATATTACATCTTTACTTCCGATTCGCGCAAACACAACAAAAAAAAGTTACGTTTCTTATCTTGAAAACTATTACCAATAGAAGATTG